CTAATGGAAATAAAGTATGTAAACTGATGAAAGGACTTTATGGATTAAAGCAGTCAGCACGATCATGGAATAAAGCAATCCACAATGTATTGATGTCCAATAACTACAAGCAGAGTAGATATGACAAGTGTCTATATATGAAGACAATTGGTAATCAGAATTGTTGTATATTAATTTATGTTGACGACTTAATTATAGCAAGCAACAGTTCAACGGAATTAAATAATATAGCATCAAAAATAGGCAGCAATTTTGAAATGAAATGTCTTGGAGATATTAAGCAGTTTCTCCGAATGGAAATCGAACGAAATCATGATGGTGATTATTTGCTGAGTCAAAGAAACTATATAGATAAGATTGTTGAGGACTGTGGATTAATTAATGGAAAAATTTCAAGATTTCCATTGGATACCGGATATGAAAAGTTGACTAGTGATAAAATATATCAAAAGATAATTGGTCAATTATTATATTCATCGACAAACACAAGACCGGATATCACTGCAAGTGTTTCGATCTTAAGTCAACGTATGAGTAAACCAAGAGATATTGACTTAACTGAAGTAAAGTGAGTCGTACGTTATCTCAAAAGGAACACGACAATATAGATTGAGATTAAGTTCAAATGCATTAGAGCAGAACTTAATAATGTATACTGATACAAATTGAGCAGAGAATAAGATTGATAGGAAATCCAATAGTGGATATATTATTATATTAAATGGTGGTACAATTACATGGGCATGTATCACACTCATCGACCGAAGCCGAATATATTGCATTAAGTGAAGGATGTCAAGAACTGAAATCGATAAAAGATATCTGTAAGGAATTAGACATTGACATCAAGCAACCAACAAATGAATTTGTCGACAATCAGAGCTGCATGAAGACAGTTGAAAATGAGAAGTTCAGCAACAGAACAAACCACATTGATACAAAATATCATTTCATTAGAGAAATGAATGAACAAGGAGAACTGACTAGGGTTTTCAATCCCGGGATCCCGGATCCCGGGATCCCGTGATCCCGCGTTTTTTTGGTCCCGTAATCCCGGTATTGAAAACAGCTTCAATCCCGGTATTACGGGATTGAGTAAGTAGTTAAAATTTTTTAAAAAATTCTTAAATTTTGCAAGAAATACAAATAATTCGCATATTCATGACCAAGATCAAAGTCCACCATCAAGTATTATACATCATTAGAAAGGTTCTAACTTAAGCTATAATAAACTGGAAACAAAATTAAAAAATAGTTTGTTTTGTAAGAGTACTAGTGGTTTGAGTGATGAGAAAAGCATACAAGTCGTCAGATATCAAATGTACCCAATATCTCATCAAATTTTGAACTTTTTGAAAAAATTTCTTCACCATTTGTTTTGTAACAGTATTTTTAATTAGAAAACATGAAAAAACTTATTTGTATTCATTGATTTATATTTTTTACAAGGGTCAGACACTCCAACAGAATTGTAAAAGATTGTACAATTCTTCACAATCCATATGGAAGGATTGTAAAGATTGTACAATCCTTACAATCCTTACAATCTTTATATGAGAAGGATTGTAGGGATTGTAATCCTTACAATCCTTATATGGAAAAGATTGTAGGGATTGTAATCCTTACAATCCTTTCCATATAAGGATTGTAGGGATGAAATAATTGTATGGAACATTTAAAAATGTTTTTCATAGGTTATTAAAGAAGAAATATTAACTTAATATTAAAAATTTATTTGTTTGAATTTAAAGAACGAAACAATGGAAATACAGGGTGGGTGATTTAAATCAAAAATCAAAACCTTTTTGCAATGATTTTTCAAAGGGATTTTTTTGGATTTTGATTTAAATCTCTTGTTTGAAAGATTTTATTGGGATTTTATAATCACTCCATGCAAAATTTTTGTATTCAATTTCTCAAATTATTTTTCAAATCAACAGTTTTTAGTTGCAGTTCCTAATAAGTAAGAATGTAGTTGATACTTTTTTGGCCAGAATCTTGCAACTGGATCTTTTAGATTCAAACATTTCTTAAAGAAAGTTTACAGCAACCAATGGTTCCATGCTGTTTGACTTAAACGAAATCCTTTTCATGATTTTTAATCTTCTGTGCCTTGCTGCTTACACATAAATAACTGGACTTCATCAAGCATGCCTGGATCTTACTGCATATGAGGAACTACCTGCTTTCAATGCTTTTTAAAACTAAAATATATTTTATTACAGTACCAAAGTAATCTACGTTAGTTTAATGAGTCATAAGCAAGAATAGGCACTTGAACTGCCTAGTTCCTTTACATCCACAAAAAAATTTTTTTTTGTTGCTTTTTCATCAAGGAATCACCTCTTGAAGTCAAAATTTTTTGCGGAACTGGCCTGTTCCTTATGCAGCAACCTCATATGCAGTAAGATCCAGGCATGCTTGATGAAGTCCCGTTATTTATGTGTAAGCAGCAAGGCACAGAAGATTAAAAATCATGAAAAGGATTTCGTTTAAGTCAAACAGCATGAAACCATTGGCTGCTGTAAACTTTCTTTAAGAAATGTTTGAATCTAAAAGATCCAGTTGCAAGATTCAGGCCAAAAAAGTATCAACTACATTCCTACTTATTAGGAACTGCAACTGAAAACTGTTGATTTGAAAAATAATTTGAGAAATTGAATACAAAAATTTTGCATGGAGGGATTTTAAAATCCCAATAAAATCTTTCAAACAAGAGATTTAAATCAAAATCCAAAAAAACCCCCATACAAAACTGATTTAAATCAAAATCCCTTTTAAAATTCATTTCAAAAAGATTATGATTTTGATTTTTGATTCAAATCACCCATCCTGGTCACAGGTGTAAAAATTATACATTTTACAACTTTTTAATAAGTTAAAATGTATAAAAAATCATTCGAATTGATTCACAGTAAAGTATTGTGTGTTCCTATATATTGTGCAGGTATAAAATATAAGAATATATAGATATATACATCATAACAATATGTGACTCCATTAGCAACTCCGTAATTTTCAATATAATTTTTCTTAAAAAATTTCTGACTGTTTTTCTTCATTTTTCGTATTTTATTTTATTTTTTAAAAATAAATGAACATTATTTTTATTTAGTAAGGATTGTACAATCCTTACAATCCTCATATAGAAAGATTGTAGGAATTGTACAATCCTTACAATCCATATATGAAAAGGATTGTAGGATTGTAAGGATTGTACAATCCTTACAATTCGTATGGAAGGATTGTAAGGATTGTACAATCCTTACAATTCTGTTGGAGTGTCTGACCCTTGATTTTTTATAAGCAATTTTAGTTTTTGGTTAAATATTCATCGACTCACTAAAATCGCTATAACTTTTTAATGCAGAACTATATTGGACAAAGTTCATACAGTTCTGAAAACTACAAGTCAAGGGCTACATGCTGGTGTGATTTTACCTCCTACTATTCTGCGATCTAAGATATTTGCGGCACGTTTGAAGATATTTTTCCACTGTTTTTCTTACATATCCTACCATAGCGGTACCAAAACTACAAAGTTAAAATCTTTGTGGAATATCAAAATGAAGCTCTCATATATTACTATTAGGAACTGAAAACCGTTTTTCAATATCTTTAATAATCATAAGGAACTTTAGATTTAAAGAGGGCATGAAAAAATCAGAATTTTCACTCATTTTCAACTTTAAACAGTCACAAAATCGCAGGAACAGCACCAAATGACTTGAAATTTGGCATAGAAGTCTATTTTTATGTCCTTTACAAGAAAGAATATACCTGAGTTTGTAATTCGAAAAAGTCCCAAAATCAAAGTGAAAGTCCCTTTTTTTCAATTTTGCCCCATAGTGTACTTTCCAAAATGAAAACCTTATTTTAAGATTATTAGTACTTAATTTTCTTATTTTTGCTTAATCATTAACAATAAACATACATAGAACAAATATAAAACAAGAGTTTTTCTCTCAAACGAAGATTTTATGTTTTATTTATTGAAAATTTTAAGGCTTCTTTAATAATCTCTTAATCCCGGGATTTCCCGGGATCCCGGGATCGAGAATTTTCAATCCCGTAATCCCGGTATTGAAAATTTGGACCGGGATTGAAAACCCTTGAACTGACTTTGCATTTTTTTTTTTTTTTTAAAAGTTCATTTATTTATATCAAACTTAAAGTTGTGTTATAAATTTATACAAATTAATTATTGCAGAGAGAGAATAAAAAACAAATTACTTCATATTCAATTTAATTTAATTAGCATCAAAATACAATTATAAATAGTGCTCTCTCAAACGATTTTTAATAATGCTCAATGAATGAAAAGCCTTTATCTGCTGTGGAAGATTATTGAAATCCACAAATGCTCGAATGTAAAAATTCTGCGCTCCTTGACTAGTGCGACACATTCTTATTGTGAAATTTCCTCGATTTCTTGTCGAATAATTATGAACATCGCTACCTAATTGTATTTCGACATTATTTTTAATTAAATTCGATGCAAATTTAAATACTTGAAGAGAGCAGTTTGTTTTACACATTACAGAGACTGGCAAAAGTCTAATGCTATACAATACTTCCTTTCCAGCAAACCAACGAGCATTGGTTTGCTGACGAAACTATTGAGACCAACGAAGATCAACTATTTTATGCAAAAAGCAAACTTAGTTGACTAATTAAGGAGAAGATTAAAGTCAAGGAGAACAGTTGAAGTAATGACTTTACATGTAGAGGTCGCTACTAAGATAGGTTACACTCGGTAGTTTTAACCTCGGAATAATAACTTAAAAGAGACTTAATAAATCATTAATTAACTTAGTACTACTTTGATTCCACTGTTCTTATTTATTTATTACAACAAGGCATTTCTCCGAATTTCAACTTACCACAAATCAGTCGAAAGTCATTAACAAAGATACTAAGATCTGAGAATCCTGCAATGTTTAAAAATGAAGAGATTGTTTTGAATTTTTATTCAATTTTTATTCTTAATATTCATCATTTTAAAAGCATTTAAAATAAAACTAAAGAGAAAAGCTACAAACGATAAAATTTATAATTCATTTATTTTTCAATAAGTTTCCTTTTATATAATGTACAATGTTTCATACGTTCAGTGTTAAGGATAATTATAAATTCATATTGAATTGATGTTTAATACTAATCTGTTCCAGAAAAAAAGAAAAACGTCGACTTTAGATCATTTACACTTTGCTTCTTATTTGTTCATTTTCTTATCATCAAAAATTTGTCTTCACAATTTAAATATTTCTATTATAACTATATTGAATTATGCTTCCTTATTTATAGTGAAAATTTTTATTCTTATATAGTTTAGGTGTAATGTTTTAAAATTGGTTAATTGGAAATATTACCTGCATTCAAAACAACGTAATTCAATTCTTCATGTTAATTCATGTTGCACATTACGCCATAAAGTATATAATAATGTATGTATGATATCATAGAAACAATTAAAATGAATATTATTGAATTAGAAAATTGTCTTAAAAGTGAACATGCTCCATCATCTATTATTTTTATCCATAGTTACATTTAAGGTAATTCACTTATGACGTCCAATATTCTGGGGAGTTTGGGGGGATGTTGAAGTTATGTGACACTTTAAACAAAAGAATTTTATGGATTAACGTTTTGTGATAATCCACTTATATTTGTAGCCTTAAAATTAAGTTTTTGATCGACGTCATAAGTAAACAACCCTTAAAATCATAAAAATTGCATTATTTAAATCTTCTTTTAAAGAAATGAATTCCATTTTATAGAAATTTTCCAACATTTTGAGATTTTTTCATACTTCCTTTTTCGTCTATATAAGTTCATTTTAGTTTAGTCTAATTCATTTATTTATTTCCTAGCACATTCATTCTATTTGTTTTCTGTCTGATTTGTTATAAATTCATTTTAAAAAGAAAGATTTGAGTCTAGCTTGTTTTTTTAAAGTTGGCTAAATTCAGTCGAATTTAATGGGAAAATACATTTAGTAGATTAAACTCAAGTAAGCCACATGTTGAAATTATCGTAGATACAACTTATGATATCAGTAGAACTTGCTTTATAAATTGTTATCATTTTGTTGATGCTTAATATTTACATTATTCAAACATATTGCAGAACGATTTATCCGCGAGTTGATACTAATCGAAAGTTGCGAACATCTTCATTCAGCAAATTCATTCTTCGCCCTAACGAAAAACCAGTCATTAATCATTGCAACGAATGAATAAGTTTCGAATGGGTCGGTCAAGAATTGATTGATTCTAAAGTCATTCAGTATTTCATGTAAAATTCAGTTCAGTCCATTTTTTTTTGAATTTTTAAAAGTCGTTAAATTTTCAATTTTACATAACCTGACATAACCTATAAATTTCAATCAACTCTTATTAGTAAAGTTAATGCCAATTTCAATCAACTCAGGAGTTTCTCGTCTCTAATAAGATATTTTACAAGATATCTCACCTCTTATTTGCTTCATACTGAAACTACTTCGTGCATGTCTTGTTTTAATTGGACTGTATTTAATGTCAATCGAATCAGAGTCATCATCATCGTCTAATTCACTCTCTGTGGCTATTTCATCATCGTCGTTTTCATCTTCAGATATATCCTGATCGAATTCCATTCCATCAGATTCATTAACCGACTCGTCTAGTTCAAATTCTGAACCTTCTTCGTCGTCATCTTCGTCTTCTGAATGATCAGATAATTGATTAGGAACAACAGCAGCTGAACGACTTGTTGAGCGACTTTTAGTTTTTTGGCGAGTTGTCTTTCCAGTTTCTTGTTGAATTGCGTTATTTTTGACACGTCTTGTTGGTTTGAATGAAGTAGAAGATTTCGTAACATGCGATACTGATGATTGATTTGATGCTTCATCTGTATAAACCTCAAAATCTTCATCTTTATAATATCGACCACGCAGTTTTTTGGGAACATTTGTTTTACTTGTTGCTGCACTATGATTCGAGCTCTCATCACCAGAAATGTCCTTTCTACGTAATTTCTTTTGAAGTGGCTCATCGTCGTCACTGCTATCGTTCCCAATATGATTCTCTTCAACATCTGAGCTATTAGTGATTCCATCATTTGATCCTTCGCCTGGAATATCATAGTATACAGAATCTTCTTCCGTTTCTGGATGTATCTCAATTTTAACTGGAGGTTTAGTTGGTTTACGTCCACGACGTTTCTTTTCAACAATTGGTTCTTCTGTTGTTTCACTGACTGAATTATTTTCAGTAATTTCATCGTCACCATTGCTACGAATTTCTACTGGAATTTGAATTGGATAGTTTTCAATCGTTTTAGACTTTGCAGGACGTCCTGGTCTTCTTCTAGTCTTTACAGGTGGAGACTGTTGAGTTTTATTTATATCATCATTATCATTCTCGTCAATTTCATCAAGTAATTTCCTCTGAATTCTCATTTTTCCATCGCGTCTGGACATTCGCTTTTTAGGTGTCTTTCTACCTTCTTTCTTAGAATTAACTTCATTTTGATAAGTTATATTTTTCTGTGTATGTTTTATCACATTTCTTAGTCCCTCACGATTACGTTTCTGATAAGTGGATATCGGCGATGTTTGCTCAACAATGATCTGCTGTTCTACAATCATTTGTTGTTTCTTAAGGACATCCATCATTGGCTTTGTATATCCCTTAATTGGTTCAATATCATGATTTGTTGAAACTGAATTAATCTGTGTTACCACGGCTGATCCATTTTGCTTGCTCTTAAGTCTATTCTCGATTTCTAATATTGCATAAGTTGGATTGCCTTTATAACGTTGTGGTGTTTGATAATAAACTTTTTCATCAAATTTTTCATATTCTTTTTCGGCACGGTCTCTTGCAATTTGCTCTGGATCAAGTGTGGCAATTTCTTGTATTGACAATTTCTTTCCTTTTGCTATTTTCTCACTTATTATCTCCTTTTCACTTAATGTTTTGCGTTGTCTTTTCGGTCTCTTTCCTTTTGCGCCCTTTTCTTTCGAACGTAAATTTTTTGGCGAAGCTTTGCATGACAAAGTCATATTCAACGATTCTTTTGGCTTAACTAATGTCTCATTTCCATCAACACTATCAGTTGTGGCAACCAAAAAGCCCAATTTAGTAACAGTCTTCAAATCTGTGATATTCGACATCATCAAGTCATGCTCTGACAATGTCTTATCAACGGGCTCACATTCATCACGCACTTCGTTTAAATTTAATTTCATATCAGACTTCTCAAAGCCCAACTTAAAAAATTCTTTTTCAAATAGTCCTTTCAAATATGAGTAGTCGGGCTCTTCATCAAATTCTAATTGGCCTACATAATGCATGAATTCACCCAAATACTTTGGAACTTCTTTTCCGTATAAAAGCTTCAACATTTCTTTAACATCAGTCATGAAAATTTCCTTTAAACGATGAACTATTTCTGGCTGATCCTTTAATTTTTCATCTTTCCATGGCAAGTATCCTTGACTCCAATATATTAAATTATAACCAAGACATTCAAGATCACTTCGACGTGAATGTGCACCAAAATGTGCATCTCTAGACGTAAATTCAATTGTACCGTCATGAGCTCGTCTTTGATCCATACAAAACGGTCGATGCTCACCATTTGTGTCTATAAACTTGGTCGCTAATCCATAATCAATAATATGAACGTGATCGTCTTCATTAGTTGCTTTTGGAATTGCATGAACTTGTTGAGTATTGATGTTATTACTAGCTGTATTTATATTCTTTAAAGGCGATTTTAAAGTTTTTCTTTCACGTTTTGTTTTATTATTCCCGCCGTTGCGACGACCTTTCTTTTTATTGGAACCAAGTTTAAAATCTTCATCCTCATCGGAATCATCACTTGTTTCTAATGCATGAGAGCTTCGTGAGATGTCATCTTTAATTGAATAATCTACAGTTTTTCCGGGTCTCAAATAATGCGAACGGACCATATCGTTGTAGACTGTATGATGTGACTTATCATTTGAGTCTTCCTTCATACGACACGAACGTAATGGATTCGAACCACTAAATTGAACAGATGATCTTCTTGAAATCTTTTTAAATTCATTCATTTGCAGTTTTTGCTGATTATTTTGAATATTATTATTATTATAGGAATTATTGTAACCATTAATGCTTGTATCAAACTGTCCAATCATGATATTTTGAGCCTTGATGTCTGAATGAACGTAATACTTTTCATGAAGATGCTGCAAAACGTCAATAGTTTGACTTGCAATAATAAGAAAATGCTTATGACTGAGACGTCCATTTTTTGATGTAATGGAATGTAAGTCCGCTTTATATCTTGGCATGATTAGAAAACGGTAGCGACTCTCATTGAAATAATGTGAGCCTGATGCAATATATTTTGGTATGCCAACATCTTTAATTGGTTTTTGTTCAATTTCCTCATTTTCTTCTTCTCCATTTTCCAGAGCTAAAAATAAAAGAGATTGACATAAATAACATAAAACAGACATAAATAATTTTTTAGTAACGAACCATCATCTTTGTTAACATTTAATAAACAATGAATTTCAACGAAAAGTGGGCCATTAGAGTGCGGTTCTATTTTAGTAACAAAATTTGCATTATTTTTATCAGCTGGTTTTGAGATGTCATTAGATGCAAGATAAATTTCGCCAAAAGAACCAGCACCGACGGGAGCCCCAATTCGCCATTGATTTCCTGCTATATCACATAATATTGAATTATCAGCAACTTCACGGGTCAAAACGAACTCCTTCCTCTCAATTATCGAATTGTCTAGCTCATTATGATCACTGTTACTTTCATTTACTTCCTCACTTACGCGCACTTTTTTATCGGTATTGCTATTATTGTTATTATTGCTCTCTTCATTCTGAATACGTTTTCTTTTCATGTCGATGTATTCTCAATGAAAAGCAACAAGGGATTATTTATAATGAAATTAATTTTTCTATATAATTTTACGATGGTTTCAACATTGAGTAATTTTTTTTTTTATTTGGACATTTGCTGTGTTTTTTTTCTCTTCCTTCTTTTTTTTCTTTTATTCAGTAAGTCAGTCAACGGTTAGTTTATGATCGATAGAAATGCACACTATTGTAGAAGACTCTGAATGAAAAAAAAAAATATATGAAATTGAATGATTTATGGATTTCTATTTATTAGATTATTAAGATGTTTGAACTATTTACATTATTTATAATTGTGTAACTCACTCACCTTTGGTTTATTCAAAATTTACGATCCTTTTAATCCGACTTTGTCGAATTGATAATTTTAATAAAAAATTTCGATTTAAAAATTAATGGCCATTACAAAATTTTCTCATAACTTTCTTAATCCAGGCTTTTCCATGAAATTAACTATTACTGTTGAGGCAGTAGATGTTTATAACTAATTTTCAAAACTATTAATTAATCAATTATGCTTCCTTCACTCCTTAATTATACTTTTTAAAATAATAAAGTTTTCGTAATATGGAGATTTTTCGAACTTTATCAAACACTTTTGTTCTTCATATACTTTTGTTATTGTTTCGATGTCCCTGTTTTTTGAACCGATATTTCGACCACTTTTGATTTCATCGAAGTTTATGTACTGAATGGAGGCTCAATCAATGATGATTGCAAGAAATATTTGTGTTTTACGATATAATTGGATAGAATAAGTTATCTAGATGTGGTTATATGATCTCGATTTTACATTTTAATTAACTTTTCAAAATAATAATTTCATGAAATTTGTCATTCGCAATTTTTGTTTACTTTAAAAGTCATGAAACTTTTAGAAAACACTCAAAATGCACAACAGTTAACGATTAATGATGTAAAGATTGTGCAATATGTCCAATGTTTATTTCATAACAATATCGACAAAATACTAAAAGTCCTAAAAGCGTAGAATTTAATAAGTTTCTACTGTTTTTTATTTATTTCGAATTTTTTGAAACTTTCACTCTTCACAACATACCGAATCAAAACAAATAATAGTCACTCAAATTTCAGCTATAGACAAAATTAAACAATCAATGATCAGAATTAAATATCATTTATCTTATTCAACTCTTGTTCTGCAATATGATTAGCTGTATAAAGGAGCTCATTAGTAAGTTAAACAAACCAATCCAAGTAATTAACGTACAATGACACTAATACATAAACAAATCCTAGAACCCTACAAAATTGGAAATCGTAAAGTTACAAAAGATTTTTGAATAGTCTTGTTTTTCAAATTAATAATGCTAGATGGTAGTGCGGATCTAATATTATTGTATATTTAGGTTTGATCGAGTTATTTGGTTATAAAAAGATTGCAAATATGCTCAAAAGTGCGTTAAAAACTTGTGAAAAATAAAATAAATGATTGCTGAGTAAAAAAATCACCAAAAAAAAGTTGACAAAAATGTAATTTCGCAAAAAGTGCACGAAAATTCTACTCAATATCTTTGATTAAAAAATACGCGATAAGTGAGATAACAATTAAGGACATAGAGCAGTGATTAGTTGAGGAAATTATCAAAATTATTGAAAAGATCAGTAAAGTTAAAAAGTAAATTTTACACCAAAAAACAAGGAACAGAAAAATCGTTGACGAAAGAAAAAGAGAAAAAATTAAGAGAAAGGAGCAGCTGGATTTCCAACAAATATATTCGAATGTAATTATTATTGATTATTTTAACGCCTATGCCTGTAAATGGCTAGCTAAAGCATAATGATAGAAAATTCGTTAAAGCTTTTTGTTGAAAATTTGCCGAATAAAATTTTCTGACACACCTCAAGTTCAGACATTAAAGGAACTTTTTTCTATCAAGCATTGGATGGATGTAGAGATCCACTACGCAGGTCATGAAAAAAGCTTCTCATCTCTTATTGAAAGAAAAAAAAATCTAGGAACAATCTCTGTTATTTTTATAATATTCTTATGTTGTTCTTCAGCATGCATATTATATATTTAACTTTTTTTCCTCTATTTCCCAACTCGAGCGCATCCAAGCAACTGCATTATTTTTAGTAGCTCTGTGACTATAATTAATTTCGTGGCTTCTATGATAGTTCATCATTAAATTATAAATTGAGCGCATAAAGTTCATGTCATTAACATAACTCAAAGTTACATTGTTTCTAAGTCTTCAACTTGTTATGACATCAACAGTATTATTTTCTATAAAAGCGAAAGACTCATGTCAAAACTGAATACATAAGAGATTTTGCCAGAATGCACTAAAAATAAAATAACGTAAGCAATCAGTTCCATTCTTTATGTCATTCTTTAAATCAATAAATGTCAATATTTTTGCAACCTATTACGATGACTTGCTTACTATATATTTCAGTATTTTGAGTAATGATGAGTTATTGCGTGATACATTAAGTTATTTCACTAATTGCTGTACTTTACGATAATGTAAACTTATGAATATGAACTAGCCTGATATAAAGTTTAATAATCAGAAAAAACTTTAAAGGAATTTGCGAATTAGATTGCGAGATTTCTCTGCCCGAGAAGTATGTAGGTTAAACACTAAGAAGAGGAGTTAGAAATATGGACACAAAGAGTGTCAAAAAAAAATCATCACACAATAGGTGACATCCGAAAATTATTTATAAGCTTTTGAGAAACTTTGAATTTAATAAATATATAATACAATATTATAACGTAATTGGTTGTTTTTCGTAAACTACAATTTTATTTTTTTGACGTGCTTACAAGTCTCTAGAAACAAAATAATGAGCTCGCAAAAATGTTCGAACAACTTCTTTATTATTTCATAATTAAATATTACCATTCAAAACTTTTTTTGGTTGTATAATTTATGCTCATACCCAACTTTAGGCGTTATGAATTCTATAAAACCTCGTCATCATATCATCCTGTCAAAACTTGTAAATTGTAGGCCATCAAAAATATGATTTCACAAAAATTAGAGCAAAGTTTTGTATCCCAAGTTTCAACAAATCATTAAACTTTGTTTTTCATTTTTTATGCTGTTTATGTTTCCAAAACAGAGTGGATTCTAGGGTATTGATCAAATTGTAGGCGGATCCACCTATGTGAGAGTAAAGTCTCTGTGACCAAGTGGTTAGACAAAAGACTTAAAATCTATCTTTTAGAGCTACCCGGGGCAACTTCCTTGATTTTTTATCATATTCACCTTATTCAATGAATCAAACTCTTATCCCAAAATTACATCTGTTCCTTTCTTAATTAATTTTCTGAATCAGCCTCACGTTTTCTGGTTTAATTCGCGCAAAGTACATGATTACTTACTGTTTATTTTCAAAATTATTCAATGAGAGTTCAGTTAAATTAACTCAACCATCACTTTATTCCATATATGAAGTAAATAATAATGCCTAAATTTTAATTATTTAAGAACGCGAAAGAGCAAGTTTGTCTAATCACGGTACATAAGTGATCATCAAATTCCAAAAGCATGGAAGCGTGCATGTATAAGAACAAGAAGAATTCAATTTTTATTAAAGCACCTTTAATGCTTTCAAGTTCGCATAAATGTTAATGGAAGCAAAAAATCTACTAATTGGATCTTTAATGCATTAACCAGCATAATAAATATCTAATTCCTAGATGTTAGACACATGATTTTTCTGTATTTAATCGTTTCCTAATTCGCTTAGCATTTAAGAGATTCTCGGTGCCTAAAAAGTCATGCAAGCAAAATTATTCAATCATAATCAGTGTTGATATATTCGTGTTTGAGCTAGTTTTGAGAAAATTTTGGTCAAACTTGTGTATGGCATATGCGAAACCGATTCTGATTATGACGAAAAATTATGTCTTTGCTTAGCTTAGTCTGCTGGATTCACAGAACTTCCTTAGCTAGTTTCCCATCCAAAACAATTCTGTCCTTTTTAATAGCTTACAAGATGTATTTTAGATTAAAAGCCTTAAGTTATTTTCTAAGTGGTTCTAAAGCTATTATCCACGAAGCACTTCTGTTCAATGAGAAAATCCTAGGAGTGTCAGTAGTAAAAGCTAGTGTATCGAGTAAGATGAACAAAACTTTAAATAACTTTGTTGATATACCTCCAAAAATAACAAAAACTCAATATCTGATTGAGATCAGATATCTTCGAATAATAATATTTATAATTTAAGCTACCTAAGCACCATCTGTGTATATTTCGCAACACTGGACAGAATGTTTTTGTGCGAGCCACAATCCGTTCGAGATATTGTAGATGTTAATGTAAAATTATATTTTTTTTTTAACAAAAAATCCGCTTTGAAGATGAGCTTAATTTTGTTATAATATGAAAAAAGTATAAATTACAAGCTATAGATTTAAATTCCCGCTATGCCAAACATTCTTCAAAATAAAAGATTTTCTCTTTGTAAGAGAAAGTAATTACAGCATCTTTAATTGATTCTCACTGATGCTTTTTCATGTTCCCAAGAATTCTTGAATGGATCAACCGATATTTTGAGATCCGAAAAAACTTTTTCGAGTACGAATATTATTACTTCCAAACGAAAGGAAATGAAATGCGATGACGATTATATGAATGAATGAATGAACTAGATAAGAATGAAATGACTGTAACAAATCTTTCTTTCCACTTTTATTATCGTTTTTACTCACACGTATTCATTTCATGCATACTTTTATGGGGGATTTTAAGAAGTTTGAATACTGATATCGACAGTAAATATATATTGTCGTATTACTCATATTGGACTTGGTGTGATATTTAGTCATTTCACTTGTTACTGCCTTTTACTTCATATTTTTGTAAGTATGTTAAATTCTCTCGTCGTAAAATGACCTTGCTAAAGTAAATCCCGTTAGAAATATATCTTCTTGTACACAATATGTGAAGTGGAAAGATCTACTTACGATGTAGTTTCCAACTCATAATACAGTGATAAAGCAATTAATTAAATTAAATTTTATTTGGTAAAGATTTCATTTACGGACGAATGATAAAATTATGTGGGTATCGTTAATATGATTAAGCGTGACATTCTTGGAAAGAGTGTAATTTCTACTTGATTAAACTAGAAATGGTCGCTTTATAGTCAAAATGAACGTTGAATTACTTTGAACTGTGAACAACTGATTCTTATCAATATTTGATTAAAAAAATGAAAAATGGAGATATCTCTAATCAGCTTGATATGTGCTGAAAATACGAAGAAATTTTTACTATCATCGAAATACTGCATAACAGCCGCACAGTTGTCAATTTTATTGCAAGTGACAATGAACGGATAGACTTTAAAATATTCATAATTTCTATAAATTATCATCAAGCATAATAAAAGCGGATGAAAGTGAATGAGATAAGAAGGAATAAAGAACTAACTTAAAATATGTGTAGATGCATTTACTCACACACTGGCTGGATGCAGTTTTATCGATTTTTTTTATTCTTCTTTATTTACTTCCTTCATTGTACGAGAATTTTTTTATTTCATTCATAAATTCGTTGACAAACGAACGAATGGAACGGATAAAGGAATCACACTTAATGTTTATTAGTCGTTCAGTCGTAATTGCTTACGTATAACGGGATAGTCCTGTTTTAATAAAGATCAATGAATTTTTGAAAGAATCGAGTCAAAAGAGAAATGTAGGATATTTTTAAAATACCTACAAAAAAAATAAACTTTCACTTAAAAATCGCGAAAGTCGAAATTTCAATGTTTTTATTGGTTTCCGTACAAAAATAACCAACCGGCTTCTGACAGTGTTGTTAAAATTGGTATCTATTATCTAGAAAATTTTGTTTCATCTTAATAATATCTGATCAAATGATATTCGACTGATTCGACTGATATTCGATCCTGACATTTAATTGATTCAACTGTAGATTGTGAACACTTGTACCTTAAAGTTTTGACAACTTGAATTTTAGGGTTACTGATTTTAGTGTAAGATACATTATTTATGTACGACTTCTGAAAAAACTTCTAGTCTTAACCTGATTTTGCTTACCCAAGCAATCATCGAGATATCAACTCTGCTATAATATGTTGCAAGGCAATGTTTTTGCTTGCGAGATTCAAGTTCATACAGAGAGTGTGTAACAATATAGTGAACTGTCTGAAAACAGAACAGAATAGGAGGATAAATTAAAAGCAAACAGTAAAAAATGATTCAACACTTTTGTGCTGTGTGTACAATTCATTAATTGCCATTATGTTCTGATGTCAGAATATATAACAATATAAGTGTGGAAGTCTCTCAAAGATTGTTTTTGTGAATAGAACAGAACAGAAGAGAAAAACTCCAGACAGTATGTTATGTAAGTGAGAAGGGAAGATGATGTGTATGGGATATACATAAGTGAAAGATAATGAGAACGAAAACAGTAAAAAAATGTAGAAATGCAATGCTGTTAGATATTTATAGCATGTCCAATATATAAATTTTATGCCAGCTTTCTTTTTCTAATGTATTTCTGCTGACATAAAGATTTTTCCATCTCAACATTACATATATCCATGCATTCTACTTAACCATATACTGTTATAAGCCTATAAGTGATTGCTCAATACAAGTATTGTAACAATTGATTTTTTACAAGATTCCACGAATAATTGACATTTCTAATAAGCGTTTTCTGTATCAAACAATATTCAAGTGTCTGATCATAGAGGAGGTCGTGTAGTGGCAAATGCAAATATTATAAAAACACTTGTGATTCATACACATTAACAGATCTCTGCGTTGACTTAATTAAAAACCACATATTGAAAGAGAGAGAAATGATCAAACATTAGAAATTGAATATGCTACAGCATGTTTTCAGTGCAGTGGTGATTCATACATGTACAACATTATATTTTTAGGTTTAAAAGTCTTCGAATTGGTTTTTTCATTGTTAGAAATCAATAACAATTTATTTGGTACACTTTCAAATCAATAAATCTTGGATTTAATTTGATATAAATTTTAGTGCAACTCAAAGCTTCACATGAATGATCGAGTGATATATAGATCACCCACTTTTGTGCCATACTTCTTCCCATTAAGATAGAAGAAACGGAATCGTCAAAAAAAAAGACCATTCATTCATTCAAGTATTCTGATTTCTTTACGGAGAATCACAATTTCTAAAAGAGAATTGGTTATTTTCCAATTATGTCTGTTTGTCTTAACATGGCTTTGTGTGTTCCATTACTCATATAAACGTCAGTTCTATGAATTACTGCTTAAGTTTGGAAATTTTGGTGTTATCCTTGACTTGTATGATCAGATAATAACATCCTTAAAGTCTAGGTTCTTGAGAATAATCTTTGTAAATATAAGCAAACTCGTTTGCTGGGTACTGACTTGTAATAATCATTTGTAAATTTCTGACTTTCGGTGCCCAGTAAATTTACTAGATGATTACTGATTAGACTCCTAAAGATTGCTCTTTTGTCAGTCATTAATAATACTTTCTTACTAGTTCATGAATGCTCCTTGAACATGACATTCTTGTTAATGTCATGAATTATTGTGCTTATAAATTTCATTCGGCATAAAAGTAAATTAATAAGTAACAAAAAGACTTTTTCATCACTTTGTTAACAATTTTCTCATATACTGTTTGTATGTTAATTTCAGAGTTTTAAAGCCCGCATCTGATAACTGCCTTTTAAAATTGAAATGGCTTGCAAACATTGCATGCGAATTTAATGAAAAAAATCAAATATTCAAGACGGAAAGAATACATCACGGCTGTAGATAATTTAAAACAATTCAGGTGAGTCTCTATTTATGCCTGCGTTGTTGCAGTCTCGTCTCTTAAGAAGCGTGATGATTTTTCCTTCTGTTTTTTTTCGTTTATTTTAATTAATTTAATATAGAAAAAAAATTGTTTTAAATTTCCAATGAAAGCATTGCTACATATTACGAGAAATCGAAATAAAAAGCTCATGATAGACCAAATAACTGTAATTCGATATTATAAGTCACATTGAGAAAAAATTATTTGTTCAAATGAAGCCATTTGAATGAAGAATTCACATTATTTATTTATAAAAATAAAGTTTTATCACACGGAATATCAGAGGCGTTTCCAGGTGTGAATTTTGGGCAATAGACTTTTTGTTGCCAGTTACAATCTTACTAGAACGGTTCGTTTTTAAGTGTGGATATGATACTTAAAATCAAAGGGGCAACAGCATGATGGGAAATAAAATTACTGAAATTACTTCCAATTTTATATGAATTTATCAGCAAAACTTTGAATCCATTTTTAGAAATTATTCAAAAATTTCCATTCATGTTGTTTTCCCTTCGCTTAAAACCTTGTTGCAGTCATGTCACTAGATTTTCATGTCCATAAAAAGAAAGCTTCATTAGAGCTCCTCAATAATTAACACCCCTTGATACATCCGCGCTTAACATGTTATCTTTTGCTGTTGTTAATAAATTAAATGTATCTACTTAATTAAGTAAGGTGTCTTACTTAATCAATAATCCATAAATAAATCTTCCTGTGCATAATATATAAATTGATTGCAATCAATATCTGCACTCGGTGCCATGAAGCTAGATACGGCAAATCCATCGCGATCAACGCAGAATATTCTCCCATTTTGCTCTTGTGTTGGCTCATAATTTCCATTATCTTTGCATCGCAAATTAAAGCTGATGCCGGCTTTTTTAAAAGCTCTATCATCTCGTGCACAATCTAGTAAATTAAGACATTAAGGAAAGATTTATTGTACATTGTGTTGTTACTTACTGCAATTCATATCAGCAGCTAACCTTGAAGGTGTAGCATAACTTAATTTAGTTCCATCAGGCATTTGACAAAACGCACTTAAATGAAAAGAATTACAATGTAAAAAAATTTGAATAGATATAAAGGCTTAATCGAAAAGAGTACAACACAGACATAAAGCAATAAAAGATAATTAAGGTCAATTGATTGAGTTTGTAACCTACAATGGGTTTTCTATAATGATTTCAGCATATGTTCCGTCATAGTTACATCGAATTTGATTTGGAACAGCATTGATCGCACCTCGATTGATTAGTTTCATTTGTACCTGCCTTTGTGCTTGAGCAGCACTCTCACATTTTCTTAAATACTGATCGCCATGCTCACTCGAGTTATCTGCAAATGAATGGACAATAAACAAGTTATAATGATTATCGAAATGGCTATTAACAGCCTTTTCCCTTTCAATCGTAAGTCTTGCTAATAAAACAGTGGATTCGTTGGGGGTCGAAAGCATTTATATTGTGTTGAAAAGTCAATAAAAATTAGCGTAACTTACAGCACGGTAAGAATGTCCATAAACTATCTGGAACTGCAACAGTTTCAATTTCAATATATCCAGTAATTTCATCAGCACACCAGCAAATGCCAGAATCACACTGAAGTCTTTCATAATTTCCATTATCTAAACAATGTAATGTCACATCTATACGACCATTCATTTCTGCATAAAATCTTTGGCGACTACAAGCGCATGACATTTTATCTGAATCCTTCCACCAATCCCATCCGAAAATCTTTTCACCGGTCTCTGAATAGCAAAAACACCTAAAATTTATTTCCGATTATTGAGAAATATTCAGGGGGGAAACAACTCGATGTAAAAACTTTATTCTAACATTGGAAAAAAAATTAAACCACAGCTGTAAAACTAGAGAAAGTGGTTGAAATTTTACTTTTTAATATTTTTCTTCTACAACTAGTTGTTTCCCCCTCCGAATATATTAGGTTTCAAACAGCATATGAAATTTTATAGATTTAAGCGACATGCAAAAACTTTTGACATTTTGTTACAAGCTCCTTTGACATTTAATACCCAACCCATGCCTATAGTAAATATCATTGATTTTCTATAAATATCTTATATCCAAATATGACAAAAGATTAAACTAATGCGACAAAGAATAACAAACCGTCCAGTTCGGTTATCACCACGACATTGCTTTGCTGAATATGAACCATCAATTTCACAACTTGGCTTCCATCCAATCATATTATCTAAATGCATAGTGTGTAAACATGAATCTAAAAGTGAAAAGATGGATAAAAGAGAAACAAAATAATAAAAGATAATAGATTCATGTTGGAACTGTTAAGAGCATTTTCATGAATGAGTAAATCCATTAAATGCTTGTTTACTGGTGCAAATAAATTTTCAAGGTTAACTTTACTTCGTTTAAGAATGCAATAAGAATCTTGATCGCAAACTAGTCCTGGTGCACAAAATCTTCTTGAAACTGTTCGACTGCATCCACTGCTGCCCCATTCTGTAAGAAAAATAATACAATTAAGAAACTAGGTTGAGAGTCATTCGAGAGATAAATCGACCACAAATCATTTTGATCAGTTTCGCACCGACCAGATAACAGTAGATTCAAGGGGATAACAACATGGTGGAAAAAATTTGTTGATTTTTTTTTTAACTCTTGTTTTCATTATCCATCCTAACTTTAAATATTAAAAAGATTCCCAAAACCCCAGATTTAGATTGACATCATTTATAATAGACCCATTTGCATGCCAAAGTAGAAATTAAGCACAACTATTTTACCATATCCACTTTTACATCCATGACAGCACTTCCCACTGCCCATATTTACATCAAGATATCTTCCAGATGGGCAGTCTTGAGGTTGTAAATTTTTAGAGCAGTTGTTTATTTTTTGACACAATCTATAATCAATTAGTGATGAATGAATAATCGATACAGTTATTAATTCAATTAGAATCCACAAAATAAGCCACATTTTTAGTTCCACTTGTGCTATTTCTGACCAAATAATACTGAATATAATTTTTATTTATCATTTAAAGAAATAAATTGCATGTTCACAAGCTGATAGCGATTGTCATTTGTGTTCCTTGATAATTTTTTTTATATTTTTGTTTCCTACCTCACAGCAGTTTTTTTAATTATTGTGTATCGTTTTGTTTATTTTGAATTTGTAGTCGCATCACTGCTTTAGCAAGAAAGGAAATAGAGTCACAATCATGGATAAATCAAGCAATGGTCAAAATCATGGTCAAAAAGTATCACAAATTGCAAACATTTTTCAACGTAAGGCATTAACTGAAGATCATAAAGACAATGCAGCAACACCTGTTGTAAGAACTGAATCACATGCTGCACGCTTTAATAATGCTAGAGCACTTTTTGAAAGACTGGGAGAAGGTCGCATAAATAGACCTAATTCATTCAGCATTAAGCATTCCACAAGTAAAGACGATAATTTAAAAGATCCTAGTCCTGAAAGACAACGGTCACCATCGCCTAAAAAATTTAATGGCCTTGGAAAGATTGAGGGAGTTGGAATAATTCAAAATGTGTCGAGGATAAAGTCAGAGAAACCTGAAAAACCAGAAAAGCCCGAGAGAAAATTCAATTCGAAAGAATTAATTGAGAAGCAGAAGAACTGGACATCACATTTTACAAAATCCAAATCAGTGACATCATCATCAGCATCAGCGAGATGTGATATAATTAGAGCCGTACCTGGCTATAATGCTGAAGTAATAAAGACACCTGAACCAGTTAAGGAAGTTAAGTCAACAAGATCAGCTTCAATTGAATCAGCATCGCCACCAAGTCCTTCAAAAAGACAATCTATATCAACACCACCAGAAATAAAGCCTAGAACAACGTCACGCTCCAATTCTATAACAAGCCCACAAAAATTACCCGATGTAACAAAAGTAGATGAGAATCAGTCATTAATAAGAAAGAAATCTTTAGACTTCAGCGACCAACAGCAGATACATTCCAATAGTAATTCTGTAGACAATCGAAGACTTAGTAGTGACAAAGAGTCAAGTTTAGCATCACCAGCACGTATAATTAGTTCAACTCCATCGCCCGCAGCAAGCTCGTCAGGTCCATCAAGTCCCGTTCACACGGAGGATGAAAAGCAAGAAAATGAGTCCAATGAAAAGACTGATATGGTTTCTACACTCGATGATGGTAAGTCAAAGAACTTTTTTTCTTATTTATATGAATGATGGATGAAAGTCGTTCACATATGATGTTCAATGTTTTTATGGAGAAGCATTATTAAGCCTTATTTGCATAGATCTAGATCTCAGTTTGATATTAAATTTCAGTTTAATTTGATTCCTTCTTGGTCATGAGTCATGACAGATCAAATACAATCTTTTCAGTCAGATAACGACACTGAATGTATCTCAAAATTGATCGATACTATTTGACAATCTTTAGAGTAAATACAAAGCAATTTAAATCTCAATTTAAGATAGACGTCATTTGTGAACGACCCTTAACAGCAATAGAAACGCCTCAAATTTCGACAGTAATTCATTTCAAAATATTCATGAATGCATCATCACCTTTTAATAAAAATGTTTCGTGTTGGCTTAATGATTTGCACAAGAAAGAAATAAGAAATAGACAATATTTCCGACAGTACGCAAACAACATTAACAGAGCATTGTATGAACATATCAACAAAACATTCATTTCTGCCTGATTCTCTCAACTGACTTTAAATTGACTGAAGAGAGAGTCAGCTTAAGACAAAACAAATAATTTGATGACGACGATTGAATACGAAAAGAAAAATGAGTCGAAAATAAAAAGATTGGATTTAATATATCAGCAGTAGATACTCATAATTGTATATATACACATTCATGTCTCGCAACACAGCAGTCTTCCTTTTTCTTTTAATAATAATAAAACAAAATGAAATAAAGAAGCGAATGAGTGGCTCGCGGATAATCATCATCAGTCGCGATCGTGATTCCATGTAGTGAATTTACTCTGAGCTTGCTCTGTGATCGTGAATTAAAAGAAATTCTCTCTTTCTCTTCTGCTTCCTATACATGATGTGCCGAAGTATTTCATTAATTGATCTTATTCTCCCCCTTTTTTGACTCGTTGTGTTGTGCATTAATCTCATTATTCTCCACAGTGCATTGTGAAACTGTTTTTTGTGTTGTGCGTTGGATATCCATTATTAAAAGTTGTGAATCAAATAGTGAATAATTCAGCAATTTTAAAGAAATAAAGAATTTGAGGAAGAAGAAGTCACGAAGACGAAAAAAAAAATAGAAATAAATGTATATCTAAGCAGAAAGCTGTGATGAAGAATATAAAGGAAATTGTCTGTTCTAAAAATATTTCCGTAATTCTATAAATAATTCTACTCACTTAAAAATATTGAGAAGAGAAATGAAATTTTCTTGGATGTTGATACACATAAGAAGAGATTAAAATGTGGATGTACATTGTGTCGTTTTCATTTTTATTACTAATTCCTACGTTATAGTTGATGGAAAAACTGTGAATGGCGTTCACATTGGTGTGAAGTGTAAAAGAGTGAAAGAACTAAATAGTAATAATACATGCACAATTTGCAATATGAGAATATCTTTTAATACATTTAAATTATTCAGCAGTTCATGAAATATAAAACAAAAAAAAAATAAGAATCAATACAAAAAAAAGTTAAATAGACATAAATCTTCTCAGTTTAACTTCTTCTCTTATTGGAATACGAAGTGGCACATTAGAGAATAGCGAAAGACTGACTGTGTTGATTAGAATATTTATTCCAGTGGTTGTGTTGAGTTGTTGCCTTAAAATTAAATTATTGTTATGTCCATACCAAAAATGTCCAGTATCAAGTAAAGAATCCAAAATTTGTGTCTTTGTGACTGCTTTTGACTCAATAAAAAGCTGAGAAAAATCAAAAATTCCATTTCACGTGTGGGATGGATTGAAATGTAATAATAAATAAATGCAGAATAAATCAGGGTTGGAAGCTGGAATGTACCTATGATATAAACTAATGCATAATCATAGGCACTTATATTCACGTATTCATAGATTCGCATCTAGTTGAATGGTTCGTGACATGAAATTCACGTGATGAAATTAAGACATAAACAGCTGCTAATTGGTTATACCTAAACTCTTAAGGTTTAAGCATAATCAGTTCGTAAATTTAGACAACCTTTGAGTTGAAGTAAGGATTTCAATACCGGCTTAAAATTTCAATCCCGGAATTACGGTATTAGAAATTGTTGATTCCGAGATCCCAGGTTCAAACCCGGTATTAAATTCGGTTCAGAAACCACGGTATAAAATTGCGTTCAACATGTTCAAAATAAGAGATTTCAATTAAAATCAGGTGTATTAGTCATTAAGAAAATTTTTGAATTGAAAACTAAGCCAGGAAGTCAAAGTTTTTCCAAATGTATCAATATTTCCTTTTATTGTCTTGTCTGAACTTTTTAACTTTTCAATTAAAGCTTTTGTAAATTTTTATAAAGATTATCTTTTAACCTTTCAAATCAAAAATGATTTAAAATTTTACGTAAAAATTTGATTATTCTTTTGTAAAAATTTTTAAAACTTTTGTTTTATAAAATATCAAGAACTTTAATTTTAATTCAAATAATAGATTTTATCGCAGCTTTATTAGAGATGCATTCGAATGATCATAAAATCTATTTAAAATTCAAAAATTTTCAAAGTTTTGGAAATTACAATGGGCATGTGACAACACTTATTTTTAACATAATAAAAAAAATTTGAAAAGAAAACTGTAAGTTAAAAAGAATTTTTAAATTATTTGGTAAAAACTTGCTGGTTAATATTATTTTACTCTTTAATTTAACAAGATTTGTGAGAAAATCTAAGGATATCTTGATCCCAGAATTGAAGCTTTCCTAATCCCGGGGTTACGGTATTGAAAAATTGGTCCGGACCCCGGCTGAAATCCCTACTATTTGATAAAGTTTTTGGCTTGACCTTGAATGTCAATAATCCTTACTTAATGTGAATCTATGGTATTCTATCTTATATTAGCAATTAAGTCGAACAAAGCTGTCTGTTCCTTTGTACTTAACCACAGTTCCAGTTTCACAGGAACCAACAAACTCACAACCCTGGGAGAAATGTTAATCACACACAAAAAAAAGAGACACTCAACTTGTTTTTAAGACTTGTAAAAAACACAATCAAAATTAGTAAATGAATTTAAATTGCACACTGTACATCAGTTTAGCACTTGATATTATGGACACTTTGTTGCTGCCATAACCACAAAACAAAAACTAAAAAAAATGTCAGAATCATTTAAAATTTAAATCCTTTCCGATGAATTGATTGATTATTTTTGTGTGATGTGAATGATTAATAAGTTCAGTGAGCAGTATAGAAGAAATATTTTAGTCAGTGACATTTATTACAAACTTTGAAAATTGTGAATGAAAATGCCAAAAATCATTTAGTGGACAAATTTGTGAATTAAAGATAATCATGAATGTGCTGTGCCTCAATATCCGAAGATTTTGTAGCGAGTGTAAAGGTTCGAAATGAAATAATTTATTACTCTTGTTCATTCTTCTTCTTCCTTGCTGTTTATATATGTTGTGTCACGAAATTCCTTCGCAAATATTTTATCAATTTGATCACTGTTAATTTTGTTCGGTACGATTTTCGTCCATGCACTACGATCACCCTCATTTTGTACGGAAACAGCCAGATACGCACACGCACCATTCTCGAGAAATTTTGATGAGAAGTAGGTCTCAAAGCCACGTCCACCAATTTTAATATCTTTCTCTTCACGATCTTTTAATTCGTTTATCCATTCCGGAAAATCATGAATGATTTGACTGAAATCAAATTCCAAATGTGGCAAGTCTCTAATTGGTGGTGATTGATTGAATGGTTCCGAGAATGTAGCAGTTTGTATACAATTCAATAGTTTTGTAATATAATCATTCCTCTTCATTTTTGCGGTAATGCTTTGCTCGTCACACGACGAACTTAACTTCAATATCCATTCCTTTGCTAGATCTTGCTTCCTCTTTGATAAATTCTTCATTGGATTATTAGCAAATTGTAATAAGTATAAGAAATCATCATCCAATCGATTTATTAATCTCTGTTCTGGCGTTAAATCCGAAATTGATGCTTCCATCGTTACTTTATCTATGCTCAATTAAAGTCTGCGATTTTATTAATAATTTTGAAGAATTTTTCTCTTTCGACTTGTAAAACAAATAAATTAAGCCAATTGCGATGAAAAGTTGAATTAACTTACGCTTGTAAAGTCTTATAAACAAATTAAGGAAATGAAGAGTAACAAATTGATTGATTTTATTTCTAGGTAAAAATCGTTCAAATGATGAAGATGACAAGGCTCATCGGAGATCGTCAAAGAAAGTGTCTAGCATTTGTATTAATTTACCAGCTGCAGGTTTAGGTCAACGTCCTTCAAGTGTTCATAGTTCGATTAACGATGAAGGTGGATTTAATGAACCATCGCCAGAAATTAAGGCACTACAAACAGTATATGATTACGATCAAGTCGTTATTGATGCTCAAATGGCATCACATCCAGATGTCTTGAGTAATGTCACATATGTTGATCTTGCACATCGCGTACAACCTGAAGGAATCGAAAGTGATCAATCGTATGATGAGAATGAATCGTATAGACGTAAAGCTGAGAATATTTGTGAGATAAAGAAGGAAAAGGTTGTTTATGCTACAATCAAAACGGAAATGCCTGTAAAAGAAATGATTTACGAAAAGGAGAATATTTTGGATGATGATGAGACGGATGATATTAAGATAATTCAACCAGATGTTACTGAAAGAGGCTATGTTAGTCCGCAGAAAATACTCGATCCAACGTGTACAAAATTACATGATGAAAATAACGACGATGATGATGATGATGACAAAGACATTGAAGACTTATTTAATAAGAAATTACCACCTATACCTTTATGCGGTTCCGAAACAGAGACTGAAGAAGATGATGTAGCACCACCAATACCGCCGATGTCAACTAAGAAAGTACCTCCACCAATTCCCGAGTTAAATTCACCATTAGATCTTCAGGATGTCGAATTTGCTGATGCGAGTGACCCAGAAGATGACTTGATAACTAATGTTAACAATAATAATAAAAATAATACCAATGAAGAAATCTTACCTGATGCCATGACAAACGATGAGGCTGAGAGGCTGTTGAGTTCAAGGTTTGTCTCATTCTCATGCTAATATTTGCTAAGAGGGGGGGGGGGGGGGGGGGGGGTGTTCAAAAATTAGAAGTTGAATTTTAAAGCCACTTTTGAATGTTTTTGCGCTCATGGGAACAAATTTGAATTCAAATGAGGCTTAAAATTAATTTAATAATTTATTGAACGCACCCTTGAATTTATTATTATACTTTTAATACATGTAGTGCAATTTCTCTCATTCAACACTCTTATTTCTTTATTTTTTTCATACAATTTTCTTCAAAAACGAATTACTGTCAAAATAATCATACAACTTGAATCATCAAAAAAATTATACAAATATATCTGTACGCTGTACACAAATACACGTAATTTTTGCTTAATTGCTATCTTCACACATTAATAAACCACCCAAATCATTCATCAACATTATATTTGGATTATTTTTGTCATCCTATTGCTTGCTAATGTCTTGTGTTTGCCAAATCATACATTATCTCTTGATTTTAAATCATTCATTTTCTTTAGGATTTTGGAAAGCAAAATTAGGTAAATTAAAACATACACACATTTTATTACACATAATAACTCATCATTTAAATGATGCATAGCCTCATTATGTCTTTAAAAAAATCAAAAAAAAACTTTTAATTATCTTTTTATAGACAACAGTCATTACTTTCTGATGAGCAAGCACGTGAAGTTGAAGCAATTCTTGCAAATAAAGAGCTTCCACCATTACCAGTAGAAAATATTAAGGAGAATCTTAAGGAGAAGACAATTGTTGAGGATGATGAGCCAGATTGGCTACAAGATGTACTTAGCACAACAACAGGAAATAAATCCGAATTTTTGAATGATAAATCCACAGACCAAATTAATGATGTGCTCAATCAAACTATATTGTTGGGTGACAATTCAGCGAATGCATTGTTCCAAGATTCTATCGTTTCTGTAGAATCGAATCAAAGTGCCAATGAGAGTATAGTGACGACAACAACTTCTGATAGTATTAATTTAAGTAAGGTTGAATCAAATAGGGATGGATCTATAATAAGCTCAGCGACATCACTTGTAGAGGCTGACGAGTCTGGAGATGAGTCACTTCAAATGGAATATCCACCAGTTGCGGCACAAGAAGTCTTTATTAATCAGGACGGTGTACATTTCTTTGAGGATGGCAATTTTTGGATGGAAGTTCCTGGATTATTGGAAAATGATCGAGATGATGAGGAGGAGCAACACATTCCAGTTAAGAAAAATACCAAAGTTAAATTTAGTACAGCACCAATTCAAGTCTTTTCGACATTCTCAATAAATGATTATGATCGAAGAAATGAAGATGTTGATCCAGTTGCAGCTTCCGCTGAATATGAGCTGGAAAAGAGGGTTGAAAAAATGGATGTCTTTCCAGTGCAATTAATGAAAGGAAGTGAAGGTCTTGGTTTAAGTATTATTGGCATGGGAGTTGGAGCTGATTCTGGACTCGAAAAGCTCGGTATTTTTGTCAAAACAATTACTGAGAATGGTGCAGCAGCCCGTGACGGACGTATTCAAGTAAACGATCAAATTATTGAGGTTGATGGAAAGTCTTTAGTTGGTGTTACACAAGCTTATGCTGCGTCAGTATTAAGAAACACATCAGGTCTAGTAAAATTCCAAATTGGACGTGAAAAAGATCCAGACAATTCGGAAGTTGCACAACTCATTCGACAGAGTCTACAAGCTGATAAAGATAAGGAAGAAAGAATAAGACGACAACAGGAAGAATACTTCCGACGAACATCTGAAGATTCTACACTTCCTGTCTCAGCCAATTCAAGTCTTTCAGAAGGTCCAATGTCACCGACTCAAATTGCAGCCGATTCACCATTTGCTGATGGTATCGAGTACAGTGGAAATTCGGGTGACGTAGAATCACTCAAACGACTCCTTCAAGAAGTAAGTTCAATAGATGACCGTTCAAAACACCTAAAGTTTTTTACCTCTAAACATTTCAAATTTATAAAACCTAAATTTTCTGCATCTAGAGTTTTTAATCTCTATATACATTTGTATATAGGTGTTAAAAACTGCACGTGCAGTTTTTTACTTCTAATGATTTTTTCATTAGAAATTAAAAACTGCACATGCAGTTTATAATCTCTATATATAAATGTATAAAGAAGTTATAAACTACACGTGCAGTTTTATACGTCTAATGAAAAAATCATTAGAAGTAAAAAACTGCACGTGCAGTTTTTAACACCTATATACAAATGTATATAGAGATTAAAAACTCTAGATGCAGAAAATTTAGGTTTTATAAATTTGAAATGTTTAGAGGTAAAAAACTTTAGGTGTTTTGAACGATCATCGTTCAATATTTACAATACGTTTTTATCTGTGAATGATTTTGTTGATTAATTAACTCATTCATTTCTCATTCAAAAAATTAAATAACTCATTTATTGCTTTGTTTGTTCTCTTTGCATTGTCTTACTACATTTTTGTTGTCTTGCATAAAAAAAAACAATTAACCACATATGACATAAAACCTAAAGAAAACGAAAGCGATTGCTATGCATGAAGGAGAGATAATGAATTTGAAAAAGATGGTAAGAGAATCTTTTTTACTGTTTTGTGTTCTTCTCAATCTTTATTTTTAAAAAATAAATTTATCATTTCCTGGTTATTAATTTTTACTATTAATTGCCATTTAACAGCTAATTCGATACCAAACGATATCGAACGAAACCGAAATTATATGCGAGAAACTGAAGCAAACTGAGAGAGATTTGACGGATATTCGCAAAGAGGCTAACAATTACCAAAACATGTTGCAGCAATCACAGACGCAGTATGCAACACTCGAACGAAAATATTCAAAAGTCAAGAAGATACTAAGAGACTTCCAGCAGCGTGATCGTGATATGGTAAGATCTACATACTTTTATTTCTATTTTATTATAGTTTCTTATTAATCCATTGACAATTTAAACATCCTTAGATACAATTCCAAGAATATTATTTGCAACATTTACAAGAAAAGGACACAGAATATAATGCTTTGGTAAAAAAGCTAAAGGATCGTGTAATTTCATTGGAACAGGAATTACAAGATACACAAAAACGAGCTGGATTGCCAGTGTGCTTGCCGTACGATAATACTAGTCTTAAATTAACCCCACAAATGACAAGAAAGCAGCCGCCTAAGCCACTGTTTCAAAAGAAAATTGAAGGAGAATACTCGGATCTAGAAATATCAGACTTGTCACCCGACGGAGAAGGTGAGGATGGAAAAACAGCTACAGTTGAGAGAAAGGTTCCAGTAAAAGATGAATTTGATACAGCCATTCCGAAGCATGAACTACTCGACTCGTCTGTTAATAAGAGTAAGAGTGATTTGGTATCACGCGGTGCTTTGGCTAATCGTCAGTTGCCAAAAAAGTTGGGAAATAGTAATAGCAGTTCCAATGGGACATTAGATGAAAGTGAAGAAGAACAAAATATCGATGATGCTAATAACAATCCAACATTCACAAATGGAGTTCATTATTCCACACCAATAGTAAATAAACCTGTGGTTCCGCCATCTGTTCCCTTATATGCAAGCGTTCATAAAGAGAGAAATGATGCAACCTCACCCGTCCAAGCATTTAATATGAAACAACAACACACAACTATACCAAATATTTTCCGCGATAATGTTGGTGGAAAAATTAGCAGTTCTAGTTACGGAAGTGACTTGAATGCTTCTTCTTATGAGAGTGATATGGGCTCATCAAATGATAAGCTTGATGATCAATCACCAGACACTTGGATTTATCCGAGTCGACGACCAAAAGGCTTAAAAGGCATTAATCCACCATCACTTGCTGAGCAATTGAAAGAAAGACTTGCTGAGCGAGAAGGCAAAAAGGTGGTGGAAGATGGATCATCACGCGATAGCAGTGACGATTTTACTGATCTCAATCATTCACAAAATCCAGCTGAGAGGATTTCACAAAATCTATTATGTGAAATTAAAAAGGCTGTAAACGAAAACGTTGGAAAAGGTAAGGAATGATGATGTCTAGTATGCTTGCCTGCTTAATTGTTTGTCTGCTTGTGTTTTATGTGTATGACGACTTAATTCTCATACAATTGAGTTACTTTTATTAAATGTTCAAAAATAGCAGTTAGGCTTAATTTCTCAATTATCGTATTAAGACGACAAATACATTTTGAGGAACAAAGAGGATGAAAGATCCATCGTAGCTTGTTTTAAAATTAATTATAAATGCTTCAATAAAGATTTAATTTAATTCCGAAAAAAATCTAATGTTTGTTTGCATGTAGGATAGTATATGTATGTTAGGACAGAGAAAAGAATTTAGGAATTTAAAGGTAGACAAAGTGGAAATGCTGTGTGTGTATCTTGTGTGCAGGGGTGTAGCCAGTGTGGTTAAGAGCTTTTTCTAGATTGAATCTTGTATGGGAAATAATATAAATTTATGAATCAAGATCCCCCCCTTTAAATTGTTCCTGGCTAAGCCCCTGCTTGTGTGTGTTCGATTGTTATTGCTATTATTAAACTGAAAAAAATTCAAGTATAATTCACTTTGGTTCCACTTTTGCGACTTTTTTTCTTTCTTTGTTTTTCTTTTCTTTTTCGATCTAACAAAAAAAAATTTAAAAAAACTTTAATAAAATTTGCTATGACAATAAAATGACCATATAAACAGTAAAACATGTACCTCCCTCAACAATATCTCCGTTAGGTTCGTCTCCACCTTGGAAACATCAAACTCAATCGAGTGACGATAATTTATCTGCATCGTCTGATTCGTCACCCGCGTACTCTCCAAGTCGTACTATAGATTTATCTGGATCATCGACAAGCTTCTCAAGCGATCGTGCCAAAATATCTGCTTCTTCACATCAATGGAAGAGTGGACCCGTTGAGCAATGGAACAATGAACAGGTTTGACTTTTTGATATCTGATCAGAAGCAATAATTGGTAACATTTATGTTCATTGCCACTTAGGTATGTCACTGGCTATTAGGAATAAATATGGAGCATCATGTGCCGAAATTCATTGAGCATGGCGTTGAAGGTGGCGCTTTATTGCAGTTGGATTCTCGCGATTTTAAAATCTTGAATGTTTGTGGAGATGACAAGAAGTTATTAAAGAAGAATATTAAGGAGTTGAAGCGATTGAATGAGAAGGAGAGGAGGCAAACGGAAAAGGATCGAAAGGAACGCGAAAAAATGATTAAGAAGGCTGAGAAAAAAGCAGAAAAGGAGAAGAAAAAGAAATAAAAATTGAAAATTGAAAGACATGAATATATTAGGACTCTCTCTCAGTCAGATGCTATTAATTACTTTAACGACACTATTGTAGACTAGTTTATATTTATCGACTTTCATCATCATTACTCACAAAACAAAAGTAACTTCAACCTTCTTCCTCGTCTTACTATTACTTTATATTCAAACATCTAAGTTTAATTTGTAGATTGATTTTATTATTTTAAGTAATTTATAATTTGTAAATAATGTTCGTGTATGTTTTGAGTTGTGTATGACTTTATTTTAAAATCCATTTGCATTATTATTGCGAAATTTTCGACTCATTTATTTTAATTTTTTTAAAAACTATGGAATGAAAGGAATAGAAGCAAAACAAAAACAAAACATGTTAGTTCTTAACGACTGCAAATTTTACAATGAATTTTTAAGTCAATTTTTTCGACTTTAATTTCGATTGCATTTTTTATACGGTTACATAGATATTAAGGAAGTAAACAAAAATAACTGCAGCATTAATGTTTTTAAAGAAAGAAGAAAAAAAAACAAGAAAATGAGTATAAATTAATAAGATAATTAACCAATTTAATATTACGAATATCCTATTTCTCTTTAGTGTGTTTAAAAAATGAAAGGAACCTCCATGCGAGGACGTTTTTAATCAAAAAATATTTATGCTACAAACTATGATATACAAACATTTAAAAACAAAACATTAATGACAATTCCTTTTTTCAAATTTACGAAAGTACTTGAGGACGAAGCCCTTGTCTACGTTTAATTTATTAATCTATAACTCATATTAAGGAAGAAATTATCCATGAATTTATTAAAATGTGTCAAAAATGAAAAAGATATTCTTTAGAAAATGGTCAGAATGAAGAATACGAAATTTTTTACCACTGTTTACAAAAAGAATCGATGGTTCCGGAACTAACCATTTCCAATTTTTATACAAGCTATCTCTGCAATATATTGATTATATCCTTCCACACTCGATAGTGATCTGAAGTTTTCATTTCTTTCTTATGCTTTTTGTTGCTGCATTTGTTAAAAGAAGATTGCCTGTTCAGATTCATGAATCTGCAGACAAACCAGCTTTATTCTGAATCTATTATTGTTCTTAAAAAAATGGATATTAAACCCCCTTCGCCATCTGTCATAAAATGTTGATACAAATCTTTTTGTGTTGCATTAAGTTGTTAACCCTCTAGCTGCTTTCAAACTTGGACATTATTTTTTGAACGATACCTAGCCAATCTGAATCCCCTGCTCATAGATAGAATTTTTGAAAAGGTTCCGATTATAACTGTCGTGCTAACCTTTTAATAGATTTACTTCACAAATTTCAATTAAATCTTTAAAGTAGATCTTGAGAGGTTTTATAATATCTCAAAGTTGAGAGGTTGGGATCCATAAATTAGAAATCCAGAAAATTGAAAAGAAAATTTTCCTGCACTCAATATAGAAAGCAGGATTAAAAAATAAATTTACATTTTGAAAACCATTAAATAAATGAAAGATAATGAAAACTTAAGATCACTTGACTCTCACATCTATCCTCCTTGAACTGAAAAATACCCCCCTTTTTCCAAGACATTCTGAAACCGATGAGTACGATACAAAGAAAAAATAATAATTTTTTTACCATTTTGATTACGATAATTCAAACTAATATTATATAATATATATGATGAATCCCCGTGAAATAATGATGGAAATTAATGTAGTAATGGATAACAGATAAAAATATATCCAATGTAGTTGTTTGAAACATGATAACATTGTAGTTGAAAATAATGAAAAAAAAATATTAGTGCAAGAATTTTACAATTAAGTCCTATTTCATGATAAATTTAAAGTTCCCAAACCCTTTTTGTTATGTATTTTGAAAACCTATTAGACAAAAAAGAAAGAAAGAAAATCAGAACAAAAAAAAAGTTATACGAAAAATTCGGCAATTTTTCACAGATTTAGATATGCCTAATCGCCGACATTAATTAATTCTTTTTGTTTGAAAAATCGTTAAATTAAGAATATTTCTCCAAAGATTTTATTTCCTTGAGAGCTTTAAGCTTCAATTGTTTTTTACTATTTCCTCTTTAATTAATTAATTTTTGCGAAATAATAATATGATTCTTGTAAATTTTATATTTTGCCAAATAATTAAACCATCCATAAAAAAAATCACAAATTTCATTAAAACAGAAGAGACAAATTCATCTCTAGAGACAGCAAAAGAAAGAAAATCATCAGTTAATAAGGTCATAAAAATAAACGTAAATTATTCAATCAAAAGTACCAGTTGCCTATGTTGTTCCTTATAAATTACTGTTCTTTCAGGTTCCCTGTTGTCAAATTTTAATGCCTCATTTGGGGCTCATAAAGCTGAACTTCCTCTCATCATTATAAAAACCCTTTAAAAAGCAGCATATCAGATATGATCCAATCATTTAAAGTTCAAGCTATGGATATACCACAAAGTGAAAACATTTTCAATATAACAACCGAGAGTCTTAAATTCTTAAAGATTTTTCAAACTCTCGGATTCTTGCCTTTCAAGTTGAACACTAACGAAGGCAATTTTGCTAGAAATGCTTCAATTTGTCTTTTCATCTTTCTCATTAGTTTCGTTCTTTTGAGATGCTTCTTACTTCCTGACGAAAAGCAATTTATTGTATTATTCTTTCTGGATATTATAACACTGTTTGCTGATCAAATCTTAACGCAATTTATGAAGAAAACGCAGATTAAGCTTTTTAAAATGATTGGAGAAATTGATCAAAAGATTGAGATGGAATTGCGAATGAAGCACAAGCTTGAAGCTCTTAATATAAGATTGCATCAAAAGTTTAAAATTAAATGGCTTCTTTACAGTGCCGGTTCTATGTATTATCCTATTAAACATTTGATATTCGATAATTTTTCAATGAAGTTCTTTGACGCGATTTTCAGGATCATTTCTTGGTAAGTCTGATCACATTTATTACTTAAATCCTCAATGGTTCATATCCTAAGATTACCTAAGATTAGGAATCCATTAATTAAAAGCTTCCTGAAACACTTGACATTTAAGAGTTTTAATAAAGTTGTTAAAACTTGGAGATTTTAAATCAGGCTTGCGACTTTTTGAGTTTCCTTCATAATGCCACTGTTCAACTAACATTATTGATGACTTTCTACAGCTTTTACACTAAATCTAAAGCAGAAGAATACCTTTTTATCTTGGTAATTTTAAACATCCTTGAATTATCGTTTTACAGGTCATTTTTGGTGCATATGAACATCATGAAACACTTATATTTCTTTGAATTATTGACAGTTCGTTTGGAAGTTATAAGATCATGTCTCAAAGACATCCTTGACTATCAAATTAAATATAGCAGCTGCTTCATGATTAATGAACTCGTTAAAAAGAAACATACTAAGAAATATTCTCCTTATAATCAGATCATGATCCTAAAAGAGATTTACTATCGTTGCTGGCTTATCCAAGATTATATCTTACAACTCTCTGGATTTTTTCTCCTCATTTATTTCATTGGATATATTGGTCAGCTGATGTATGTCATGTTCTATTATGTCAAAATCTCAATTTTAAACGAAGAATTGTATGAAAATTTATTGGCAATCATTTTATACTTCATATTACTGAACATTTTTACGATTTCCTTTTTCATCGTAAGCACCAAAATTCGTACAAAAGGACTCAAAATATCAGGGTTAATTCACCAAATAGCGCAGAACTCTATCAATGATTCTCAATTGGTGGAAGTTGTTAAATTATTCTCAGCACAGATTTCTCAACAGCCAATGAATTATATTAACATCCTTGGAATCATTTATTACGACAATTCAAATATTAATGGGGTAAGTGGAACCGAATAGTTCCTTTATTTATTGAAAACCTTACAAATTTCCGATTTATAGAAGCATTTGTACGGTTTCAAAATTAGCTGTTGTAAGGTTTTAACCGTTTTAACAATTATTAATTCAATTTACAGCTTGTTCTCCTTTATTCATCATTGTTTTATGAGGCTTTTCATATTAATATAAAATTAATTGATTTAAAAAGAAAGGCAAAAGAGCTCGGAGTAACTGCTGAAGAGCCTGAAATTCGTTCAATAAGTTTGTAATAAGTCCCGGATAACTGGTAGTATTTGTTTGCGGCTTGCTTTAACATTGCCTTGACTATAAAATTTTCCATCGAGGAATTTTATGTCCTCATTTAATGCAAGCTTCAAATCAGGATTTTTCATTGACTCGACAGTTTTTATGATGTCATCATACAAGTTTTTATTTTTGATATCCATAACTGCGAGATGTCTTTCTACAGTATCATCAACTGGTTTCATTCCCATAAACATGATGACATCAATATTTTCTTGATCAGCAAAAACCTTGACATTAGCGGCAGCATCATTCATAAATGGATATTCGAAAACGTGAAGCCCTGACATTGCAACTTTAACTGTAGAATCTTTATTTGATACTATTTTGAGATCTTTTGATAGAATTTGGAGGGAATTGAGACAGCTCACATCAGCTCTTGCATCAATTAGTGCTTTAAAAATGCTTTTCCGCGTTTCTTCTATGTTTACAATGCTTAAAGCTTTTTCAATTATGTCAGTCATTTCAAAATCCAGCTCACGGACTTTGTCAGCATCTTTACTGTAATTAATTGTGTCCAAAATGATTGGTCCATAAAGGAAATGCAATAGACTTTCATCCTTTTTAATATCTTCAGTGTTTAGATCGTTTTTTATAGCTTCGAGAACTAATGTTGCACAAGATCCAATTTCCTGAATATTAACAATGCACTCTTTTTTAAGCATGGATTTTTCATCATACGGACGATGATCCAAAACGGACACAACTTTTTCATGATAAGCAGACACATGATGATCAACTAATATGAAGTTTTTGACACTTGAATCCACATTTAACTCGTCTTTGCAGATCAAACTGTCAAGTTCTATTCCATGTTCCTTTAACCAGTAAGTTACTTCCGTTTTTAAAGGCAAATGTTCTTTTTTACAGTTGATAATTGGAAGGATGTTGTAGCTCTTACTTCTTTTACTATCTGGGATAATTCTTGAGCTAATTCCAAAGTTACTTAAATGATATGCAAGGGAAATTGACGAAACTGAAAGTAAATTTCATTAGCCGGCATTTTGAGATTGTTTTAAGAGCTTACCTGCTGAGTCTAAATCGACACTCTCATTTCCCATAACAGCTAGAATGTCAGTAACATTCTTGGACACACTTTTAATATTTTTTAAGTAGCTGTTCATCCTTAAAAGTTTAAAAAACATACTTTAACTTCACAACATTATTTTGTGTTTTTGTTTGTGTTGCATCAGCTTGACATTTAAACTTTCCAAGCCGTTATACTTGATTCTAGTGCTTGATTATAAAAAATATAAATTTATCGAACAAACAAGTTTAAAATTAGATTATTTAAATTCATGAATATATCCGTGGGACTGACTAGTTGAATATCCACTAAGAATCAATAGTTTAAAATTTTAGGTATCACGTTTATTGAAGTTGTTATCAAATAATAATTACTCAAATATTCACAGCATGTTTTATAATAAACTTTCAGGAGGCAGTCTTTCCTTATAAAATAATTAATGTACAATCAAAATCACTGTCGTCGGATGCATCAGATTCACCTAATAAAATATTAGCGATTGATTGTTGTTTTAGCTGTTCCTTCTTTTTATATTTGGACTTAACTTTCTTAGATGGAGGCTGATTTTCTTCGTCGGATAAATCAGAATCACTATACATTACTTTATGCCGCTTCTTTTTTGATTTTATATGCTTCATATTATTGATTTTTTGAGGACATTGTTTCCAGACTTCATCATCACTGCTTACGTCTGATTCTCCAAATATTGTTGCTGCATATGACTTTGGCTTTTCATTATCATCGTTATTGTCTAATTTGTCTTGTTGTACTTGATCAGTTTCTATGCTTTTATTTGATTCTGTATCCTCAACACCTTCAGATTCGCTGGCTGTATCACTCTTTGGTCGATTGAAAACATCTTCACACCCTTTGCATGTATATTTGTCATTTGGTGATCCTTGAAAGCATTGCTCGTGAATTCCTGCAGCTCCACAAAACTGACACAATCTCCACATATGCATTTCGCCAGCATGCAAACACTTATTCTTACATTTCATGTCCTCACATGACAATTTTATTGGCTCATAAAATTCTTGATATGCATTCTCTTCCAATTCCCATGCAGCATCTCTTATTGGAAAGAATATACCTAGTTTCATCCATTCCTCTGTCTTTTTACTTCCACAAAGAGGACACTTAAACAATAATGCTGAAGATAGAGCATACTTTTGCATACATTTTTTGTGGAACCAAGAATTTCTACAGCAAGGTGAAAGTACAGCATCTGGAAACTTTTTAATAAGTGAATCATAGCACATTCCACATTCTGAATCGAGTTTCTTATTATCAATTTGCTTGATCTTCTTGTGCTTATTGCAGTAAGTTCGATATTTGGATGTGAACTCGAACACTATGTTGTTTTCTATAGCACATTTAGTGTGATATGCAGCTCGACAGGTCTGAATAGTACATCCTAAGAATCAGTCATTATATTAGAAGGTGCTTTTAATGGACCTATACATTAACTTACCTAAATTAGCTCCTCGTTGTTTACAGAATCTGCATTTAAGTGGTTGAACTCTTCGGGCTTCAGTTCTTATGTCCTCTTGCAGAAATCCTTCAAAGCCTTCATTATCTGATCCATTTTGCAATAATCCAGGTCCAAATAACATACAAAACAAATGAGCAGCAATATTCTCATCAGAATACAATTCACCATAGTTAAGTTCATCTAGCGTTTTAGTTTTACACAATATACAGCAGTCAAAACTTGCTTTTTCCATCATTTTTAATTAATTTATGTCTATTCAATTTAATGTTCTATCAGTTCTGATTTTTAAATACGTTTAGAACATAAATTTGATTTTCGAATCGGTTTTGCGGGAAAGTTTTCAAAAATTAAAATAACAGTTCCTTTCAATATTCTTAATTGATGGTTTCCTTTAGATTAAGAGATGATACTGTTGGTTTTTGTTTAATAAAGTTTATTTTGTGTAGCATGTAGTAAATAAAATACAGTAAAGAATACAGTGTTTATAACAAATTTTCAAGTTCATCATCTTCAGGATTTATGCTGGAAGTGACATTTGATGTTTCCTTTGATATTATCTCATAAAACTCAAGATTCTCTTCCATTGTGACTGTCGAAACTGGTGATTCGTTGATTGTAATAAGACCTACTCCTTCTGTGACTATATATTTATACCATTCATCAATCTTATTACGTCTGATCATTAATTTCTTCAGTTCTTTAATCCATGTGTTGTAATTAAATGGTGCGTGAATTTTAGCCACATCTCTGTAAGCTACAATCGCTTCCTTAATCTTATCCCCAAGATCAACAGTTGATTTGAATAACAATTCGTGGATGACACTCTGAATTTGATCACACAAAGTTCCAAATCGTTCAGTTTTCCTATTAATCAAGTACAAAAAGTCTTCAGCTGGACTGACGGTTCCAACAGCAACAATTAATCGTTCATTTGATTCAGCTTGTGTAATATCGAGCATGTCTTCATCGTGCATATCAGTAGAAGCGTTATCAATACTCTTCTGTCCAAATACTTTCTTTTCTTTACGATGAATAATTTCAAGGGGAAACAGATCTTCAATTTCCTTTATTATGTCTGCAGACTCATTTTTAATTTTCTCCGGAACATCAATCATTTTCTTCAATTCATCATCAAATGTTGGTAATGGAGCTGTTGGATTTAAAGCACGTTTGGAAATAGTACGACAAATATGCTGTTGGAATGGATTCAACGAAGTCTCAGCTGTAAAAGCTTCAGTAATTCCAGATTCATCATCAATAGCTTTAGTTAAATCCATAGCCTTAACAAGTTTCTCCATAGCTTTCATCTGTTCATTACTTGGTTTTGTGGATTTCTTTAATTCAAGTTTTTCAAATCGACAGCGCTGAATATTGTCTTCAAAAGGCATTTCAATCATCACTAAGCAAAAACCATCTTCCTTTTTTTGAGGAAATAATCCAACAACTTGTGGCTTACATCCTTTTCTGTAAACTTTTCGAGCTAGAATGAAGTAATCCTTTTGTATCAAATTTCTAACGAGAGCAGAAAATAATGATGCACTTTTTGGATTGTCTCGTTGTGGCACAATAATGTGACAGCCAGTTCCAGCAAATAAATTTGAACCACATTTTTTGCGCTTACAGAAAGCAAGTGTAAGCAAGCACTTATCACCACTATCATAAGCAATTCCAGAATCATCACAAACATTTAATTTTGATCCATAATAAAAAGCCTTAACAATATCTTCTTCACTAGGCTTTTCAATCCTTTCATTATTCTTTGTATAGTCTGTGACCATTTTTGTTACTGTATTAAAATCAGAGCATTCAGTCTTGAAGGACACTAATGACGACTTTTGAACATAAACGTATGCACTGACATTAATTGACAGTTCGTTTCCAACTTTAAGTCCAACATTCCAAGGACTTCCACGAGTTGACTTCTTTTGAAAATAAACCAGTTCCTTCTCAACATAATCAATATGACATAAATTAGCTCCTTCTATGTTTTCAATCATTTTCTCAAAAATGTGTTCGCTCTCTCTCTGACTGTCTTTCTTCTCTGGATTCTGGCTAAATTGCCAGCTTGCTGCTTCAGTTTCATGACAAACTGTGTCTGATCTGTATAATTAATATTCATTAGTTTAATTGTTTAAATGACAAATTAATTGACTTACACTCCGATTAATTCTATTTCCAAATTACCGATGTTACTTGTAATCACGTCTAGATCCTTATCATTTGTTGCTGTCATGAAATTACTGAATAATATAATCCGCAAATGTGAGAACTTCTTAGCTCTGTAAATATAGTATTATTAATTAAGTACTTAATGTTTTTTGGATATTACAATTACTCAGTTTCAGTGCTCATATAATTCATAGCAACAAGAAGACCATCACTCCATCCAACTGATGCATTTCCAGACTTAATTTTGTTAATTTCATCAAGCATAGCCCAAGAAGGCATTTTTAATTTATCCATTTCGACGATATTATCATATCCAAAACCTTTGTCGTTCAAGTCATTCTTAGTGTCATCGGTTCCAAATAATATCACTCCAATTTCATCGTTTGGTTTTGCAAAGATTTTTCTCGTTATAATCTTCTTGACACAATCCAGTGAACGCTGTAAAAATGTCTTTCCAGTCTTTTCAGACATTTCAGATGCATTCTTGCTGACATCCAGGCAAATAACAACAGCTTCCTATTAATTCATTTAATTTAAATTTTTATTCTTAATCTATTTCACAATTTTAAGTAATTTACCTTTTCTGCTCGAGACATCTCACTGATTTCAAGTTCTTCTGAATTGATACGTTTTTATAATTGATTTCCACTCTTTATTGTATTAAATCAACGCGTAAATACTTAATTAATTTATGTTTTAGCAAAAAATGTTTGAAAAACAATTTAAATTGCGGCAAAAGATATAAACAAACAAATTTGAATTTCAACTGGCAGTTATAGAAACTTTCTAAAGGATTTCTCTTAAAATGACAAATTAATGTCTTTAAGAGTTGATAATGTTAATAAAGTGTTATAAAGCTTAACAAATCACGATTTGATGAAGATGTAAGCAGCTAGTTGAAAAGAAAATAAAACAAAAGTTTTTAACGGAATATTTTAATTCAATTTTACAAAGCGACAAGACAAGTTATAAATCAAATTAGCTAGGTTTTTCGAGCTATCAGCTTTCATTTTGTCCAAAAATTATGTTTTCTTAATTATCTTAGCTTGGTTATTTATATATTATCTTAAAAATTAATCATCTATATCAGCATATTTTGTCAGAATCACAACCCGTCTCAAAAAATTCAAAATTTCAGTAATTTTCCTGTGGATTCAAAATTGAGCATAGAATTTGAAAAATAATTGTTCGTTGAGTTATTTAACATAATAAATTAAAGCATTGATAGATTAAAAAAGTGAGTACAATAGAAGCGCTACAAATGAGCAGTCACTAGCATCTTTCTTTGACTTATTTCTTGAATAAAATAAAAAAGAAATTTTTTATTTAGAAATTCCGCATAAAGTTGTTTTTATGATTATAAGTAGCAAGTTATCGTTATTTGTGTAAATATTACGAATTTAAAGATAATTAATAGTATAATTAAAGTGATGATAGTGATAAAATAATCAAGTATCATGGATAAACAAAATGAAATGCAAAAGTTAAAATTAAATGAAATAAGTCAAGGCAATAAACCGAGTACGAATGAATCAGGATGCATCCACTACAAAAGAAAAGCGAAATTTGTGGTAAGTAAACATCTGTATTTATATTACTTGATCAAAGTTCAGAGACAAAAACAAAGAACAACTGGGCATGTAGGCATTAAAAACAGGAAAATCATTGAAAAATTTCACTTTCCACTTTTTCTCTCATATTCTAATGTGCATGCATACATTATTATTGCTGTTGTTGTTGTAGTGCCGCTCATAAATTTCTATTCATGCCTTAAATCCAGTTCTGTGTCTCGAACACCCGCACATTCCATTATCAAATCAAAAAAAAGAAGCTATTCAGTTTGTCAATTTGCTATTTATAGAGTCCATGTTGTGGGAAAATCTACGTATGTAGGTACTGTCATGATGATCTTGAGGACCATACATTTAATCGAAAGAATGTAACGCAGCTCATTTGTACCGAATGTGATACAAGACAAAGAGTGCAAATGAATTGTGAAAAGTGCGGTATAAAATTTGGACGTTACACGTGTCTGATATGTAATCTCTTTGATGATGATGATAAAAGTCAGTATCACTGCGATTCTTGCGGAATCTGTAGAGTTGGTGGTAAGGAACGATTTTTCCATTGTGCAACTTGCAACATGTGTCTACCAATTCAGCTCAAACTTGATGGGCATAGATGCGTTGAGAATGTAAGTCGTTCAAATTGTGCTGTATGTCTCGAAGATATTCATACAAGTCGAATTCCGTGCCATATTCCATCATGCGGACATCTTTTGCATCGAACTTGTTTCGAACAGCTTCTTTGTTCTGGATATTATGCCTGTCCAACGTGTCAACAATCTATGCTTGATATGAAGCAATTATGGCAGTATCTTGATAATGAAGTCAACATTACGCCAATGCCGAAAGAGTATGATAACTTTTTTGTGGACATTCTATGCAAGGATTGTCATCAGGTACGTAAATTCAGGAAATTCATACAATTATAGACATTTTATCATCTTTATCGTCATTATTTATCTATCTGCTTATCAACCGTATACTTTTATGTCTATTTACAATAACTTTATTGTATCTTATTAAAATGTTTTAAGGAATCTACATTAAAGTTTCACGTTGTTGGACTAAAATGTCAAAACCGCGAATGTGGTGGATATAATACAACGAGAACACAGAAACGCAAATCAACTAAGGAACCAGCCGCAGCATCAACATCATCATCATCTAACGATAATGACACAAAAGATGATAACAACGATGGTGCATGCTCATCAAACAACAATAATAATAATACAAGGAATGAAGCTTGATCTTCGATCTTTTCCATATTTACATTCCGAACTAACAGACGAAATCATTAAAACTATGATGATTAATTATTGCTCATTTTTTTAAACCTTACTGACTTTTTTTTTAAAAATCATAACTTAAATAATGTATTATTACTGATTTATGTTGAGCTAGTTGGAAAATTTATGCTGCTCGATTCTCTTTTCATATCTCGCTTAATCACACAGAACAGTATCAATTTTAATTAAAATACATATTTCTCTTTTATTGATGTGAGAGCTTAGTAGAAACATAAATTTTATAACTACCACCAAGCGTATGCATACAAAAAACACAAAAAAAATAATATAATCTCGAGATAAATTGTTAGAAATTCATAGATCTTGCCATAATCAGAATCTAAAGTATAAATGATAAAACTAAACTAGATGATGACTTTTTGTCAATGCTGTATTTTATACGATAACGAAGTTATGGAAGCAATTGAGATAGAACTTAATTCAATTAATTGAATCTCAGCGCTTATATGTAGACGAAATGTATTGTTTTTTTTTCATTGATTTACCGATTAAACAAATTATATGAATGATGATGATAAAAGACAACGTAATGGAACTAAGCAGTGAAAAGTTTAAAGTATACAAACATTATTATTATTATTATTATACTATATTTTACTTTGTAAATACTATTTTTTATAATAGAGTAGACAGTATTCTTCTTATTTCCTCTTTTATTTTATATTGACGTAGCTACTATCTCAGAAAAACAACAATCTTATATGGAAAATCTTAGCATGTACTTATGTATGATTTTTTACCGCATTTTCCAAAACAAGATTGGCTGAAGCCATTCATAATTGAACTTCCAAAAATAACGAACATTTTTCAAAAAATCAGCATAATTTTCAAATAATTTTTGCCAGTTAATTCTGTCTTGGGATAATGCTCTTGTGAGTCACTGACTACATTTTACTAGGAAGCTTTTATACATCTTGTATTTCGCAATATTAGACTTTTCACACATGTGGTGTTCTAGATTTCCTGTAACCTAAACTAATTAATTGATTAATTCGGTTACAATGAAGATTTTTAAGAATCTGGTCTAGATTTTATATATGATTTTATTAATACATGCGACGAAGGCCCAATTAAGTCCTTTTTTGTATATTGCATAAACAAATCATGTTTTTTGATAATGAGAAAATTTTGAATTTAATAAAATCTTCATAAAATAATTACAAAAAAAAATGTATGAAAACTTTTTATGACATTGATTCTATGAGAGATGCTCGCAAGTCTGATGTAATTTTTGCTGGTAGATTAGCATTCAGTTTGAAAATGCTTTCTATTACAGACAGTTCTGTTGAGGTTGTTGTTAGTCCACAGAAGGCCGTCCAATCATTTACTGCCATACCAGCTGCTAATAACTCACTTCCTCGATTTACAGTTCCTGCCTATAAATGATATTTTAATTATACATCTATTAATATGCATTTAATTTAAGGTCAACTTACTACTAAAGGAATCTGTAAAAGTGATGAAAGTTCGTCAAGTTCTTGTGCTGATGTTTTTGGATGGACAACTCCTCCTGAATTATTAAAGACTGAATAAGCACCAACTAAACTGTTTCCAGCGATTGTCTGTCGATAAACTTCTACTTTCAACACATCCTTAATTATGTTTTCTGTCTCCTTATCGATATCTGGATGTACTAAAGCTACATAATCATTACAGGATATAACATTTCCTAATGCTGAAAGTCTCTCTTCTACTCGCTGGATTTGTATTTGATCAGGAAGAGCATTTCTAATGTGCTGTAATTCAAGGTCTGTTGTGTTGTGAGGAACAAGCAAGCCGTGTCTATTTCCAACAGTTAATCTTCCAATTATTCGACAACCAGCTATACTCGTGTGAACTACTGGAATCACTGGAGAATCACCTTGACCCGCAAATTCAGCTTCAAAAACACTAGAAATTGATATTCAATTAATTATTCTGGATCTCAAATTTAACCTTAAAGTAGCACTAGTTTTTTTGTATCACTTGAATGTCATTTTTTACCTGTAAAATGCCTCGGATCCGCCAATTGCTGTTAAGCAATAAGTATTTGTTAACTTTGCAAAAACTCCAATATCGCTAGAATTCTCAAATTCTGTACGTAAAGCCATGATTTTTAATTAATTCACAATCCGCAAGAGAATAAACAATTTTTTTAATGAGCTAAGATTCTCAAATTGAGCAACATGTTATTTTTGAATTTTTTAAAAAAACGTTATTTTTTTTGAATAATTTTTGTTCCAAAACCGTTATTTTATTTGAAGCACGTGCGTGCAAGTATATATCAATAATATTTAATTATTTAAAAATTTGGCATGATATTCGATGTGTTCACCCATAAAAGTAGCAATGAAGAAGTAACTGTGATCATATCCTTCACGAAGTTTATAAATAATTGGAACTTGTGCCTTTTTTGCAGCATCAATTAAGTTATTAGGAAGCAATTGATTTTCCTTCAAAAACTGATCTTCACTTCCTTGATCAACAAATATTTCTAGAGGAGGTCCATTATATTTTCCAACAAGTTCAGTTGCATCGTATGCCTTCCATTCATCCTTGTTATCTCCAAGATATCCAGTGAAATTTTTATTCCCCCAAGGACAATTTACTGGATTGCTGATTGGTGCAAACGCTGAGACACTCTTGTAAAGTCCAGGATTCTTCAAAGCACAGATCAATGAGCCATGTCCACCTAGTAAGTTTAAATAAGTTAAATAATTGACGAATTAGGAGGTACTGCTTATACAAACCCATTGAGTGCCCAAATATAGACTGCTTGTCAACCAAAGTTGGGAAATTATTATTCACAACTTCTATCAATTCAGACGAGATGTAGCTATACATTCTGAAATTCTTATACTTCTCAACCGTACTGTCGACATAAAATCCAGCTCCATACCCAAAATCATAATTAAAATCGGAAGTGTCTAAATTCTCAATGTTTCTTGGTGATGTATCTGGACAGACAACAATGATATTATGCTTGGCTGCAAATTGTTGAAATCCTGATTTTTGGACCATGTTGAGTTCATTACAAGTCAAACCAGAGAGATAATATAAAACCGGGAACTTTTTATCAGCAGAATCGGATGGTAGGAAGATTGCAAAGTTCATTGAACATGACAGTTCTTTTGATTGATGCGAAAACACTTTCTGATATCCACCAAATATTTTATTGGAACTAATTTCCTTTAATTCTGCCATATTTAATTGAATTAAGTTTTTGAACGACCTTTGTTTTGAATGCTGGCTTACTCCTGTCAATTATTGTTGTTTATTGAAGATTATGATCCGGATGATGGTGTTTTATGGAGTTTTTATTGATGCTAAGTTGTAAAAGTACAAATTATGCTTCCGATAGTTTTAGGAACCTTTAAAAAGTTAATTAATGACATCCAAGTGATTCTCGTTTGTCCTTGGACATGTATCGGTTTTGCGCAATAACAGAACTCATGATTCAGCCTTAAATACGCTAGCTGGATGTCTAAGATTTTGTTAAAGTAATTTAACATTTGAAAGAAGATTCTGTAATGAAAATTGTACAACATCATAGCTGTTAAGGAAGTCAAATTGGAACAGAAGATTTATTAAGTTACTGAACGGTGCAATTTTTGAAAATTAAATGACTGTTATAGTTGACATTTTGCGTGAATAAAAAGCGATCAAAAAGTGACGAGAAGTCATAGTATATATACAGCATTTCAGGAGTAAACATACAAAAAAATGCAGTCTCTTCAAAACAAACATTTAAACTCATTCTGATTATAAAGTTTCTTCCTCATTTTTAGTTTAATTAATTAAGTGATTGTGTTATAGCTGTTAAGGATATAAAGTGAAATATTATTAGCTTTATTTCATATCCAATCTAATTAAAATCAAATTGATTGAAAAAATTTTGACGACGAAAAAAGAAAACAGAAAAATTTGTGAAAATTAGAAAAACATAAAAAAGGCATCAAAATGAGGCTAAATAGTTCATTTTTTAATAAAATTGGTAAAATGCTGGATTTCTATTCTCAATTTAATCCATCACCGCTATCTATTAAGCAGTTCCTGGACTTTGGTAAGTCAGATAATTTACATGACACCTGCAATTGCCTCTTTTAAAAAAATATATGACGCAATATAATTAGAATTTTCAATTGACTCAATTCTATAATTCATGGAACCTGATTAGTCTAGAGATGCTTATATAATTAAATATATATGCAATTACGTTGTTTGGTTCATCCAATCAATCAATTTAAAGCTGTTCATACCCTGCTATCGAAAAAAATCTATATTCATTGCAGCATAGATGCGTATATTTTGAAACAGCTGTACTCTTCTCGTTCACTCTATATCCAATTCAAGATAATTCTCGTTGTAATAAAATTCAACTGCTAAGAATAATCCATAATTTAATCCAAATTTAAGTCATAAAGATTGAACTAGAATCAACCAGATTTGGCACATCTTTAACCTTGATTCTTCAAAACATTGTGAGATTAAGGAGCGAAAATTATAATTATATTTAAGTGAAATCAGAAAGTGATAAAGACAAGCTAGTCGAAATTAAAATTGTAAAATTCTCGCCGGCAAGTAATCGATCCATATAAGCACTAGATATTTGAAGAGGAATAATAATAAAATAAAATGAAAGTGAAAATGTGAAAGAACCCGAGAAAGAAAAAAAAGTATTTTTTCGGTGTTTTCTTACTTAATTTTATTGAAAAACGGAACTAAATATAGAAAGGAAAGAAAAATGAATATTTGTTGTTCTGACATTAGTCACTCAGAGGTCATTTTCATTTAAAATACTAGTCGGGAAATAAAAAATAAATAGCATGTTGCTCGATACACATACAGTAGCGGCCAAAAGTATCCGGACAAACACAAAAATGTCTATAACTTTTGACTGGATGGTCCAATTTAACTCAAATTTTCACTCGAATACGTAAAATCGAATGACAATTAATAAAAATATTACTTAAATAACAAATCTTTAAAACCAAAAATTTTATCTTAAAGAAACTAAAAATTGAATGGACAAAAGTATCCGCACAAAATTAAAAGTTTAACGGAAATTTGTTTAAAAAGCTTTTCTCTTACTGAACGAATGCTTTTTTGTTAAGTATTTTGTGCTTTTTGTTTACATTTATCATGTCAACTCAAAAATATTTAAGTTCACCAGTTAAAAAAGCAATTATTAGTGCTGTAGACCAAGGACGAAATTACAGAGACATTGCACGTCAATTTAGCACTGGAAAGTCCACAATAGCTGATGTTGTTCGACGATTTAGAGAAAGAAATAATCATAACGTGTTACCGAAATCAGGAAGACCCAAAAAGACAACTGCAAGACAAGATAAGGCTTTAATTAATACATCGAAAGCTGATCCGCGTAAGAGTGCTGTAACATTGAATGCAGAAATGAAGGAATATTACAATGTTCAAGTGAGTACAAGAACAACTAAACGTCGATTGAATGATGCAGAATTGTTTGGACGACGTCCTGTCAAAAAGCCATTTGTTTCTGTAAAGAATCGAAATGCCCGAATAAAATTTGCCAAGGAACATCTTAATTGGACTCGCGAGCAATGGTCAAAAATTCTTTGGAGTGATGAATCAAAGTTTATGTTGTTTGGATCTGATGGAATAAAGTTTGTGAGACGACCAAAGGGTCATAGAAACGATCCTAAGTATCAGTTACCGACAGTTAAGCATGGTGGAGGTAACGTTATGGTGTGGGGATGCTTTAGTCGTGATGGAGTTGGTCCGATTCATCGAGTTACTGGGATTATGGACAAGGAAATGTATAAAGATATCATCAACAGAGTAATGCTTCCCCATGCCAAACGTGTTATGCCTCGAGGTTGGATTTTCCAGCAGGATAACGATCCCAAACACACATCGAAGGTCGTTAAGGAATTTTTTAAAACCAAGAAGATCCGAGTTTTGGAATGGCCATCCCAAAGTCAGGATCTTAATCCGATTGAGCATCTTTGGGAACATGTAGAGAGACAAATTTCAGGTCGAAAACCTACAAATCAGAATGCTTTGTTCACCATAATCAAGGATGCTTGGGAAAAGATCTCAATAGATGTTTTGATTAAGCTGGTAGACTCAATGCCGCTACGATGTCAAGCAGTAATTGATGCTAAGGGCTTCCCAACAAAGTACTAAACAGAAGAACTCAAAATTCTATCCATTATAAGCCATTCACTTAGTAAAGAGTATTTTTTTCTTAAACTTTTAATTTTGTCCGGATACTTTTGTCCATTCAATTTTTAGTTTTTTTAAGATAAAATTTTTGGTTTTAAAGTTTCGTTATTAAAGTAATATTTTTATTAATTGTCATTCGATTTTACGTATTCGAGTGAAAATTTGAGTTAAATTGGACCATCCAGTCAAAAGTTGTAGACATTTTTGTGTTTGTCCGGATACTTTTGGCCGCTACTGTAAATGTCTCTATGAGCAATCTATTAAAAATCTTTATGCAATCATCCGCGATTGTCTTATTTATCTTTACTACATTTTTATTTATATTTATCGCTTTTGATGATTTATTGACATAAAATATTCTCGTGCATGAAGATTCTTCAAAAATCAATGATGAGAAGTCACTCAAAAGAAGCTTTTTTGATGCTTTAGACTTGATAATAGCTGTATTAAAAAATAGCTTTAGACAGAAAAATGCAATAAAAACATAGACTTTAAACTCTGTGGAACCTGTGTTGTTGTTTTTTGGCTGATTTTCTTTTCATTCTAAAAGCAGCAGTGCTCAATAAATTCAAAGTTAATTTAAATGAATAAATTGTGTTTTGAAGAAGTCATGTAGCTGCATTTTATAAATTCCCACCTAAATGAGTAGGATATGCAGTAAATGGCACTAGAGGTACCTTATGTATTACTTCAATGAACCTTTTTTTGATTCCGCAAATCGTCCGTTATAATCCTTACTATCACAAGTATAATTGTAGGGATCCCTTACAAATGTATTTCACGAGAATGCAAGCACTTGTCACTTAATCAGTTTCAGAGCGTGGTATCATTTCCAGTTCATACCCAAAAGTTCAAGACAACTCTAGAATCTATGATCGAATCAGTCAATTGACGCAAAAACAGTAAACGTCAACAAATTAGTTACTAATTTGAAGAAAGACCTTGAAATTGTTTTCAGTGAAAAGCTTAAAGTCCATAAAACGTTTCTTTATCTTTACCAATTTACCCTCACGTGTGATTTATTATTTTTGCAAACTTGTCACTTTGTGGGCATATTTATCAGTTTATTTTCATTTAATCAGCAATTCTAGAATTTGTTCGTCATTTCTACAGAGTGTGATCGATGTCTGATTGGAAAGTGTAGATTATTCTATAATTGATGAATATGCTGAATATTAAATCCAGTCAATTGATCGTTGATTTGTGGTTAATAGGCTTGTTTTACCTGCAACTAGATTTGGTTATTACATATTTATTACTTCAAACCTGGTCACGTACTTAAAATAAGTTCTCCAGTCATATCAATAGAATTAGACTCTCTTAAAGGTTGATGTAAGGTTGTTGAGTACAAAAAGTCGTGAGCAGTAATAAAATTTATACATCATGTCACTCTTAAATTACGGATTCTCGTATATTCAAATGAAAAAAATACTTTATAAAAAAAAACTTTTTAAAAAACTACGTTTTTCGCGTAGACTAAAAAGTAGAAAATAACTTTTATTCTTGGTTGTAAAGAATTTGGTTTTAAATTTTCAGATTATATTTAATAAATTTTTATATCCTAGTCAATATTGTTCACAAAGTTTCGAATAAGTGCACTTTGATCTTATCGTATAACTCAACAACTTAAAAACGTGGGCGCATTATAAGAGGAGAAATAAGTTTATGTGAAATCAATACTTTATGATAAACTTAAATTAATGCGCCCACGTTTTTAAGTTGTTGAGTTATACGATAAGATCAAAGTGCACTTATTCGAAACTTTGTGAACAATATTGACTAGGATATAAAAATTTATTAAATATAATCTGAAAATTTAAAACAAAATTCTTTACAACCAAGAATAAAAGTTATTTTCTACTTTTTAGTCTACGCGAAAAACGTAGTTTTTTAAAAAGTTTTTTTTTATAAAGTATTTTATTTTCTACTTTTTAGTCTTATTCTAATGAAATAGAGAAATAAAGATTATAGGGGGTTTATAGGTTACAGGTGTGTTGAACTCCACTTCGTTGCACTTCGTTACGTTCAACTGTTTATAGATTAGAGTAGGTTTATAGGTTACAGGTGTGTTGAACTTTACTTCGTTGCACTTCGTTACGTTCAACTGTTTATAGATCACAGTAGGTTTATAGGTTACAGGTGTGTTGAACTTCACTTCGTTGCACTTCGTTACGTTCAACTGTTTATAAATTACAGTAGGTTTATAGGTTACAGGTGTGTTGAACTTCACTTCGTTGCACTTCGTTACGTTCAACTGTTTATAGATTACATTAGGTTTATAGGTTACAGGTGTGTTGAACTTCACTTCGCTGCACTTCGTTACGTTCAACTGTTTATAGATTACAGTAGGTTTATAGGTTACAGGTGTGTTGAACTTCACTTCGTTGCACTTCGTTACGTTCAACTGTTTATAGATTACAGTAGGTTTATAGGTTACAGGTGTGTTGAACTTCACTTCGTTGCACTTCGTTACGTTCAACTGTTTATAGATCACAGTAGGTTTATAGGTTACAGGTGTGTTGAACTTCACTTCGTTGCACTTCGTTACGTTCAACTGTTTATAGATTACAGTAGGTTTATAGGTTACAGGTGTGTTGAACTTCACTTCGTTGCACTTCGTTACGTTCAACTGTTTATAGATTACAGTAGGTTTATAGGTTACAGGTGTGTTGAACTTTACTTCGTTGCACTTCGTTACGTTCAACTGTTTATAGATTACAGTAGGTTTATAGGTTACAGGTGTGTTGAACTTCACTTCGTTGCACTTCGTTACGTTCAACTGTTTATAGATTACAGTAGGTTTATAGGTTACAGGTGTGTTGAACTTCACTTCGTTGCACTTCGTTACGTTCAACTGTTTATAGATTACAGTAGGTTTATAGGTTACAGGTGTGTTGAACTTCACTTCGTTGCACTTCGTTACGTTCAACTGTTTATAGATCACAGTAGGTTTATAGGTTACAGGTGTGTTGAACTTCACTTCGTTGCACTTCGTTACGTTCAACTGTTTATAGATTACAGTAGGTTTATAGGTTACAGGTGTGTTGAACTTCACTTCGTTGCACTTCGTTACGTTCAACTGTTTATAGATTACAGTAGGTTTATAGGTTACAGGTGTGTTGAACTTTACTTCGTTGCACTTCGTTACGTTCAACTGTTTATAGATCACAGTAGGTTTATAGGTTACAGGTGTGTTGAACTTCACTTCGTTACGTTCAACTGTTTATAGATTACAGTAGGTTTATAGGTTACAGGTGTGTTGAACTTCACTTCGTTGCGTTCAACTGTTTATAAATTACCAGTTTTCAATGGGAAATTAGTAACGACTTTCAAAATTTTTCATTCGTTTTATAAAATTTAATTTTTTTAAAGCATTCATTAGTAAAGTACATTAAAAATCACTCGTAAAGATTTTGTGTTTATCCGAACCATTCCTACTACATAACGTGTGGATTCTTAACATAAAGATGCAAATCAAATCTATATGTAACGTATTTATAACGGATTTTCAAATTTAAATTCAATGAATATCATTCATATGTTATGCAAAAATACGTCAAGCCGTTAATAAAAAGAAAAGTCAATTTAATTAAGTTGGTGAAGTGTTATAAATAATGCAATACATTTAAAACAGCATAAATTTATGCTCAATCAATGTGTACTAAATGCACATCGCATATTAATAGTTATTTTGCATTAATTCGTAACGGACTTGTGCTTAACGGTTTTTTTGAAAATTCAAATTTTCACTTACGAATATTCATGAAAAAATTACATGTCAATTTTTTTGTCTTACCAGAATATCTTTAGCTGCTCAAATTTATGGTATAATTAATAATTAGTAACATTAATTAAACTATAATGAATCATATAAATGACTTTAGAGCATCACAAGTATAATATTTAATACAAATCAAAATTTTATATCATTGACATTGGATTTTTTCCCATATAAAAAAGTTTTACATAAATTGTACTATAATTAAGCATTTTTGTGTTTCCAAAGTGTTAAAATATTGTATTGTCACCGGGAATACATGTGCATTAAAAATTTGAGCTCGATTGGAGCAGTAGAAGTGGTCGAAAAATTGATCGCAAGATTTGAAATTTTTTGCAAACAAACAAACAAACAAACAAGAAAGCAAGTTAAGAAAAACGTAGTAATAAAAAAGGCAGGCATAATTGTTTTCGCAACTTTTTACTCTTCTGAGACACATCATGTGAAAAATAAATATTTTCCACTCGTGATTAAATCTTTTCTTGTTTTTCATGCCTTGCCTTCTCTCAAAAGAAAAAAAAATTCGGAATGTGTATTTTTGAGAAAAGAAAAGTCTATGGCTATGTATCAAACATATGATTTTACGCGAATGCCACACCCCGAGCGACACATTGACATAAATTTGTATTTTTTAAGGATCAGCGATCTGTAAAGGAGTAGGTTTGAAGTCGTTTAAGAACATCACTGGGGCAAGGGATCATCTTTAATTGCAGACTATCAATATGTATAACGTTAAGACATCTACAGTGAGCAATATAGCTTCCCAAAAAAACATTCATGATTGATCTCACACGGTTTCATTACATTTTGCATTAAAAATTGATCGCAAGTTTTGTGCAGCTCGGTACAATTTTTGTATTTTTCCTACAAATTTCTTTTGTATCTGTAGGAAGCAAGCGTAAACAATTTACGTAATGTTTTTAATTTGATCACACAATTGGCGATTCCATTTTCACTCATTATCGTTATCATTGTGCCTAGAAGTATATATATTTTTTTTTTCACACGACATGTCAATAACTTAATATCGAGACACACCTCCATGCATTGTCAACTTGTTTTCGTTCTATTTTTTTTTTTAAAATGTGTTAATCACATCTCAAAAACTATGAGGACAAACGCATCTTCTGACTCTAGAGTCTAGGAACAACATATTTATCAAGCATGATGAAATCAAATTTTTTTGAAGAAAAAAGGTAAACATGCTCATTGAAAAATGAAAATAACGATAAACAAGTTAATAAATGGAACTAGCTTAGAAGTCAACAACCGATGACGTAAAATAAGTCGGCTCGTGTCAATTTTTATTTTTTTGTCCAAGGATGTTCTTTTTTGTAGATACGGCATTGTTGTTGTCATTATCAAGTCTAATCTAATGAAGTCTGTTGAATGTCTAACATCCTCAACGTGTCAAATGCAATTATTATTCAATATTAATATTCAATAAATCAGAGTCTTGTCAGCTATGAATCAAATTACTTACTTAATTCCTTTCAATATTAATGATGAATGTTTTGATTATGGAAATAGAATTAGAAGCCTAATAATATTTAATAGAATTGCTAAACGAATGGCATGTAAAGGAGTTTGAGAATTTAAAACTGAGCATGCAGATTGTCTGTAAGGCTTTTCAAAAAGCACATACTTAAAGAATAATTAATTCTATTTATTCCTTAGTCACAGTGAATTGAAATATCTCGGTACCTAATAAATAGCTGTGAACCATCAATGTAGCTAAAGTTTCAGCAGATCTAAACAGATAAAACATATTTTAGTCACAGTCAACCTCACATCAAACAGCTCAGATTAGATCGAATTAATAGAATTGACCTTTAATTACACACATTAAAACATGCAACATCCCTGGATGAACAATTAAGCTTATCAATTTATCGATTGAGTTGTCAGTGGATTATTGTTTATTCTGCATGACAAATAATCCATGAATATTGATACTCAGGCCTGTCATATCAATGATATTAAAAATAATGATAACACAACAATTAAGAACTCATCGACATAAAGTTCTAATCAGTAGTAAACATATTCAGTTGATGCTCATGTGTGTTTTCGTATCCGCGTACTCAATATAGTCAGTGTATATCATATGTTTGTATGTCTGGTCAAAGACACTGCCAAATATCAAGCATTTAATGCTATGTTGTCAATTTTATAGTCAAGAACAAGTTCTATAATGTAATCAAAATAAAGCAGCAGTAAAAAAGGAAGAGTAAGGTCATTAAGCTAGTAGAACAATTGCTAGAACAATTTTTTTGTTACTTGCATGACCTAGAAAGCATTTCGTGCAAAACTTCCGCAACAGATGCATTTGCATACATGTGCATTCCTACACTGATCTATTCTTAGATTAGCGATCTTTTTCATCTAATTAAAAATATAAAATTTATCTCATATGTGAATTTATATACACACGGATCACGTTTCGGCATCTGATTACCCTTGATTTATTTTTTGTGGCTTTAAAATTGTTGGGATTATTGGCTATGAAATTCTTTAGGGTGTACAATTAGACTTTTAAGATGAATCATGAGCTTTTGTTGTTTTGATGATAACGAGAAATGACCCTTAATTTCATTTCGAGCTGTACGTAGCATATCAAATAGATTAATTTTTGGAGTGGATAATCTTTTGGTTCGCATTGCTTATTTCAGTTATTCTGAAAGTAGCTGGATCTGATATAAATGAGAACTTCAATGTAAAAATTCATTAGAAGGATAGCTCATGTTCCCAGCGAGATTTTTTTGATCATTTCTAGTTTAATCTACAATAATAAAGTCTGGAAGAGCTAAATAATGACAAAGTTAAATAGCCTTTGTGGGTGTTTTTGTATTGGCCCAAAATATCGCACGTAGATCAAGTTTTGTTTACCGTAAATTTCATAAAAGAATCAAGTTTGCTTGTCTGATTATAGTGGTCTTCATCCATAAATATTTACGTCCCAAATTATGAGAGACGAAACCTGCGTCATTTTATTGTAAACTTTAAGAAGAAATGGATCAGAAAATATTTGAATAAACAATTCAAATGAAGAAAGTCGTCATAAATTACTTAGTATGGGGTTTATACGTAAATGATGTCAAAATTACTCGATTTTTGGGATAAGATTCAAGAAAAGTTCAATTTAATTATGTTATGTCTCCAAAAGTTGAATTGAGTACAATTTTTACCAAAAGGCACGCGCTCTATGCTACTTGATCATATCCGAATTGTCAAGGTTAAAGAAAATTTATTGTGACGAAAAATATTCGTCGAGAAGAAGCTACAGCTAGCAAGAAATATTTATGTGCCTACCTTAAATTCATTATATCTAATAAAGCAAACATTTTGTGAAAGTATGTGATAAGCAAGCATGTTCTCTTATTTGTAGGCATGAATAAATGTGAGAGCAAGTCATATGTGTTCTTAAAAAAGGAACTGCCAGTTCGTTTAGCAAATATTATGAAGGAGATTGCTCTGTTACCTGACAATTTATTGAGAACACCTTCCGTTGGACTTTTAAGTAATTGGTATGCAAGAAGTTTTGAGGAAGTCATCGAGTTTGAGAAAACAGACCCGACATCAGATAATTTAAAGAGATTTTGTATGATCTTGTCGCATATTCGCGACCGTCATGCTGATGTAGTTCAAACAATGGCTCAAGGCATTATGGAACTGAAAGATTCACAAAATATTGAGCCTGGCATGGAAACATCAATTCAATACTTCTTGGATCGCTTTTACATGTCAAGAATATCGATTAGAATGCTCATCAACCAGCACAGTAAGCTTTAAAAATTGAGGATATAACGTTTAAGACAAAAAAACATTATTCTTATAGCACTCTTATTTGGCGAGGGATCAGAGCATGCAAAACACATTGGTTGCATTGAAATCGACTGCGATCCTAAAATTGTCGTGAAGGATGCTTATGAGAATGCTCGATGGCTATGTGATCAATACTATTACGGTGCACCTGAGATTGTTGTCAAAGAGCATAATGGTATGAGATTAGTTTCTATGCCTTCACATTTTATTTCCATTTGATTCTATTAAATAGAATTGGAAAGAGGCGAACCAATCAATATAGTTTACGTCCCATCACATTTATATCACATCTTATTCGAAATATTTAAGAATGCGATGAGAGCAGTAATGGAAACTCATCAGGAACGCGGTGACATACCGCCAATTCAAGTGATAATTGTGAAAGGGAATGAAGACATTTGTGTTAAGGTTTCAGATCAAGGTGGTGGAATTCCAAGAAGCTCAGCAGATCAGCTGTTCAAATATATGTATAGCACTGCTCCACATCCATCAAAGTCTGACGTACACACAGTTCCTTTGGCCGGTGAGTATTGAAAATATTTTTAGAACTTCCACGGATGCTTAATTGGGCTTAATAAAAATTGGCAGTTATTGATTAAATTAGCGATAGATTAACGAATTTAAGAATTAATCTTGGGATTTAAATTAAATCCGACGATTTGAAAATTTAAGTTCTTTAGATTTGAAACTTTTAATGCATGACAAAGACAAACGAATAAAATTCATACATTCCAAATTCACGAGTCAATGCTGTATTACTTAAATTTGTTGAATACGTCTGTGGAATAGATCAATTTTATAGTCATATTTAATTAAGTTTATTTCTTATCTTTTTCCAAAAAATTTTCTTTATATAATTATAAATAGAACCACTTTCCGGTAAGCTACGTTTTGTAGACACGACTTACACTTGTGTTTGAACGCCCATTTTCCCATAATTTGTCTTTTAACATTTTTATTTTGCAACCTACAAAATGCATTTAAGTTCCTATTAGTATGAGAAAAAAAATCAAGCTCATATGAATTAAGTGCATTGTGTGAATGCATGTTCATGACATTGAATGTTTATTTTTACAATACCGTATAGATTTTCATTAGCTGCTCTATTGTACCTAAGGAATTAATTAACTTTTTGTTTATTTCCTCACTCACAGGATTTGGTTATGGATTGCCAATATCGAGATTGTATGCACGCTATTTCCATGGAGACATTTCATTAATGTCTTGTGATGGATATGGCACTGATGCAATCATTTATATGAAGGTAAAAGTCCATTAACTTTCTCAAAAATAATGATCATTTGATAACAAAATACATGACTTTACAGCGCTTATCAGACGAAGCAAACGAACTGTTGCCGATATTTAACAAGACAAGTTCAAGGTTTTATAATAAATCGACTGTATCGGCAGGTGACTGGAGCAATCAGGTAAAACCTAAGAAAAATAAAGAGCCAATTGTAATTTAGAATAGTAAAAAAAAGAAGCTATAAAAGCTATCCATAATATGTGTTCATTTTGCTAATTTTTGAGTTGATGGGATTTAATTCATAGCTATATGCTGAGAAATTTTATTTTCGTATCATTTATAACTGTTAGTGCATATTTGTTATATTTCTAATTATACTTTATACTGATTTTACTAAAGTGGATTGTCATGACTTTTTCTTCGTCCAAAAGTGTCAATAGAGACGGCTTTGCATCACTATAATTAATGGATGATTTTATTTATCTATTAGACTAAGCTAATGGCTATTTTAACAAAAAAATGTGATAATAATATAACTTGGATGAATCTTATGGAATACTCAGCTATTCTCAAACATTCAAGTCGGATTTTTTATGTCTCTTAAGTTCCATTTTAAATGCTTTTAATTCTGTTTTGATGCTAAGTTCATTTTATGTCTAGAATAGTGATAATCAAACATAAAGGCACAAGATTCTGCATTCTTTTAGAGAAGTTTTTTTAAAGGCTCAAAGTTCATATTTTGAATTATTTTGTTTACCAACTTTATATTTTAAGTTCAAAAAATTTGTTTTTCACGAATCTTAATCTTTCGAGTGCCTTGTATCATCTAATTGATCATTTTATAGTTTACGACTTAAGGATTGAGTCTATAACTGATTTAAAGTATTGGCGCTTAAAAAAGCTAAGAGGTTCAATTCTAAGATTCTTAGATCTTCGTATCTTCAAAAAAAGCTTGACAGACATTGATCTAGACTATAAAATGACAAACCTGTATATCCACTTTAGTGATTTGAGCTATAAGAACCTTAATATATGATTTAGCAATAGATTTTATGTTATTGTACAATAAAAACGCATGTAGAGCCACGTGATTATCTCAAAATTAATTAGAGCAGTTTGAGACTTAATCTTGATCGTAACTGATTGCTGTTTTTGCTTTGTTTCCAAATTTATTTCAAATTTTCCTTTTAAGCATTGAGATTATTATAATTTTAATTTCAGAAATATTTATTCGGATATGGTTTTTAAGCAAATCTGGCTCTAAAAGGCGGAGGAGCTTATTGAAAAGCTTGTAAAAAATCAATTATTTTTTGTAATTAGACTGAAAATTACGTGCTTTTATGAACTTTATATTTTTAAAATATAGAAAAATTAGCTAAAATGATGTTAAAGAACACAAAAATGTTGCTTTTAATCTTATGATTTATTTTCTCAGTAATACTTATGTTATACACACAATATAGGACATTGCATTCATAAAAAGATTTATTGATAATGTTAATAGATTAGTAAGAGAATTTTATTTTTAAATAAATCACACAATATATTTTTTCTGATCTTGTTTTGGAATGTCTATCTATTTAAGGGCTATTTATTAATGACGTCTGTTAAATTAGCTTACCTTACTTCTTGTCAAATCAAGCTGTGAAATGGTTGAGCGTTGGCGTTCATTGTTAAAGGTCCTAGCTTGAATTTTAGGCCACTTTAAGTTTTATAAGCTCTTTTTCCATTTCACCGTTCTAGTTATAAAGCTCGGTTCATGTGTTTAAGCATAATGAAGACTCCTTTGCAAAGTTTACATAGGATTCACTAGTATCTGAATGACTTCATTACGACATCTTACTTACACGAATTGTGTGATTCGGATTCCACTATAAGCTGTAGGTCTTAAACCTATAAAGAGATTCTATCATGATCCTATCTTGTTAAATTATGGAGGTCATGAATGAATAGCCAATAATTTATCTTTATTTTTTATTTAAGTCATTTTATTTTTTGAGGCTGAATTTTATGTACCAGAATCACTATTTATGCTGTAAATTGAATGATTTGACGAATTACTGTAACAAAATTACCAAACTTTTGATCCTTTTTAGAGCTCATTGGACATGTTAAATCAGTGGAAATTGATAAGAGAAGGAAATTAAAAAGTACCTAAAAGTTTACTATAAAAAAAATTAAAATTGGAAGTCCTAAGAAATCTCGAATTGGAAATTTTTTCGTTTTGCTTTAAAATAATATTTTAGACACAATTAAACCACATATTTGACACAGGATTAATGACGAGCAAGCGTTCATGGAATTCGCAGAAAATTACCAGCCATAAAGCTATTTACAAAGAGCAACAAATAAAAAAGCTATTTTTAAGAAACAAAATGTCACAATTCAATTGATGATAATGTGCAACTGTGTATTATTAAATAATGAAAAATGTACTATCTACAAGTCAGCAGAGAATTGGAAGTAAAAATATTAAAACTTGAAGAATCCTCATATGTTATCTTTTATATGTATCCTTTTGTATCCAGATGCATGGCTAGCAAGCACGGCAAATAAATACATATATTTAGCTGTAAATTGTTGAATTTTAATGTTTTTGAAACTTTCAGAATAATATTTTAATTTTTAACGGTTTTTTGAAATTTGAAAAATTAATCTCAAAACCATACAATTTGTAACGGTTTCCGAATGTTCAAATATGAAAACCCTTCAGCAGAAATTTGAAACATTTGTATTGATCGGTAACACAACTTACTATTTAATCACGAAAACCGTACAACAGATATGAAAGTCAGAAACATTTGTGATGCTCTTAAACACAAAATGTTAAGAAAATTAAGAAATATTTTTCAAAAAAATAAATTTTACTTTATTCGACATATTTGTGAGAAAAGAATCTACCTTTAATCAATCACACACGAAAGACTGAATATTACAATATTTTCACTTACTTGATTTATTTATTTAATTTGTATATCGTACAATAGAATTTTTTAATTCAATCCCAAAAAGCGTCTTTGGTTATAATACTACAAATATGATGTTCTAAAACTTATTTAGTGCTGTCACTGTTATCGGCACTGTCTTTTTTTCTTTCAGAATGATCTTACAAGCTAAAAAAAATTTAATCTATATTTAAATGACACATAAAAAAGTTCTTTTACTTAAAATATAAAACGATATACGTTATTAGGTGTTTGCTATTTTTGTAATCAATCATTTAAGGAAGTCAAGAAGTTAAAATAAAGTATTTGTATCAGCTACTAACTTAGAGGAAGTCTTAATAGTCTAATAAATGAAATGATGACAACTTAATTTCTCTTGTCAATTAATTTTATATCTTGCACCTTTAAATCGTTAGGCGATTTAGCCGCAAATTTAATAACTGCCTGAGTTGAAACTTGCGGCACATATCGTAGATCGAGACGTGTTAATGCCTCACATTTTGCTAAATGATCTAGAGATAATTCAGTAATGAGTTTGCAGCTACTTAAATCAAGCTCATAGAGCGTTTTAATTGCACTCAGCGATATGCCAATTTGACAAACACCAGCATCTGTGATCCTTTGACAGGATGATAAGTCTAATTGCACTAAATTTGGCAAACCTTGTGTAATATATCTTAAAGCTACATCAGTTACATCTGTGCCACTTAATTTTAAGCATTTTAAATTTCGCAAGCGACTTTTCGAGTCCGTACTTGGACGTGAATCTTTTGGCGGTGATAAAATTTCTCTTATTGCATGATCATTCAAACCACGAACGAAGCTTAAACTTAAGGATTGAAGTTGTGGACATAAGCAAGTGTGTAAGCCGAATATTGACTGAATCGGTACACCTTCTAAGCTCAAAATTTTCATACTTGGTATTCGTGCAATTGCCCATGCTAATTGGCGTTTTGCGAGTATAGTCCAGTCAAGAATTAAATGTACAGGTTGGCGTCTTACAATAGCCATTAATAAGCTTGCAGATAATTTATGTTCAGCACAATTCATTCTTTTCCATAATACAGGCTCGACTGACATCTTTGCCCATGATTTACATACTAAGCTGCATGTAACGAGAACGTCTTGAGGAAGATATTTGAAAACAAGCATCATAACTTTTGGATCAAGTGCTAAATTTCCATTAATGCCATGTGATGATGAATTCGGACCGGGCCGAACTGGGTACATTGGTTTCTTTAATTGCTTTGTTGACGATTGAACTATTTGTTGTGCGAGTTGAGAACGAACTTGATTCTTTTTTCTTGGCAAACTATCATTCTTACTCATTTCACTTTTCACATCCATTGAATCCATAGAAATGCTATTATGATCATCATCACTCTTTCTTCTCTTAACTATATTCATATTTCTACCTGTTGCATGCTCATTATTGTCATCAACTTCTTGCTTAATATGAATATTAAATGTACTTGATGAAGGTTTTGGTTTCTTTGATGGCTCTTCATCACTATCACTGTCCATATCCATACTTGTTGGTGGACATTTTATGTGTGGCTTAGTTCCTTGGGAATGATTGCTTGATGACGGATGAAAGTCTGTATTTGAAAGATTTAAATGCTGTTGCAACTGTTGATGATCATCATTCGACAATTGATTGTGCTTTCCCACTTCCGATGACTTTTGTCTTGCTCGAAAATGCCTTGGCTAAAATTATTTTAATTACTCATTAATCTTTGAATTAAAATAAATCATTCAAGTTACCCTATAATCTGCATTCTTTCCACTTTCACAGCATGTAGGACATTCCCACGAATTTGGCAAATCTTCATTAACTATTCCTCTAATGTTTGTTTCTAGCATTTTATGTGCACAGTCAGGATGAGTTATTTCGTAGCAAACTGAACATCTACAAAAGCAATTAAATACCATTAATTTACAATAAATTCTATAACAATTTATATTAATCTTACTCCATTAATGACGAAGGCGATCCTTCATTGGCAGCTTGTAATTTCGCTTGTGGAGCTGGAACAGGCTGTTGCCTCCAACCGTCTAAGTTACATCGAGAGCATAAAGCTGTCACAGGTAGCATTGGCTGGAGACATTGTCTCATTTGACATGTTTGCTTGGCTCGTCCTACAATCATACAAAATTTTCACTTTTTGTGAATATATTGATTTTGATTTTTCGGAAAATCAGTTTTTTTAACTTTCTGCTTCAGGCTTACGGAATCAACCTAAATACCTGATATGTAAAAGTTTGTGCCTCAAAATACCTATCTAATGGTGAAAAAAATTTTCATTTGGCAGTTCCAGTTTTAATGGCTATCGCAAGAACTGTATTGTGAGGCACAAGATGCATAAACATTTTTGTATGGGAAAAGTTTAACCGATTATTACATAACATATTTTTTGTTTACAACGGAAATATTTGTTGGTAGTAGTTTGATATTAATAAAATGGTTGTGACAGTATGATTTAAGTTAAATGTATGTGAAAAAATGTTGGAACTAGCGAGTTTCTTCACAAGATTCAGCTTACTGAATCTATGTTATTGAATACATACTTTACTTGTATCATAATGGAAATATGTTTTTGGTTCCAGCATTGATTTTTTTCTTGCTGTATACTTACTGGATCTTGGTTCCAACGAAAGCACAATTTCAATTTTAGTGGACTGGATTTAATTTTTAATGACAAATTAAATTATTTAACCAATTTTTCACAATGATCTCTCAATTTCAACAAATTGTCAATTTTTCTTATTTCTTAATTATAAAAAAATTGAAATTAAAATTGTCAAAGCCCACTTCGAACTTTTTCTCAAATTTTACTGGACCATGGTTTCAAGTTTCAGACATGATTTAAACTTTACTGGATCTTGTTTTTAAACCTCAGACATGATTAAAACTTAACTGGATCTAGGTTTATTGTTTCAGACTTGATTAAACCTTTACTGGATCTTGGTTTCAAGTTTCAGACATTCTTAAAACTTTACTGAATCATGATAATTTGTTGCAGACATAATTAAAACTTAACTGGATCTTGTTTTCAAGTTTCAAACATGGTTAAAACTTAACTGGATCTAGGTTTATTGTTTCAGACATGATTAAACCTTTACTGGATCTTGTTTTAAAACCTCAGACATGATTAAAACTTAACTGGATCTAGGTTTTAAGTTTCAGACATGATTAAAACTTTACTGGATCTAGGTAATTTGGTGCAGACATGATTGAAACTTTACTGGATCTTGGTTTTAAGTTTCAGACATGATTGAAACTTTACTGGATTTTGGTGCCAAGTTTCAGATATGCTTAAAACTTTACTGAATTATAATAATTTGTTGCACACATGATTAAAACTTAACTAGATCTTGGTTTATTGCTTCAAACATGATTAAACCTTTACTGGATCTTGTTTTCAAGCTTCAGACATGATTAAAAAAACTGGATCTTGGTTAATTGCTTCAGACATGATCAAACCTTTACTGGATCTTGTTTTTAAACTTCAGACTTGATTAAACCTTTACTGGATCTTGGTTTCAAGTTTCAGACATTCTTAAAACTTTACTGAATCATGATAATTTGTTGCAGACATAATTAAAACTTTACTGGATCTTGTTTTCAAGTTTCAAACATGGTTAAAATTTAACTGGATCTAGGTTTATTGTTTCAGACATGATTAAACCTTTACTGGACCTTGTTTTAAAACCTCAGACATGATTAAAACTTAACTGGATCTAGGTTTTAAGTTTCAGAAATGATTAAAACTTTACTGGATCTAGGTAATTTGGTGCAGACATGATTGAAACTTTACTGGGTCTAGGTTTTAAGTTTCAGATATGATTAAAACTTTACTAGATCTTGATTCCAAGTTTCAAACATGCTTAAAACTTTACTGGATCTTGGTTTTAAGTTTCAGACATGATTAAAACTTTACTGGATCTTGTTTTAAAACCTCAGACATGATTAAAACTTAACTGGATCTAGGTTTTAAGTTTCAGACATGATTAAAACTTTACTGGATCTAGGTAATTTGGTGCAGACATGATTGAAACTTTACTGGATCTTGGTTTTAAGTTTCAGACATGATTGAAACTTTACTGGATTTTGGTGCCAAGTTTCAGATATGCTTAAAACTTTACTGAATTATAATAATTTGTTGCACACATGATTAAAATTTAACTAGATCTTGGTTTATTGCTTCAACCATGATTAAACCTTTACTGGATCTTGTTTTCAAGCTTCAGACATGATTAAAAAAAACTGGATCTTGGTTAATTGTTTCAGACATGATCAAACCTTTACTGGATCTTGTTTTTAAACTTCAGACATGATTAAAACTTTACTTGATCTCGGTTTTAAGTTTCAGACATTCTTAAAACTTTACTGGATCTTTGAAATTTGCTGCAGACATGATTAAAACTTTACTGGGTCTAGGTTTTAAGTTTCAGATATGATTAAAACTTTACTAGATCTTGATTCCAAGTTTCAAACATGCTTAAAACTTTACTGGATCTTGGTTTTAAGTTTCAGACATGATTAAAACTTTACTGGATCTTGTTTTTAAACCTCAGACATTATTAAAACTTAACTGGATCTAGGTTTATTGTTTCAGACTTGATTAAACCTTTACTGGATCTTGGTTCCAAGTTTCAGACATTCTTAAAACTTTACTGAATCATGATAATTCGTTGCAGACATAATTAAAACTTAACTGGATCTTGTTTTCAAGTTTCAAATATCGTTAAAACTTAACTGGATCTAGGTTTATTGTTTCAGACATGATTTAACCTTTACTGGATCTTGATTTTAAACCTCAGACATGATTAAAACTTTACTAGATCTTGGTTTTAAGTTTCAGATATGATTAAAACTTTACTGGATATTGGTTTTAAGTTTCAGAATTGATTAAAACGTTACTTGATCTCGGTTTTAAGTTTCAGACATTCTTCAAACTTTACTGGATCTTTGTAATTTGTTGCAGACATGATTATAATTTTACTAGATCTTGTTTTTAAGTTTCAGATATGATTAAAAATTTACTGGATCTTATTTTAAGTTTCAGACATGATTAAACCTTTACTGGATCATGATAATTTGTTGCAGACATGATTATAATTTTACTAGATATTGTTTTCAAGTTTCAGATATGATTAAAACTTTACTGGATCTTATTTTAAGTTTTAGACATGATTAAAACTTTACTTGATTTCGGTTTTCAGTTTCAGACATTCTTAAAACTTTACTGGATCTTTGTAATTTGTTGCAGACATGATTATAATTTTACTAGATCTTGTTTTTAAGTTTCAGATATGATTAAAACTTTACTGGATCTTATTTTAAGTTTTAGACATGATTAAAACTTTACTTGATTTCGGTTTTCAGTTTCAGACATTCTTAAAACTTTACTGGATCTTTGTAATTTGTTGCAGACATGATTGAAACTTTACTGGATCTTGGTTTTAAGTTTCAGACATGATTGAAACTTTACTGGATCTTGGTTCCAAATTTTAGACATGCTTAAAACTTTACTGAATTATAATAATTTGTTGCAGACATGATTAAAACATTACTGGATCTTGGTTTTAAGCTTCAGACATGATTAAAACTTTACTTGATCTAGGTTTATTGTTTCAGGACATGATAAAACCTTTACTTGATCTTGTTTTCAAGCTTCAGGCCTGATTAAAACTTTACTGGATCTAGGTTTATTGTTTCAGACATGATTAAACCTTTACTGGATCTTGTTTTCAAGCTTCAGACATGATTAAAACTTAACTGGATCTTGGTTTATTGCTTCAGACATCATCAAACCTTTACTGGATCTAGTTTTTAAACCTCAGACATGATTTAAACTTAACTGGATCTAGGTTAATTGTTTCAGACTTGATTAAAACTTAACTGGATCTAGGTTTTAAGTTTCAGACATGATTAAAACTTTACTGGATCTAGGTAATTTGGTGCAGACATGATTGAAGCTTTACTGGATCTTGGTTTTAAGTTTCAGACATGATTGAAACTTTACTGGATTTTGGTGCCAAGTTTCAGATATGCTTAAAACTTTACTGAATTATAATAATTTGTTGCACACATGATTAAAACTTAACTAGATCTTGGTTTATTGCTTCAAACATGATTAAACCTTTACTGGATCTTGTTTTCAAGCTTCAGACATGATTAAAACTTAACTGTATCTTGGTTTATTGCTTCAGACATGATCAAACCTTTATTGGATCTTGTTTTTAAATGTTGATATTAAGTCTTACATTTTATTGAGAGAAGATTTTCCAAGATTTTCTGAACAATACATAGAGAGTTCTATAGGATTGTGTGAATATTCCCATGAAGCGTGATCGGCTTCATTACTAGTTTTTATTTTAAAAACTGTTAAATATCTAAGTTTTTAATACAACAAAACTTACCAGGTCCTCCGAATTTAATCATATCGAGGCAGAATGTACATTCTCCGCAATCCGATCTTTGACAAGCTTCGCATATTTTGCACCTTGTTCGTCTACGTCTTGGTGCTCCATTATTGTGTGCTTTACCATCTCCCAATTGTTTCTTAATTGTTGTTTTTGAACCATTTTTTGCCGGTGCTGGATGTAGAAAGATTGAATCGTCTCGTGATGTATCGTGACTTGCAATATTTGAAACACTTTCTATGTAGTTTACATTCTGTTGATCTTCATGCATATCGATTTGCTGACTGTTTACATTCTCATATTTCTTGTCATGATTTATATTAAACTCCATTTTTAATACTGCATGCCCAGTAATAGCTAGCTGATTATCATCCTTACAATGTCGTTCAACGAGTGTTCTTACATCCTTAATAAGAGCAACTGGATCTTTAATTAATTCAGGAACATTTTTCTTGTGCTGTGGTAAGTCGTAGAGATACAATACTATTTCTTTTAATCCAAAAAGTTCATAATGTGTTAAATGGATGTGTTCTTGCTTCTCAGCTTCCTCCATTCTATCAGGTTCGCCTTCTAAATGTGATGTGCCTAGGAGAATAAAGACATATTTTGCCAAAACATACCACAGCATTTCGGTAAAGAATGGATAGCGAAACTTCATTGGAACTTTTGTTGCATCTTCAGCTTGTGCTGATTTCAATTGTTTTACAATGGCATATGAATGAAGAAAATTGCCACCGAAAACAAGAGTATCTGTTGGAGTGTAGACAGCATGTATCCAGCCTGATGGAATGAAAAATGTATTTCCGGCGGTTAAATAGATTCTCGCACATTTCTCTACATTATCTCCAAAGAAAATTGCAGATTGTTTGCCTGACAATACCCATTTTTCATAAAGCTGAAGATTCTTCTCGGTCGGTGGTATAAGCCAAAAGACTTTACTTCCTTTTAAAATGTGATACCATACACTAGTTCCTCCAAAATCGATATGGAAATCTGTATAGCAATTTCTTACTGACATTAAACAATATTTTTGTACTTTTGGATACATCATTTGATTAAGAGAATTTGTGCCTTCAATTTGAGCATCCTTTAACTTTTTTGGCCACACCACGTCAATCCAATCTGTTTGACGAACAATTGCTGGAGCTTTTACGTAATTCTCTAATTTTGTATGTGAAAATTCTAAGGAAATGACATTCAACAGCTTCTTTTTGTTCGGATCCTCATAATATTTTTGCCACTCCTTCATTGACATTTCCATGTTCTTTTGAGTGTTTACATCCATCACGTCCAGCATTCTTCTAGATCCCACGCACATTCTTACATCATTTATTGTAAAGTTTGGCGATGGCACTTGAAGTCCCAAGCCTGTTTTCTCTTTTACAAGCAATGGAATATTGAATCCGTACTGCTGAAGGAACCTAAAACAATAATTTATAAGGACTCTATTAGTAAAGTTTTGATGCCAAGTGGGTTGAAATCACTTACGCAACACTCAAGTCACTTCCTTTCATTTCACGAACCATTCCTTGTTGAGCAAATGCCGGCGATTCGAGCTTTTCAGCTACACTAAATGCCCTGCCACTCTCAAATTCATCATCTCCGAGAGCCCATTCGTCTGCATACAATTTCTTCTGTTTCCTTTCACGCTAAAAATCAGAAATGAATCAGAACATTTGCACGTAAGTATGCATGTACATAAAGATAAAAGAGAGAACAAGACGTAAAAGAAAAAGTGAAAAAAAAAATCGGGAGGCAATGTTGATGATGTATGGAGAAAAAAAAGTAAAGAAGAAGAAACAGGTACATATTGTTTTCTTTTTGCTTTTCTGGATTCTATTGATTTTTTTTTTCTCTACATACTCTCTTCTTCCTTCAACATACTATTATGTTATGTTGCGAATTCAAAACATAATCCATCACTAATTACTCGCACTCGCTTTTTTAACTACTTATAAACTTTTTAACAGTTCAAGTAATAAGAAGAAGGGATGCAATAAACAAATATTAAGACTCCAGCGTTGCTTTATGGATATACAGCGTATGATACAGTCAAGGATTATTTATCGAAAATCGGGTGTGTAAATATGCAAAATAAAGTTACGAAATTTCTCACTTTTCTATTGAAAAATCTACCGGAACTACTCTAACATCACTTAACAGTCTTAATACTTACCAATTGCCTTTTCTTTGGCGAAATTTTAATTACTTTTCGGTCCATAAATTGAATTTTTCATACGATCTTAATATTTCACGATTTTCTCTCAAATATCGATGCAATTTCCTTGATCCTTCACTATTCAGGTCTTTATTCGGTGCTTATAAACAATTACTTAATACTTTTACGAGTTTTTAAGTGAAGAAAAGCTGGTTTTTCGATATTTTTAAGTAAACTACAATTTTTTGATTGTTCCTATAAACTTCAGTAAATGTGTGCGATTCGCACCAACACAATGAAATAATTATTTGAATTTTAAAAGAGCGTTAAAAATATTTATTCCAATATCATTTTATCATCATCCTTTACATCCCCTTCTTCTTGTTCTTCCTTATTATCATTATTATTTGTCTTGTAACTATTAAAATCAGTTATTAATGTTTCGAGTGGCTTTGGAGGCTGCCATAGGATTAATGCTTTACATGGCTTTTCAATTCTATCGGCTAGAACTTGATAAATTTCATTTCTACTATTCTCTTCAAGACTTTTCTTCACATCATCACAGAGTACAATTTTTTGAGCATTTTTTAGTCGTTCCTCTAATTCCTGAGGTGACAGATTCACAAAAGCTGTTTCCATATCATCATCAAATAAGCTTTCTGCTAGATTAATGCTGTGCGATTGATAGTCATCCGATATATGAAGACCATTTAAAAATGCTGCCATCTTACTCTCACTGATATGCTGCTTAGTTGGACTGTAAATAAATTCAATTAGCTTACTTTTGAATATTTTAACTGTTGACTTACCAGCATTCGGGTATGTCTGTTTTTCTCTTCCTAATTGTTCTACTGGATGTCGGAAATTCATCGCACTGACTGATTGGGATCCCATTAAACATCATTATGTTGTTAGCACTAGACGATTTCCATGGCATATTATCACTATTCCAGTTATAAGGAGTATTAGCTTGAGATTTAAAGAGAGGAAACGCAATCGGTCTGAAAATAAATAAATTTTTATTGTTATTTTATTAAATTATGAATTAATATCACTTACTTCTTGTTATCCAAATTGTCTTGATCATACATGCTTCGCACAACTAATTCTTTACTTGTCTAGCTCATTAAATACCTTTAAATATGCTTAATTATACTCGAAAAGTCGAGATTATTCGATCCTTCTTTTTATGTCAACACTGATGTAAACAAGATGTCCTAGAAAAAACTATTTACATCACTTTAATGAATTGTTCCAGGGGAGAATCAACTGAATTGACTAAGCTATGTTCTTTCCTTTTGAATTTTTTTCTCACGAAGAAACATTCGTGCTCCTAAACTATTTAATTATAAGTAGTTCAGCGCTGATCCAGAGGATTAACTCGACTAATAATGGTAAGTTTAAGCCTTAATTAATAAGCACATGCTCAAGATTTCTGCTAAAATAGCTAATTTCCATGAAAATCCTCAACTTTAAATTTGGGACACAACTTTTGAGGTTACAAATATATTAATTGTGTAAACTCCTTTCAGGCGGCAGTTGGAAAAGATATTGAGAAACAGACTCAAGCTGAAACATCATCAGTTCACCGAATTCGCATTGTGTTGACAGCATGTAATGTCCGTTCATTAGAAAAAGTCTGTACAGACTTGATCAGTGGCGCAAAGAAACAAAAGTTGCGCGTTAAAGGACCAATTCGTATGCCAACAAATACATTGAGAATTACAACACGTAAAACTCCATGCGGTGAAGGTTCAAAGACATGGGATAGATTCCAAGTAAGTATTATTAAATGATTATATTTGGGGCAAACGAAATCTTAAAAAAAAGCTATATCCTTACTATTGATGTAAATATAGTTGACTAATTTGCCTGACATCAATTTGGAACTTGTGTCATAGTGCCTTATCATTGATTCTTCCTTTGTTAAGGTCTCCTTATGGTTCTACAGTACCTCTATATACCTATTTAATAAGTATGTTTCTTATGAATCTCTTACTTGTTCCTTATAGATGAGAATCCACAAGCGTATCATCGATTTACACTCCCCATCAGAAATCGTTCGTCAAATTACATCAATCAACATTGAACCTGGTGTACAAGTCGAAGTTACAATTGCCGATAATTAACTTTTGTGAATTTCCATTTCCATCATGAAATTTCAGGAGCATCATTCCTGATTTTCAATAAAAAAAACAACATCTAAAAACATGTTTCTAGTTTCTTTACTTATTTTAAGCATTTTAAATGTTGCTTCGATTCAAATCAATGGTTTGGCTTTTTCAGTTAATGATTAAAACATCTAGATTAAGATTAAATCGCAAATCCAACATTTTAATCTCAAGATTAGGATTTAAAAAATTAATCCTGCGATTAAAAATATGTTTTGAGATTTAAAAATCAGCACTGCAAGTTACAAAATGTTTAACAGCCATACGATTTTCGAAATATCCACAAGAAAACAACTGCTTACACACACAATATGCATCCATTAGTCATAGAGGAATAAGAGATTCTTTTTTTGTTCACTCAATATACTTTATTTTCCAGTTTCTATCCAATATTTGACCCGTAATATTAAGACTGCATGTCATTTTGCGTGAATAAAGAACGGTGAAAAAAATTGCAACAATGACTGGCAAGAAAACGTGAACAAAGAGTTTATGGATTAATCGTGAAAAAAAGGAGTGTAGTGAATGATTTTGGTGAAATCAAAATTTAAATTTTATATTCAAATCTCTTGTGTGATAAAATAAATGAGATAGAGAAACTATCAGAAAATAATAAGCACTTCACACGACACTACACTCGAGAGGGAGAAAAGATATAAAGAAGAAATAATTAAATTAAATTAAAAACGTTTTGTGTGGTGCGAGTATTTATGTTAATTAATCTAATCTGATAACTCAAAAAAATATTCATCTTGAGCTCTGCTCTGATTTGACAAAAATAGACTCTTATCACCGTAGCTTAATCTTTATTGTTGGAGACAATCAATAAATTGTATAACAATTAACTCTGAAGTAGGAAGAGATTAAAGAAAATTCCACAAAGAAGGTGCAAAGTTTAAATACAGGTAAGAATGGAGAGATAAAAGAAGACGAGGAGAAAAAAAAAATCCAATAATCGTGTGATGCACAAATGTGACTCAATTTTCTTAGAAAAACTGCCATCCATACTTAATGCTCATGATAATAAAGTTCTTGACACAGAAATGTTCTCAAACAATGGAGCAAACTTATTAAAGCTGTATTATTAGTCAGTTTCTCTCGTTTCGTTACTGTACACGAAATGAAAGTGATGACGGAAGGAAGAAGAAAATAGAAAATTCGCTAATTGCTGCTTGATCACGTGGACAGAGCATTTAGATATATTAATATCAATACATACTTCATCTAGTAATTAATACTTGTGTTCGTGGATTAAGTCGCTCTTTGGTGGCTTAATGTCAATGTACGCAAGTTGCGATTTTCGAGATTCAAACGTGAGGAGGGGGGTTCTAAAAACTCATTATTTGATTTGATTTAACAACCCTAAAGAAATTGTTCGAGATTTTTGTTGTATGAAATTATTTTACTTCACAAGAGGAAGATTCCAACTTAATTGATTGAAATCAATCTTAGGGTTAATTGCTTATTTCCAGCAGAGAAACTGACCTATTTGAATGATTTTATTAGTCTTTAGAGTTCAACATCCATTTTGACCCCAAAACTATGCCAATATGTCATATAGTGACAAACAAACAAACATCACAGAGAAATCAGCAACATTTTGAATTGCATTTAAAATTCATAGTCATCGCCTTCAATGAGCCACGGTCGGTGCATAGACTTATTGATTGATTTTAAACTTGACAAAAATTGCATAATTTACGATAAAAAGTACAAAAGCTCTAAATTTAGACAATACAATAACTCTATCAATCAAGAATCGTAAGCAGCGAGCATTGTTTATATGGAAACAAATTATTTTGCTGACCGTGAATTTGTTTATGTTGATGCGGGAATTATGGCATAGAAATATGTGACACTATATAACCACATACTTGCTATTATTCTACACGGTTAATGAATAAAATTAAGTTTTTGATTGAAAATCTGAATCGAGAAATTGGCCTAAATTGAGCATTTCGTAAGATTCGATATCAATTTATGTTGTCGTCACATTATTGTCGATGATTCAAGCTGTAAAAACGATAAGTTAATCATGTAATGCTCTTATCACTGGAGTTTTTTTTAGAAAGCATAGAAACAATATATGTCAAGCTTGCCACATGTTTGTAATATTTTTTTTTCGTCACAATCCAAGATTAACTGCTCTATTGGGAATATATTTACATTTACAAAAGAATATTGTGCTTAATTAACAATTATAAATAGGAATTATAATTTATTGTTCATTAATCTTGGCTTTCAATGAATTTTTTTCAGCACTATGATAAATTACGAAGCAATTAGATGTCACGGCACAGTTTGATATCATTGAAAATACTCATGTTGAATATTTAAAAAAAATTCGAAGAGGTTGCAACATTCTATAAAATCAAATAAAACTCAAGTCTTAAAGTCACATGGTTCTTAACGGTGTTTTGAAAATTCAAAATTTATGCTCTAAAATTTAAAAATTTGACAAATGTGTGAATTATGACTAGCTTTTATTCTATTTTCTATTGAAGGCATTCTAAACTATTAACAGTAATATTATGTCATTTCGACGGAAATAAACAAAATGTGAAAAATAGAAGAAAAAATGTGTGTAATTTAATATTAAGCATAGAAAAAAAGTATTTTAAAAAACATAAATGATAGAAACCAACGCGTTGCTCAGTTACAGTTAAAATTTTTTGAGTCAGAATTACCTTAATAACTGTGTGAAAAGATTATATTTCATAAAAGGTCAGTGAATAATCCAAAAGTAGCAAATTATCGTGAATTAAAAGGCTTTTAATCAAGCTAGTCACTCACTTATAATATATATACGTATTGTATCGGTGAATAGCCGACAAGCGCTTGTTCCTTTTGCAACAATTTATTTCTGAAAATCGTTTAGATAAAGTTTCAATTTTTTTTTATGTCATAGACAGTGCTTGACTTGCTGTAATCACCAAAAAAAAAAGTGCTTGTTCAAGTATATTAGTTAAGGTGACAGGATTGATAAGAACTTAATTTATTAATCTCAAGCAAGCTTGCCTTGGATTTATCAGCATCTTTCAATATAGATTTAGCCATACTTTTTACAGGAATAATGCAAAGTTGACAGCTGTTCATTAATTAATTGCATACTTTAATTTAATTACAGATTTAATAATGGGAAAATTTAGCGGCAAGAAATGTCGACTGTTGTCGGTCATGCTACTTACAATCAGCTTCTTTTTCGTAGAAATCATAACGGGTTATGTGACAAATTCCATGTCCTTAGTAGCAGATTCCTTTCACATGCTGGGCGATATTGCGGCATTACTCATTTCCTTCCTATCAGTAAAGGTAATAAAAAAAAAAAGCATGACACATTGTATATAAGCAAAGATAAAAGTACTACATAAATTTATTTAACAGATGTCTCCAAAGAAGTGGAGCAAAAACACATTTGGATGGGCTAGAGCAGAGGTTCTTGGTGCACTAGTAAATGCTGTATTTCTGGTTGCTCTTTGCTTTAGCATTACTGTTGAGTCAATCAAGCGATTTATAGATTTAGAAGAAATTCATCATCCTGAGAATGTACTTATTGTTGGATTCATAGGACTTTTAGTGAATGTTGTTGGATTATGTCTTCTTTATGATGCTGGTGGTGGACATGGACATTCTCATGGACATAATAAGTTATCACAGTTATCAGCAATTGATGATAATGAGAATGAAGATTATATGTTCGGTGATCCACCAAAAAAGCCAATATCTCCAGCTAAAAAGCCAAGTGCTAGTCATCATGGACATTCTCATAGTGCAGGACAGATGAATATGCGAGCAGCTTTTCTTCACGTTATGAGTGATGCTCTTGGCTCAGTTATTGTAATGATTAGTGCAGTCATAATTAAGTATTCTGATTGGGAATACAAATACTACTGTGATCCAGCTCTTTCAATGCTTCTCGTCGCTTTAATTCTTCATTCTGTCTGGCCATTATTGAGAGAATCAGCTTTAATACTTCTCCAGACAGTTCCAACTCATATTGAGGTAGATGCAATTCAAAGAAGACTTTTAGAACGAGTCGATGGCGTTCTAGCTGTACACGAATTTCATGTTTGGCAATTAGCCGGTGATCGCATCATTGCATCAGCTCATATACGTTGTCGTAATTTGAGCGAGTATATGAAGCTCGCTGAGAAAGTAAAGGAATTTTTCCATAATGAGGGTAGGTCAATAAAACCATTAAAAATTCATTTGACTCAATTATTCTCAATTAACGTCTATACACAGGTATTCATAGTACTACAATTCAGCCAGAGTTCATTGAAGTTGAGCCTTTAAATAGCTGCTCAGCGTCCGACGGCATTTCGACAAGCTTAAATATTAGTGGAAAAGAAGAAGGATGTGTTCTTGACTGTCCAAATATCGATGAGAATTGCGTCAAAGCTACATGCTGCCAAAATAATAACAATAAGGTATGTATTCTTATGCTGACTACTTCCTTTATTCTAATCTCCAAAACTGCTATATATAGAACTATAAAATATACGTAAGAAAATTGGCAATTCAAAAAGCTCAAGCATGCAAATCGTGATGATCAAGCTTCTCTCAAATTTATTGCTGACTTTACTTGAATTTATATGTTTTCATTATCTTGTGTTGTATTTATTTCATTGATCAAAATCTTTTACGTGAATAGACTCATTAAAGTATTAGTCTATACTTCAAACTAATCTCACAATGTTAATTGATTGATTACATACCTTGATATGTGTATTTTCAGGCTCAATCAAGTCCAGCTTCGTCTCCTTATCTTTGCCGGCAACGTCCACAGCGTGGGAACTCGGAAAATGAAAATGGAGAAAAAGGTAAGCTACTTGATCCTTAAGATTTAAAATAAATCCGATGGATTAAGAATTAAATCCCGAGGATCAAAATATAACAAATAATCTTAAAATTGTTTTTGATCATCAGGATCACTCCTTGATAACGCACAACATAACAACTTGATAGTCTCTGGAAATCAGACATCGGCTGATAGCAATAAAATTCTCGTCTGACCAATTCCGAAAGTAGCATCAACAAAAAGAAGCAAGAAAATCAAAACGAATTTATGCAAAAAGAAGTACATCACATCATCAGCATCAGAATCGTATAATTTATCATCAATATCAATCGGTCATACGAAGAAGATGGGCTGTGACATGACTAAAATCGGAATCGAGAATGGTCAATTTCAACGTATGACTATATCGACTTTATCTCTTTAAAATAATTTTATTGAACTAAACATTTTTTGAATGAAGAAAAATTATAAAAATAATACGCGATCCTCCCTACCCTCCATCCCTCAAATCGTGGTAGGTAATTGTAATTTGTCGACTTATGAGACACAGCATATTTTTTTAGTACCAATAAGTGAAAGTTTTAATATTAATGACTTTATGATTTGATCCTAGACAAAAAACAAATAAAAAAACTTTAAGCTAAGGACTAGATTTAATGAACATGATACAATGTATTATACTTAGTAAAAAATCTTTTTACTTTGATAAAATAATATATATATAGAAAGCAAGACTTGATTTAAAATCTCAAGAACAATACCTAATTTGACATTAGAACCAACTATTTTAAAAGAAATCAGCCAAAGATGGAATTTCTTTTCACATTTTTTTTAATTTTCTATATTAAATTTGACGCAAACATTGTTGGCAAAACATGAAGATATATAAACATAATTAAATAAAATTTTTAAAGAACCAGCTGCCACAAAAACCGTGAAATTGTATGTAGAGCAGCTAGTGCTCTATTACCATTCACAATATGATACTTTTTAGATAATGAAACGCTCTTCAAGTTCAATGTTTATAGAATTTAATAAGTTTTTATAAAGTACCTACCCAAAATGAAATGAATGCAAATAAATTAAATGTACCAGAATGACATGATTAGTAGTTTTTGAAACTATTGTTGACTAATTAGTCATCGCCGAAATTTAATAAAAAGAATCCCATAAATAGTTCTAGTTTGTAAATGGGATGATTAGGAGATGCATGTAGATGCAAAAACAATTTCAGACCGATTCTATTTGTGGAAATAGAAGTAAAAATGATAAAGGAATTAAAATTAGAAACAAGTCATTGTCAAGTTCTGTAAAATTGAGAATATGTTGTAAGTTGCAATAAAAATGGCAAAATCAACTGGAGCAATGTTTTTTTTTGAACACCCCCCCCCCCCTTTCAACCTGAAAATCGTTAATATTTTTGAATTTAAAAAAACTTTTTAAAAATCCACGTTTTTACCCGTGGACTTAAAAGTAGAAAATAACTTTTTTATTGGGTTCAAAGGATATTGGTTTGAAAAATTGAGATTGATTTGAAAGTTTCATACTAAAGTCATGACCATACATGAATTGCAAATTTATGCACTTCGACCATATCGTATAGTTCTACATCTTAAAACGTGGGCGCATTCATTAATGGTGTATATTTGGAAAGCTTAAATTTCAGCTCGATTGGAGCAGTAGAAGCGGTCGAAAAATTGATCGCAAGATTTGACCAAGGCAAGCAGAAAGACAGAAAGCAAGTTAAGAAAAACGTGGCAATAATAATAAAAAAATCGTCAAATTTTGGTCCAATTTAATAATTCACAATTTTATTTATTGAATGAATTCATAACATTCAAATTTCATTCCTTAACATCCAGGTTCTCGCTATTTTCTTCTTGAACATCAATTTTCTTCCTCTCAAACAGCACAACCAATTCGCAATGATTTGTATTTGGAAACATGTCAACAGCTCTAACAATTTTCATTTCAAAAGGCACGCCTTTCATTAATTTCGTTGAATTTTTACATAAATCGACAAAGTTTTTGATGACTTGTTTTGGTGAGCAGCTTACATACACAAGTTTTTGAATTTTCTTCGAATTTCTAAGCTGTTGAATTGATTTTGTGTTCAGACCAGCCCTTGGTGGATCAACAATAGCTATAATATTCTCACCATCATTAACATTCGCTTGATTAATCATTGTCATGATAAGATCATCCGTATTTCCAACGGAAAAATGTGAATTTTTAATTTCATTGGCTTGTGCATTGTGTTTAGCATCCTCAATTGCTTGTGGAATGATTTCCATCCCATATACATTCTTACTGTATTTTGAGCAACAAAGACCTATAGTTCCAGTGCCACAACAGACATCCAAGACCGTTGTAGACGGTGTGATTGCAGCAAAGTCAATAATTTCTTGGTAAAGCTTCTCAGCTGCTTTTGTGTTGCCTTGAAAGAATGATGATGGAGAAATTTGGAATTTAAGGCCGTTAATAAAGTCATGGACATGAGTGGATCCATATATGTGCTTGATAAATTTTCCTTGCTGACCAGATCGATGCTTCTCCATCTCTTCATAATAAAGTGATGTCACATTTAAGCACTTTCCATCATCTTCCGTGAAAAATTTAACAAGATCACTTTGAAGCTTTTCCTTCTCAATCTCTGTCAGTTTTTGTGGATTAATGCCTATAATCAGCATCAAGTCTTTTTCGTCATTATGAAGACGAATTGTTAACTGCCGAAAATATCCCTCACAAGTCACTTGACTGTAAACATCCAGTTCCGATTTAATGACAAATTTCTTAAAAATATTTGCAGCTTCCTTCATCTTTTGGGGCGGCATTTTAAGGTCGTCAGTAGATTCGACATGAATTGTACCAGATTTATAAGTTCCAACACGATTCCCGACTTGAATTTCACCGCTTGCATCACGACCGATTGAGAATTCACATTTATTTCTATATCCGTTTAATTGAGGACTTGGGACGATTGGAAGGACTTTATAAACTGGATCTTTATATTCAGACATTATGGATTTACCCTGAATATAATTAGCTCTCCTTAGCTCAACTTTAAATTGTTTCAAAACTTCATCAATATATTGCTGCTTGATGACTAGCTGTTCTTCATAAGGAACATTCCCAAGAGGCTCGCTGCTTTCTGCTGCTGTCTTTACTTGCTTTATACCGCATCCATCAACTTCAGAATTCTCAAATTTACGCTTTCTAATTAGAGGATCTTTGATTGGATTAGCCAAAACTGCTTTTAGGATATTATTCTTCCATTTATAGCCATTAAGGACATCTATAGCTTGTTTTCGTTCATCTTCGCTTCTCAAACAAATAAATGCAAAGCTTGAATTCATCCTCGGTATCTTGATCTTGCTAGCATTCAAATTCAACGTTTTGGTAATCAACTTCTTTAATTCAGCATATCCATAGAACTTTGGCAGATTCTTGAGTTCAATTTTAAAAGCCTCATAACTCAATCCATCATTTTTCAAATACCCAAATTCATCATTTTCCAGCTTATCTACGATTTGTTGTGAATCCTCGGTGATTGCTTGTGGATTTTCTGCTTTCAGTTCCTCCATTTAAATGCTTGCCCTTATTTGATCTATTTCCGTTTGTTTACAAATTGACTTTTGAATAGGTTATTCGTAAATTAACTTCCGTGCATAGCGTGCTTTACACCAATGACACCGTGGTTTTACGTTTGGGTCAGTTCTCATGTTTTTTGCAGTTTCTGAGAGAAGTAAGCATTATTGATACACAAAATGCATATTCTATTTGTTATAAAAACAGTTCAAATTTTAACAACAGGATTGAAGCTTTTGATAGGGTTTTGGTGCCATTCTTTACAGTGCATTGGACTTAATCAGCTGATTGAAAATAAACAACACAACGAGTTCATATCAATTAAATACTCATCATTTATTAAAGTCACTTTCATCATCAGAGAATATTATAGCTTCATCCCACGGACCTTTAATAGTACATTTATGATTATGAAGTCTTTGAAATATGATTGGACACACGATATTTATAAAGAATAATATTAATAAATAGAACACTAGAAGTACTTTGGATATATTCATTAAATAATATATAGTGATTCCAATTATAGGAATTAGCATAGCTGGTTTCCAGATCTTCTCGAACAATAAAGGTTTAAGTACGAATATCTCCACAGATATCACGAGAAAGACAAATGCATGGAAGGGTGTTGACAGCCGAGAAGCTAAGCAGATTGATGCAAATATTCCATTATTTAATGATATTGTTCTGGACACAAGAAATCCATCAATTCCATAATCATGAAGCAGGAGATGAAAAAATAGAATAATGAATGTTGTTGAGAATATCGTGTCTGTTGAGATGCTGTCTGTTAAATTGTGAAGAATTGGACTAAACACGTATCCAAATATCAGCACAGTAAAGACTGTTTTAGAATCTTCAATGACATTTTTGGCTATTTCGCTGTCGGTTCCATTATAAATTATATAAATTAAATATCCAATTCCAGTCAATGCAAACGAGTTGAATAATAGCTTCTGTGGCTGTATTTCATTGGTATAGAGATGATAAAATATAATTAGGAATAAAGTCACGATGGATATTTCTTGAGAGATCTTTGTGACACCAAATAAACATTGTTTCAAAGAAAATTGCTCTAAATTGTAATTCTTCTTGAGATCCTTCAAGAAACTTGTGTCTGTATAGTTATCTTCATATCCTTGATTCTCGTACAGATTCTTTTTCCACGGTTTCCGCTCGTTTTGTTCCATTATTTTTAAAATTACCTTTTTTGTTTACTTTTTTTTGTACTTTAAACCACAGATTCTCAAACTGTGTGTCTGTGGGTGATGTTGATGTAATCCAGGGGTTGATGCTGAAATATTCAAAACTCTCAATTGGTTCCGATGTTTCAATAAAATCATGAGTACATATTAATGAATGATTAATGATTTTTTGCTTTTACAAGCCTATGGGTGCGGCTTATAAACTTGAGGTAAGCTTATAAGAGAAAAATGTCTTTAATCGAGTATCAATCCAAGAATTTGGGTGATCTGTTATGCGGGTGATATAGCTAAAGATAAATAAATAATCAAAATTACTTAAAATCGTGGTTTAATTAAGGATAAAGCTTATTGAGAGTGCTAAAGATAGTTTTAATTATCCAAAAAGTTAAAAGTCTTTAGATGGAAATCAAGAATAGACAACACAATATACAGAAAATCCTTTTAAGAGGTAAATTTTACTTGTGCTTAATAAAATTCAAATTTCACTGAATTTGCAAATTTTAAATACTAATCATAGCTTGGCGTGAACGATGGCCAGAGTATCAATTTGGCATTAAAATAAAGCAGGCTTTACCATTACGACTTCCTGCTGATGCATATAATTTAACAGACGTTTTATTAGACCATTGCTTCATAGGATTTGCCGCTAATCGACTTTTACTTTCATACCTTAAGCATTCTTTGCATTCTCATCTTGTAAGCTATCCAGCGGTGATCAAAAGAATCACAAAGTATTCCAATTTTGATAGATATTATTGTCTAATTGCTCTTGTTGACTTCCTTAATTCCATCGGTGAGTATATCTACTATCCAGTGATTTTATGTATGTTTAATTGTTTTATACTGCTTAGAAAATGGAATCTGCTGTCGAACAAAGCCTGAAGAATCGTCACTTATGAATGCAGTCTTATCGCTCGTTCATTGGCTGATTGAGCTTTGTGAGAAACTTTTTGTAAAATCACTAGAACAGAACAGTATACTGTCGTCTGAACAAAAGACATGCTTAGAAAAAGTCACAGTCTTATGTCATCAAATTGTACAGAATCAATATCTTATGGGTGTCATTTACTTGGCAAAGCTCGAAGATCGTGAATTGTATGAGAAATGTGTACTGAGCTACACAAAAGTTCATGGACTGAGCAAAGAGGAAGTCGTTAAAGATTTCTATCAGATGATATTTAATAAACTCGGTCATATACCGATGAAGGAACTGGAACCTCGAGCAACTGAGCCAATTAGCTATTGTCTACAGCCATTTATGTGAGTTAAGCAGTACTTTGAGTTCATGGTTTAATAATTGTCAAATTATTTTAGGTCTATTGAGGTTTTAATCAATGCTGGTGCTGAAATTAATGTTCATGTGGCAAAGCTACTCATGATTCAGAGGATTAAAAAGTATTCAATGTCTCGATTGTATGCTGAAATTATTAGATCTTGTTTCATAACTTTATGTCATGTAAAGGATGTAAATTATAGAGTATGGGGTGCATTTACTCTATACAAAATACCTCAAATCTTGAAACAGCTTCATATGCAGAACAAACGTGAGTTAAATTTTTTGAAATTTTTTGCATAGTTTTCAAATATTTTATGATCGTTAATTTTCAAATGTATTTCAAACGTTATTAAATTAAAACCTTATTTGTAGCTATTGAGGAGAGTGAATATTCAGAGGATGTCGTGAAGGCTTTTGAAATGCTCATGGAATGTACACCAATACTAGATCTTTTGGATACAACTTTTGCTTGTAATTCAATTGAATGTTTATTAATAGAACTGAAGAAAGAGAAGCTTGTGAATGATGAAGTAATTAAGAAATTAGCGGATAGACGACAACATGCAATATCAAAATTGGAAAAATTCAATATTCCATCGACTTTGCCTTCAATTGACAAGTATGTCTTGTCTATTGATCCTCCACTAACGGGACTTATACAGAGTTTAAGAGAACCAATCAAGCCTGAATTTCACAATCTTTTGTGTACGTTAGTCATTGACAATCGAGCATTTTTGCTATATTCAGTCGCTGCCGTTAAAGGAATATCTCATAAAATGATTAGTGGATTAATGAAATGCAATGAGCTGTTTAAGGAAATTTCTGGTGAAGCTGCAAAGTCTAAACAACTGATTGTTTTTCGGTCAAATGTTTTTGATACATCCTTTATCATGCTGTTCTCAATAATGCAAAAATGTGGAATTGATAAATTTCCAGACATTGCTGGCGATTATTTCTTTGCAAAGTGGATACGTGATGGCATGATTGATCCATCAAAGCCTAAATCACCTTTAAGCGTCGTCAAAATGTGTGATCCATTAAAAGTTGATGAACTGATTTCATACTTTGGTGACCCGAATTTCCAGCAACAACAGCCCCCGATATCATTAAAATTAAGTGAAATTTGTTGGAATATTCCATCTATGCTTTACAATGTCTTGATCGCATGGGAAAATGATACAATAAAGCCACAAACTGTTAAAAATATTCTAGATAATATGAGATCAAAGATGTGTTGTTTCTCAATAGTTGCTGCATGCTGGCTTTGTGAATATATAAAGATTTTAAGAGATGATGAATTAGCAAAGCCAAAAGTTATGGTACAGACGTTAATGAAGCACTTGGATGATACAAAAATGAAGCAGGAAACATTTAGTGAGCGATTTTCATTGACACAGGAAATAATCGTTAAAATCTTTGATAATCGATCATTAATGGACTCTAAAAAGCCAATGAGTAATCTCTTTAATGAACAATGGAAGGAGATTATAACAAGAAAATGGCTTCCTTACGATGTTGCTATTAATTTAGAAGAGATTCTTAAAATTTGCGGACCATTTTGGTTGATGAAGAATCTTGTCGATCAAATCATGCATGCCAAATTTATTAAGGATATGGAATACATTATGGATATTACTTTTGCAGTTATGCATTTGAATATTGATGGATGTACTGAAACACTTCTCAAAGACATACTTATCTCATTACTTTTCAACAAGAATCAGTGAGTAGCATCTCTGTTTTTTACTCGATCTTAATAATTGTTTATTGTCTCAATTTTAGAATGTTAAAGATGACAGAACCTCAATTAAAAATATTAGCAAAACTGTGTGTCTACTCAATTCTCGCTTCTATGGAATCTGCTGATTTAAATCCATCCAAGAAACGTCCACGATCTGATGACGACGAATTAAGTCCTATGGCAAAAATGAGAAAGACTGGATTGGATACGTCTGTTGAAGGAAATCAAACAGAGAAGGATTCAGCATCTCATCCAATTAAGGAATCATTGAAAACGTCTCTGCAAGAGCTTTTTAAAGTTTTTCATCAACAAGTTGTTTGCGATGAATTATCCCCAAAAGTCATTTTCATCTTTCAGTTTTTCTCGTTGTTGGTTCAATTTGAGAAAAGTGTGAAAATTAAGGCTATCCTCAAATTGATTCCTAACAACTTGCTGATGAATTTACTTAAATTAGTTCCATTTGAGGATCTTTCGTACGGATTCATTTTGAGGTAATTTTTAACGTCTTTTTTAACTTTAAGTTTCGTTCAGTAAATCAGAAACTTTATTTCTGTTCAGTTCATTTGAATGTTTGATACCCGTTATTTATTTAAATTTATAACGTTTTTTTAAAAAATATATTTGCAGATTATATGATCTCTCGGTGTCTACAGGAAGAACTTCAGCGATAGGGGATTTGTGTCTGTTGAAGAACATCCAACTACGCAAGGATAGCAGTAAACTCTAAATGCTGAATCATTTTTTTATATACTTTTAATTTATTATTATTATTATTTTACTTCAATCACTTTATTATTACTTTAATATATATATAACACGACTTCATTCATTTAATTTAAGATTGATTTTTAAAAATATATTTTATTGAAATTGAGAAAAATTGTCGGAATTGTTTCGTGTTTTTTTTTAAAGTTTAAATTTCTTTGTTTTTTCACAATAGAAGATAAAAGCAAGGAAGGGAGAGGAAAAATCATTACTAGGTGCTTTTCTTCTTAACTTGACTTGTTGAAAAATGTAAAGAACTACGTACATTGAATTTTCTTTTAAATTGTTTAAAAAAACATAAAACAAGCGTCATTTATTATTTTTGAAATATTTTAAAATTGTGAAAAAATAAAGGCGAGAACTTGAAAAATTTTAAAAACTTGATTTAATTTTGTTTCACATTCTAAGGATTTATAGATCATATATAGTGATGCAGAAAACATAATTCTTTGTGTTAAATTGTTTTTTTTTTTTTTTTTTGTTGAAGATCTTGCATTCTAAATATACTTGATATAGGAACCGCCAATCAAAAGAATGATGAAACAGTTGATGATGAAGAAAGTTTTGGAGTTGATGTTAATGTTGGCAGTCGTTTTAGTATATCAGTTTGTGTTAAGACAACGATCAAAATAGACGTTTCCAATATAAGCTCCACGCATAGCTTTCGAGACATTGTGCTCGAAAAGACGACGATTATTTTGAAGAACATCAGCAGCTTCCTTATTCAATGGATCTTCAGCATTAGGCTCCTATAAAACATGTCTCTTTGTTATCACTCGTGAATCATGGATATTATGCATTACTCACCAAAAAAAGATACTGCAACCCATAAACAATTGAGTTAATTGTCAAAACAGGTTTCCAATCTTCACGCAAGATATTTAAACATACATTTCCTAATAAGATTGAATTGCAATTTTGTTTAGATATGGCTTTATAGATATAAAAGAATAAGAGCTATTCATACCTTCCAAATCGATATTTGGGTGATAAACTTTTGTCTCACATTTTACTTTTGGTGGCTCATGAGGATAATTTGGACCGACCTATACGATTAATAATGATCCATTTAGTACATTTTAAACATCCAGGAGAGCTTATTTACCTTAAAATTAAAAATAAAACGTCCACTACGATAGTATCCTTCATCTGGACAAATAATCATTTTGAAATTAAGCAAATCATTTGGATCTGGAAAAGTTGTTGTGCATGTACGCGGAAGGTTCAGTTCATTAATATCTAAGATGGCAAAAAGTCAGGAAATTGATTAAAAAGAAAGTGCAACAAAAAAAAATGAATTTTTGATTTTACCTTTTGTAATTCTAAGCTGAGCTGCTGATCTTGTGGATTTCTGCTGTCCCCCACTTTCTCCATCCTTTTTCTGTTGTTTTAAAGAGAAAAGCTTAATCATTTTGAGCTAAATATGATATTTTTAAAATAATTTCAATATATATTTTTTTCCACTCTTCGACTATTTCTAAACACGTGATTCAAATTTAAGAAATTCGTTAATTTTTCAACATTCGACAAAACTTTAATTTCACTACGGAAAGCAATGATCTATGAGTTTTCAGCTGTGTGACTTACATCTTAGTTTTTAAAACTTTAAAACATTTTGAGAATATTTAAGTGTTGCCATCAAAAAAATTCAAAAAATTTCCATCCCTTGAAAGACGAAGAAAACAAAAATAAGAAAAATTCGATTGAACTTTCATTAATTAAAATGAGTAACTTACAGAAGAATTTATTGAAATCTAAACTACCACCGATGATTCCAAGGCCAGCAAAGAACCATCCAGGACGTCAGAAGGACTATACTCCTACAATTTGGAACGGTATGTGCTGTAATTTAAAATTTTGCAATGACTTTCCAAAATATCATTTTATGTTATAGATTATTTTCATGATTATGTTGATGTAGCTGTTGATTGCGGCAGTTTTAGAGTGTATAGGAGTAAGGTAATTGATTAATCAAATCAGTCTTATTCAAAGTTTCCTATTTAACGCAGTTTCTTGAGTTTTGTGAGAATTTTCGGACATAAGAATTTGTGTGTCGTTCTGTATAATTGATTGTTTGGTAAAGGAACTGAAGAAAATGTGTCAAGGACCTTACTTTGCGTCAATTAAAAGGCTTGAAATTAATAATAAAATACTTTAATTTAGCCCGCAGAAATTGAGGAATCACCAGTTTTAGTGCTTCTACATGGCGGTGGATTTAGTGCTCTTTCATGGGCTGTATTTTCAACAGAAATCACATCATTAATTCACATCCAATGTCTGGCAATTGATTTTCGTGGTCATGGAGATACAAAAACTGATGATGACGATGATTTGTCAGCTCCAACAATGGCTAATGATATTGCTGCAGTTATCAATAAATTGTACGAAGATAAAGCACCAAAAAATATACTGATTATGGGACATAGTATGGGTGGAGCAATAGCTGTACATATTGCAGATTTGAACCTTTTACCTTATCTTGTTGGAATCATCGTCATAGACGTCGTAGAAGGTATAATCAGTCAATAATAATAATAATGCTATTTAACTAATTTATCATAATTTGCAGGAACTGCGCTTGAAAGTCTTCAAAGTATGCAAAGCTTTTTACGCTCACGACCAACTAATTTTAAAAGTATCCAGAATGCAATTGAATGGTGTGTAAGAAGTGGACAAATTAGGAATATTGAGTCAGCAAAAGTATCAATGCCTGGTCAAATCATTAACAATGAGACAAATACATTAGCTGCATCAGAACTGCCACTTTCAGAAGACTTTGATACAACACCAACAAGTTTAAATCCACTGTCGATTCCTGAAAATGAGGATGAAGAGGAGGAAGGACCTAAATTTCAAGTACCACTTCCTTCAGTCAATCCTAAAAAATATTCATGGAGAATTGACTTGTCACGTACTGAGAAATATTGGAAAGGATGGTTTGAAGATCTCAGCAATAAGTTCCTTAATACTCAAATTCCTAAATTGCTCATTCTTGCTGGAATTGATAATCTTGATAAAACCTTACAAATAGGACAAATGCAAGGAAGATTTCAGCTTCAAGTTTTAGCCAGAACTGGACACGCAGTTCACGAAGATCAGCCTCATCATGTCGCCGAAACTCTTGGTTCGTACCTTACTCGTAATAAATTTGCTGAGGCTAAATCTGAGTTTTCTCCAGTTATGCCTCAATGTTAAACACATTTGAAACATATTTTATTATGATATTAGCACGTACTTTTCAAGTCTTACACCTACCTACTCAAAATATCCATAAAATTTCTTGCATTGACATTAAATTTGAACGTCACGTAGATCAGTGTAATTTTGATGACGAGTTGTGAATAAAGTCATTATCTGGTTGTCTTTACAAAAGGCGAATAACTGTCCAGAATATAATTAAGGAAATAAAACATATTTGAAACTTTAACGGTCTTAAGAAATTCAAATTTTAACAGCTTTTTGAAATTCAAATTTTCACTGGATTATATTTTAATCCGGGATTTATTTTTATATTCACACCGTTCTCACGTGTGAATCTATTGGTTTTGTTCAGATTGAAAAATCAGTTTTTCGCATTTTGCGAGGAAATGGAGCAAGATAGCTTAACATGTCGAAAGATGAAAAGTTTGTGCCTGAAATTTTACATCTTCAGCAAAAAACAGATTTCAACAGAGCTGTATTATTTTTGGGCAAGGTAGGAACAGCCGTTGCTTCAGAAAAAGCAAAAAACTTTCCTTTCTCACGAATTTTATGACTCGCTAGCTTAATACCTTCAAACACATGCTGAGCGAAGCTCAGCTGACTCGCTAGCTTTAGATCTCAAAAATTAAGTTGACGTATCAAGCTTCATACCTTCATACTTATGCTGGGCAAATCTTGGTCTATCCATAAGACTTTTGATACTTTTGGTACGGTGTGAATATAATCCGCATTGGGTTTCTACCCGATACACTAGTTTAATCGAACGATTAATAACATCATTGCTGCAAAACTGAAATAAAATTCACAAAAGCAACAGCCTCACATTTGGTTTTTGGTAAAAAATTAACTGGAAATTTATTTATGTCTTTGACACCAAAAAAGTATATTTATTAAAATTTGAAAATGTGAACTAGATTTATATATATATTTTTAATATCCAAGGTATAAGGTATAAGAAGAGAATAAGCAAATTGCAATATGCAGAAATTCTTATAGACCGAGACTAGAGAAGAATAAACATGGAAGAACGATTAGCATCATTTTGAGTCATCACATCAAGCACGTTATGAGCAATAAAATGTTCTTATTTAAAACTATAAAGATTGTGAGAAGTACGTCGTAAGGATCTGTTGACTAAAACAACTAGATAAGTCATAACATCGCAGCATTTCCTGTAAATTTGTGCAAACAGCACGAGTTTAGGAGATGTAAATGTCGAGATCATATTTATGTAGTGTGTGTGTGTGTGTGAGGGTATGTAAGATAATCATGTGATTTATGAGCCTTACGAATCCTTTCAAATCGTTACTTGTAGAATGTTCTGTACACAGTTTGAGAAATCAATTTTCGATGGTACTAAATAGAAGCTTGGAAAAACTTGAGTACCACAAAGACATTTGCTGGCCATGATCCAATTAAAATTGCCTATTTTTGTTTTACATGTAGGACAATATAATTTACCCTCAACACTATTAATCACATCCTTCATCCATGATATGGGCTCTATAAAATAAAATTTATTGCACAACTCGACAGCTTCTTCTTGTTTTTGGATCTTTGGTTGCTCTTCTTTACCTTCCGAAAGGGATTTATCACTCAATGATGCTGACAGGACTTTATCTGTTATGTCAATAATGGCATCTTGATCCGACGTCTCACCAGCTAAATGATTTAAATACTTTTGTGCTGATTCTCTTCGCCTTGATACAGGTGATTCGAAAGTTTCGTTCCTTTTTGGTACTTTATGGTAAATAAGATTGGATTTAGATGCTACTATACGCCTACATTTTCTACATCTATAAACAAATGGTTCTGGATGTTCTTGAATGACTCCTGGATCAGGCTTTAGAAGGTCCATGAAATTCATTGGAAGTATCTTTGCAAACTTAACTTGCTCTGCTGCCAGTTTTAATCGAAAAAGCTTGTAGTTCCTACAGTTTGGATCAATTGAATAATTCATCTTATAAAACAGTTTACATTGTTGAGCAAAGCCATGATTAGGCTGTACGAGGCTTCTTTTTGATTTCGCTCTACGACAGAAATACAAAACAATTAATGATTTATGAGGAAGTAAATAATATATTGATCGTACCTTTCGAAGGCTCTCTGATAACTTATTGAATATTTTTTCATAAGATATGCAATCACAATTGTGGCACTTCTCGAAACGCCGTAGAAGCAATGTACGAGGACACTATGTTTGGGATCCATTAATGCGTTCTCAATAAACTCTATACATGCTGGAAAATACTGTAGAATGTCTTCTCTATTCATATCAGCTATCTGTACATACTTTGTCACGACTATGAAGTCATAAATCATTAAAAACATCATTAATTTCAAGCACATCAATCATTCAAAAGTGCGACTGACAACTTACTGTTAATGCTCGAGGCAACAAATGCTGGTAGTGGGAAAGAATCAATAGTGAGAATATGAGAAATGTTTTGATTTTTCAGAAACACAATATTTGCTGCTGCTGTGACATTTCCTAAATATAATCTCGGCTCTATTTGATCCACCGATACTGGGTTCTCTATATCCTCTGACTTTTTCATGTTAATTTCTGCCTGTAACATTTTCTATACTACTTTTTCACTAATATAAATTTGAATTATCTACGAACTTTGAGAGAATGAAAAAAAATCATCTAGAAGAGACGAGAAGGAGTGAACTGACTGTTTTCATATCCACACCGCTTATGTTTCCTTGCTTAATGTTTTAACGTTTTTCAAAATTTTGAACTAAAGTCAAACTGAACTTAAATGAATTGTATTGAACTAATGAACGTTTTTCAACGCTTTTTTTCAAAATTTCGAATAAAATGAAACAATATGAATTGGATTAATAAACGATTTTTGTCGAATCCAGTGTCAATAACGTAATTTTTGAATTTTTTTTTGTCAGTTGGTTAATTTAACAAATTTTACATCCGTTTCTGATCATTTACTTATAGTGAGCTACGAATAAATCAGTAAGAATCACGGTTTGAATATGAATGGAGAGGATTTAAGTTACGCAAAAATGCTTTATGCAAGATGTAAACATTGAAATTCGCTCAAAATTATGGATCAAAATAATTTAATACTACAGAAGCTTATTCCCAAGCTAGTTACTAATTTAACAGGATTTAAGGTAAGTTAATTAAACTATCTTTCGCTCAAACTATTTGATTAATCAAAAACAATTGCTATTTTAGCCAAATAATGAAAACTTCAAAATTTGTGTCGATTATTCTTGGTCGAATTTCAAGCATCACAGATTTCTGTCGCTTAATAGTCATGAAATCAAGCGTGACATTGAAGGAATATGCCAAAAGTTTAAGTTTAATCACTTCCATGATGAAGAGAAAATCATGAGAAGGCTGTTTGAGCAGTCATTGTCTCACGAAATATCAATTAATCATCCTCAACGGGAAGTTATGTATTCAATCATTAGCTTTTTAACAAGTTTAGCTTATGATCCAATAAATAAATTAAAAGATAAGAAAAGAAAAGGACTTCCAATTTTCATAAAACAACAGGTTAATGAACAGGAAGAGAATATACTTACAGCTAGAAAACATTTCATTGATACTCTCCTTCAAGACAACTTCTTACTGTCCAAAAATGATACAGACTCAGACTTGAGTGAATGGACAGAATCGGATGATGACGATAGGGTTAAATCCACAGAAGAATCAGAAGTTGAAAGTAAGCAATCTCATGTTAAGTCCACAAAACTTCAACCTCCACAAAAACCATCCGTATACGAAAAAGTAAAACTTGATAATACATTAAAATGGCTCAAAGATAATGTTCAAAACTGTTGGTGGAATATTGAGGAAATGACAAATGATGAAGTGTCAAGTAGTCATAAAGCAGCCAATTTCTATACAGACTGGCAGCGTCATTTAACAAGAAAGTCATTAGGATTCATTAAGCCACCGCCTGTATCATTATTATCAGAATACTGTCTATTAAGAGAGATTTTATGGATGTTTTTAAATCCAGTCAATTGTAAATTCTTCAAGCTTGAGATAGGGGAAATAAGTCTCAGGCATGACGTCTGCATGCCAAGCACAACAATTGAATCATTAAACATATTTCTAGCAGAACTTGTTAAGCCAATGAATATTATGTATCGACTAAAATTGAGCATAACAAATGCATTAAAAAATCCAGCACTGAATCACACATTAGAGAATTATTATGGATTAATTGAGACGTTTCTGGACGAAATAACTGAATTTTTTGTTAAAGAAGAAGAAATATTAAAGGAAGATGAAGGAATTTACACAATAATCACTTTACATGATAAAATGCAGCCACATTCGAAAATGCTTGATATGCTCTATAATATTCATAAATCCTGCATCTTGAATGATGATAAATATCCATCACATATTCATGCTTTATATTTAATTGCGAATCTTCATCAACACGTCCATAAAAGTTCCAATAAAGAGCAAAAGAATCTGTCATTAACATTTTTGCTAACATGCTTGAAGACATACCTAGAAATATTTGATATTTGGTGGACGGAAGCAAGACTGCATGACTCGAAACTTGAGTTTCTTGTCGAAAAGGTTCTAATAGGTGATTTTGAGCTTATCCAGCCACGACTAATTGCCAAATGTAAGGAAAAAGCATTTTATATTAGCGATAAAGTATCAAGTAAAATCATAGATGATGCAATTGTGTCCACATTAAACTGTTATGCTGTCGAGGCGAGCTTTACATTAGAGGTGATTAGTAAGCTTGATCGAATCCATGAAATTAAACAGATTGGTGACATTTCGAAGACACTTTATGATGCATTTATGGAATTAATACATGAAGAGATTCAAAAATTGGCATCCAATAAGGAAGAGATTAAAAAACAAAGTCCAAAGATAAATGATACAATTATGTCAAATAATGAGAAGCTTGTCTCGGATATTGGCAGTGAAATGATAGCTGAGAATGATGACATTATGTATTTAATCTTTAATTCCACATTCGAAAGTCTTGCAATAAAGGAAGAAAAAGTTGATGCATCGCCAATTGAAATGTATAGAATGCTGAATAATGCTACAGACTCGATATTTATGCCAATTGAAGGAAGCTTAGAACGAATTATTAGAAAGCTGTTGGCTAAGAAGATTGGAATCGCTGAGCGATTTGTCATGGATATTTATTTCAATGAATTTCAAGTTGATCATTATCTACAAGATGTCAGAAAGGTATACTTCCTCGAGTCAAATGAATTGATCAATTTGTTTAACATGACATTGTTCTCTCAAATGGAAGGCAGTGAAAAATGGGCTAATTCATATCTCCTTACTGTTCTATTCAATGAAACAATCTCAAGAGATACAACATTATTTACGGTTCATGTCAATAAGATTTTGGGTCATCATACCGTACTCGAGGCAATTGATGAACTCACAATTTATCTCAATGTCAACAATAATCATTTTGATAATATATTTACGTCATCGTGCATCAACAAGTATAACGAAGGTATTTATATAGCTATAAAAGATGATAAGCTTATTCAGCACAGGAGTTTTTTGGGCTTCAATACTTTGAGACTATTTAAGAGTATAAATCCTGGGATTCTTTTTAATCTTAAGATTTATTTTTCAAAAATATTTTCATCCAAGGCGTGGACACTCAAAAATATGCTGGGATTATTCAGGATTATTGGGATTAATCTTAGTGTCCACGCCATGTTTTCATCGTTATTTCTTAAAATTTGTCATTTCGCTTCACAGCATATACTAGTTTTCGTTATCAAAATGATTACTAATTTCCTATGTGTATTACTTATTTCTATTTTTAGTGTTCAGATTCTTACTCAAAATCAAATATGCACAACGGATATTAAATTGTCTACTATTTCCCGATTTTTATAAGCACCGACCACCCTATGCCAAATTTACAATGCTCGATTTAGTGATTAAGCGAATATCAATTACAAGATTCTCTATGCAGCATGCAATAACAATGATACATAATCACATAATGATCTCTCTACAGAGTCTCAGCATCCAGTTTGAGGAGAATGTTGCCAAAACTAATAAAATCACAGACTTAATAACACTCCATGAAAAATTTGTTCAGAACTTCCATTCGAAAGCTCTTTTGGGTAATGGATCAAAAAGAATACGTGGAATTGTCTCGGAAGTGCTGAAATTGGCAAAAGTCATCACAAATGAATGGCACAATATCGTGACTTTCTATGAACTTGATTCGACTGGACAGACAATCGATGACTCAATATCTCTTACAAAACTTAATATAAACACAATCGAAATTGAAAAGGCATTCAAAATGTGTGAGAAACAGTTAAAAGATTTATTATATTACTAGTAACATGCTTCATAGTTGTATTAAAAATAATTTTAGTGAAGTTTTCTCTTCAAAATGTTGCGTTTGTTTCGTTTTTAACGTCTAAGATTTTGCGTTAAGGGTGTTTGGATCAAAATATCAAAATTTTCAACAACTACCCACATTTTTTTGAAAATTTAACGGTTATTTTGATAATATTTACTATAATAGCCCCTCTTCTTAAATCTTGGATGTCATTAGTGAACGATCCTTGCATGTTTATCAGATATTTGCACAAGATTTGTTAACAAAAATAAACTTTAATCGATGTCTTCAATAAAGGCTCAATTTTTTCGCAAATAAAATATATTTTATTAGTAAAAATGTTGCCTTATCGAATTATTTTGATGATGGCAAAAAATCCCCAATAATCTTTGTATCTTGTATCATGTATTTTATATAAATAAAGTCATAAGGCATGGTCAAATTCTAAAGAAGATAACAGTATAAAAAATTTATTTTTGTGGCACTTCTAGCCTGCGTACGGGAAAAATATTGTGTAAAAATAACATTTATTAAATTTATGACTTTAAGGAAAAGACCATGCTCAAGAACTGTTCATAATGAATAGTAATGACACCTGATTGATTTGTATCATATGCCCGAAATGCATTTGTTAATGTATATAATGTGACACAGCATTGAATAAAGTCATCAAATAAGACAGTTCCTCGTCCATATCGATCATATTTTCTTATTAGCATTTCTACAAGCCAGTCACTCAAACGATATCCGAATGATGTTAGTGCTGTCTTTAATTCATTTTTATCAATTGATCCTGAATTGTCTGTGTCAAAGCTACGGAAACAGTTTTGCCAGTCTGTAACGTATTTCCACAAAGCTCCAAAATCTTGAAAATTGACTGTTCCTGTATTTTGTTTGTCAAACATTCCAATCATGAGCCTAATAGTTTCTTTGTTGAATGGCTGCCTGTAATTCAATTTCGTTATCATCAATTAGTCATGTATTATCAATAAATTAATCATAGCTTACCAAGTGCCATTTGAAAGTGCCAATTGCAGCTCATCAGATGAGATAAATCCTGAACGGTCTCTGTCAACCCTATAAATACAACATATTTTGAAATTATCAAGTACAATTATCAGGTACATTTTAAGTAAAATCGACGTCATTGGATCTTTTGGAATCACTTGATGTTTACATGAAATTCCATGAATATTTATGACTCATCACTGTATCTCATGAAATTCGACTATAATTCACTTACTTTTGAAAGACGTCCCACAAAAACTCCTGAGATGGCATTGGTGAAGTAAATGACATGATTCTTGTCTTTTATTTAATCTATTTAACCCCTAAAACTTGAATCTAATTTCAGTTTTTCCCTTTTTAAGATAACTTGTTCTTGATTTTTCTTCTACACGACTGTTTCGAATTTAATGCTGTCTTATTCGAAAATGTGTGCCTTTAAATATATTTAAATCAGTACGACTATATTCGATTTTCGTAATATTAGACAATTTATTGTTTACACGACATAAATAATATATTATTAAAACTTTTTTTTGAACATACAGACAAACTTAAAAATTTACAAAACATTAATAAAATTTGACTGAGATTATAATTTTTGACTTCAATTTCTAGTAGAATTAAGATGCACATTATCAATGAAGTTACACAATGAGCGCACAGAGTCACGAGCATCAGCTAGAAATACAATGCTAATGAGTAAAATTTGTTAAAAAATTTTATTAATAAATCTCACTTCTTGGAACAGTTAAGGCTTCATCCTTGATATGAACCAGTCTCTTAAATAATTTTTGAACTTCTCGTTCCTCAATCCTTTTAACAATTCCTCTCGCCATTTTGAATTTGATGTCTATAACTTTCTGTATCTTGTCATCAATTTTGTCTTTTATCAAATCAATTGGAAGTTTGCCTGAATCACACAATTTAATAAATAATTTTATCTCAGCAACATCCAAGACGAGGAGTTTATATGTATCACTTGCGTATCGACTCATATTGATGCTTAATATTGAATATTTTGTTTAATTCTATTTTCTAGGTTTTGAACAAACTGTGGATTACTGAATGACATCTGTTCAGTCAGTCAGTAAACATCAGTTTCCGTTTTTTGATGGATGTCATAAAACAATAGACTCTTAAGTGGATGCAGCTTTAAATCACCCGAAACCCAGTTCAGCTTTTGATGGTAAAAAAAAACGGTTAAAAACACGCTTTTATCAAAAAGACTAAAAACCAAAAAGTTGAAAATAAAATAAGATCACACTTTTAGGGAATCAGGAGAGATGTGGTGCTTTGAGATTTGACACTTCTCTTACTTAAGAACTTAGCTGAACTAAGAATTCATCCTTAAATTACGCCCCACGCTTTTAGAGTCATTGTGTTTTAGGACTTAATCACAATCGGGCTGTTTCACTAAATTGGATTATCCTCGATTTCGATTTATCCACTTCAGTTTTTTGTAAATATCTTAAACTTTATGGGAGGTGTGGTATTTCTAATTTTGGACTATAATAGAGTGAAGTATGCCTGAAATTTCCGTATACTTTAATTTTTTGCTTTTTGTTGAGAAGTATTAATTATTCAATTTTCTAGCCAAATCTAATAGATTAACTTCGATTTTTGCTATAATTCTCAAACTAATGAAGTTTTAAAAATTACAAGTATATGTTAATTTGAGTAGCAAAGTACTCTAACTAGATCACATATTAGATCTCTTAAGCGTCTGGAGATATTTCCAAAAAACTGAAGTGGATAATCCGAAATCGAGGATAATCCACTTTAGTGAAACACGTCGAATATTTTGAAAAAATTTATGTCACATTTATGTTACATTTCTAGTTGTCACAAGAAAATTTTAAAATCCTGATTCCCTAAAAGTGTGATCTTATTTTATTTTCAACTTTTTGGTTTTTAGTCTTTTTGATAAAAGCGTGTTTTTTCAAAAGATTTTTTAACCGTTTTTTATTTTTTACTTTTAAGCCTTTTAATCTTGCAATCTACTGTTTATAGATTACAGTAGGTTTGTAGATTACAGGTGTGCTGAACCTCACTTCGTTTCAAACCGTTTCGTTCAACTATTTATTGATTACAGCAGACGTAATTAGTAACGTGTCTGTGAAGTACGCGGGAGCAAGTTGTCAGGGAGTGATGAAACTTGGCCTGGATTACGTCCATATTACGTCCATTTACGTCCCGCATTTAAATATTTTCGTCCTACTTCCTATAACTGGATATACCCCTTCCAAGGTTTTGGGTATCTTTCCCGCGTACTTCACTTTTTCAGCGGGAGTAACTATAGGAACTAAACTCTTATGACCAAATTATATATGAAAATCGATCTACTATTTACGTCCAATTTCGTCCTGCAAAAATTTTTGGAAATGGACATAACCTGAAAGAGTTATGGACTGTCAAAGTTTTGGACAGTACTACTTGTGGACCAATATTTTTTTTCCCCAAAAACCTACCATGTTATATATCAAAACACGTCTACTTTTCCTCAGCAGCTTAAATATGATGGAATTATTTAAGTCCAACCTGTCATCCTGGACTTGTGGCAGTTCCAGTTCCATCCCCTACCTGAACATCATCAAAGTTTCAAAAATTTACTAGGATCATATTGTATGTCAAAACTTTTTCTCAGTGTTCCTAATTTGTCGATATTTTAGCTCGAATCATTCTAAATTTATATCAGTTCCTGCACATTCTAGCCTCGTACCTAAGCATGTCCAAAAATTTAAGAAAAAAATTAAGACCATGTTTTACATCAAATCATAAGTATTTTTTCCCACTTATTCAAATTAAGAGGGTTTTTTTTAATCCGAATGAGCTTTTTGGATTTATTTCAGTTTCAATGTATTTTTAACATGCCTGAACATGTTAAAATGTTTTCAATCCAAAGATTAGAATGTTTTCGTATCTCAAAATTTTGAAAATCTTTCAGAGTATTCAGGTATTAGGGTCATTAATTTACAAATATTTTTTTTTTAAATAAAAAGTTAAATAATTTCTTGGACTGAAAATCGAACCGTCTTGATATTAGCAAAAAATGAATTTAAAACCAATTCAAAAGTATAAGATAGTAAATTAATGACCTCAATACAATTTTTCGAAATTCGTCTATAATTATTTGTTTTTTTATTTGATAAATGTAAGCAGAATTTATGCATAAAATTTGCTTAATTTTTTGCCGAAATTTATGCATAATTTATTTTATTCACACCGTTTTCACGTGTGAATCTATTGGTTTTGTTCAGATTGAAAAATCAGTTTTTCGCATTTTGTGAGAAAACAAAGCAAAATTGGTTATAAAAGGGCAAGAAGAAAAGTTTGTGCCTGAAATTTTACATCATTTTTAAAAAACAGATTTCAAATTGGTTGTGGCATTGCTGAGAAAATCGCAAAATACGCTTTCTGTAAGCAAACAAGCAAGCAAGCAAGCAAGTTAATCAGCAAGAAATCTCAATAACGAGACATCGTAGAGACTTCTAGTTTTTTACATTTGATCCGTGCTGCTCTATAGAAGAGCTGTATTGTTTTTGGGCAAGGTAGGAACAGCCGTTGCTTCAGAAATGGCAAAAATCTTTCCTTTCTTACGAATTTTTTAAAACAAAAGTTGACTGTGATTTTTATAAAATTCAACTTTGGATGAAAATTTTTTAAAAAAACTTTTAAAGAATATTTGGCATATTCGTCAAGTTTTATACCTTCAAACTTATGCTGAGCGTAGCTCAGCTGACTCGATAGCTTTATATCTTCAAACTTATGCTGAGCGTAGCTCAGCTTACGCGATAGCTTTATAACTTCAACTTATGCTGAGCGAAGCTCCACTGCCTCTCTAGCTTCATATCTTCAAACTTATGCTGAGCGTAGCTCATCTGACACTCTAGCTTTATATCTTCAAACTTATGCTGAGCGTAGCTCAGCTTACGCGATAGCTTTATAACTTCAAACTTATGCTGAGCGAAGCTCAGCTGCCTCTCTAGCTTCATATCTTCAAACTTATGCTGAGCGTAGCTCAGCTTACGCGAAAGCTTTATAACTTCAAACTTATGCTGAGCGAAGCTCAGCTGCCTCTCTAGCTTCATATCTTTAAACTTATGCTGAGCGTAGCTCAGCTTACGCGATAGCTTTATAACTTCAAACTTATGCTGAGCGAAGCTTAGTTGACTTATCAAGCTTCATACCTTCATACTTATGATGGGCAAATCTTGGTCTATCCATAAGACTTATGATAGTACGGTGTGAATATAATCCGCATTGGGTTTCTACCCGATACACTAGTTTTGTGCATAATTTCTGCATAAAGTTTTGCATAAATTTATGCAAAAAATTATGAAACAAAAATTTTGTAAAAAATTTCACCGAATATTCTGCACAAATTTGTGAATAATTTTATGCAGAACTTTATGCACAAATTTTGCAGAATTTATACATAATTTATGCCGAAATTATGCATAAATTTGCACAGAATATTATGCATTATTTATGTAGGATTTTATGCAAAATTTATGCTTAATTATGCAGAATTTATGCAAGTTTTTTGCAAAAAAATTATGCACAAATTATGTCGGCTCTATGAACCATAATCATTTTTTGTCATGTTTTATTGATTTAAGATCATTTGCACAAATTGCTTTGTCAGTTTGAGCAATTTCTGTGAAGTTCTGGCATATTTGAAGTCGTAAATGTTAAAAAGAAGCTACTTTTGCACTAGGTTGCTTCATAAATTCACTGTATTTTTGAAATCAGATTATATAATTTTTTTGTCATGTTTTATTGATTTAAGATCATTTGCAACAATTGCTTTGTCAGTTTGAGCAATTTCTGTGAAGTTCTGGCAGATTTGTAGTCGAAAATGTTAAAAAGAAGCTACTTTTGCACTAGGTTGCTTCATAAATTCACTGTTTCTTTGAAATCATTTTAAACAAATTTTTTGTCATGTTTTATTGATTTAAGATCATTTGCACCAAATTGCTTTGTCAGTTTGAGCAATTTCTGTGAAGTTCTGGCATATTTGAAGTCGAAAATGTTAAAAAGAAGCTACTTTTACACTAGGTTGCTTTATAAATTCACTGTTTCTTTGAAATCATTTTAAACAAATTTTTTGTCATGTTTTATTGATTTAAGATCATTTGCACCAAATTGCTTTGTCAGTTTGAGCAATTTCTGTGAAGTTCTGGCAGATTTGTAGTCGAAAATGCTAAATAGTAGCTACTTTTGCACTAGGTTGCTTCATAAATTCACTGTAGCTTTGAAATCGTATTATATAAATTTTTTGTCATGTTTTA